CAAGTTTTAATCTGCTGTATTAAATGCTATGGACGCTTTGACAGCGGCTACACAGAGTCTCCAACCGTATTGAGTGGATTTTGTCGCACACCGCATGTACTTGTTGCCCATACGTGTGTTTTTTATATTGAATAGCTCTGACCACCAAGCGCTCCCCATTAAACGGTTTTATAAGCGGATCCATGAACCCCATAAATGATTGTTGTTGTAATGTCATTTTTAATAAATTCACTTAAATACATGTGGTCGAGATTTGTGTGTGATGTAACGGGGTGTCCGTCACGTGATATCCACGTAAGGTAAATGTCAATGAGGATTTTGCGCTACCAAATGTATATTTTCGATAAAATCCTGTCAGATTCTATTCACTATAATCAGTAATACTCTAATCATTGATTGAGGTAAGCAACAACATCACTAAAGTATACTGAGACACGATGGGCGTTTTTAATGAGTGGTGATGGTATCTCCAGTACATGTCTGTATTTGACAATACGGTAAAGACTAAATAAATTATGACAGAAGATTATCTGTACTAAATAGAGGTCGACTTTTGATCTGTTTAAAGTGCGTCTAATTCGTATTCAGATATCCATCTGCGCGTAAGTGTACATGACGTGTTCGCGGCACCTACTACAATATGTTCAGTGTAGGTAACTGTTTCATGCGAGCGCTTGGAACCCGATAAAATCACGGTAGAAAAAGCATGAGTATCGGCACCGTTTTCTCTCTATTATTACGCTGATTCCCGATATCCCGATGATGCGGAATAATTTGGGGCGTCATCTTTATTATTAGTACTATTGTGTGTAAGAAAGGGGAGAGCGCGCTGCATCGAGCTGCAAAGTTAGCGTGTCTTTGCGTCATATGTGGTGAAGATGCGTGGTAGCTGGATGGAGTTTCGATCAAATCCGGAAATGTCTTTTTACAGGAAATTGAAGGGATCGGAAGGTCGTTAATAAGGAAAAATGACGAGGGCGATAAAATAGTACGGGTAAAAAAGCTTTGGGGATCACTATTTTATAAATTTTGGTCTTTCATAGAAGTGGATGAAGATTTATGTATTCACGTACCCATTACCGAGGGGTGCGATTAGGAAATGGGTTTGCGTTGTGTGTGAATTAAACAAGAGAGCTGATAAATTGTGTCCCATACAACCACTCTTTAATTTTGTCGACGTCTAAAACATAGAAATATGAAAAAAGAGAAGCGGGCATGATCCTGAATGGTAACTCCGTAAATAGAATAGTGCTGCCTACGACACTTAGTAAGTAATGATGTCAAAAAATAGGTTCGAGAGATAAAGTTGCTACCGAGATATCGATAGGGGAGCAGGCTCTGAAGCTCGCCTATTGATATAGGTAAATCAGTTCGGAGAACTGAATCAAGTTTCAATATACCATACGACAGCAGTAACTGAAGGATGAGTATGACTGTTAATTTCCGTATTTGTTCAGTCCAGTATACTTGAGCACCGCGATCAGCCTTTGCTTATGAGCGTCCAGCAATTGCCTAATTGATCAAATTATCCTTTAAACAATTTTAAGCCAATCACGTGCGTGTGTCACAAAAGTGACTTAGCCAAAGGGTGCCTTCGAGTATGCCAATATACCTGTGAGGGGGACAGGCTAGATCAGACTTAGTACGTGTACAGTACATTCAACCGTGTGATTTACAAACACATTCTCAGACATTAGTGCAATTAAAAAAGTTCGGCATTCACCTTGCGCACACTCACTGATAGCTTTACCCTTCGGGCTCGCAATATGTACATATATGTGTATGTATGCATATACATACACATCGAACTTCAAGGCCCGTATTGAGGTAAATCCAATAATGATCAGCTTATGTCAAATCGCCTGCTGTTGCCTGTTCTCAAAGAGCAATTGTGGCAGTGGCACTTGACAAGGAGGAATGTTTGGCGCCGTAAATTTGAGCGCGCCACCTATGCAGACGTCGTCAATTACTCCTTGGCGACTCTGAAGACTCGGAGACAGGAAGAAGCCTGCTCCCCATCCTTTGTTCTAGAGGACTAGTAAGTGCTTGCTGAACTGGAACTTCTAGTAGAGGTGTTTATTTTGTTGTGTCAAATATCCAACAAGTTCTGAGCTGTGAAAGGTCGTGCGTTTTCCGGTTCTCACCTTTGTTGCCCCAAACGACCTTTTTATATTACCACATGCGTGCTTTAATCGGGCGACTATAACTATCTTTGCGGTCGCAAGTAGTGACTTACCTGTAGAGTGACACCTATCATGCTAATCGACCTATGAGGGGGGAGAGGCTAGATCGCACTTAGTACGTGTAAGGTTCACCTAGCCGCCTTATTAACTGACAAACAGACAGACTAATAGAGAGAGAGTTTCAGAGTGTCTATTTACTTAGCTTAAACTACGTACAAGATCTCTGGTATAAACTAAGCCAGGACGAAAGCGCCGGTGTACCCGGGGGCTCTTCGTGGCTGGTGCCAGTGACCACTGGCAACCCTCTTGGTTCGCTTTCCAATAACTCGATGCATGCATAAAGCACTGCCCCGGTAATTGCTGTTGCTACTTTTCGATGCCGCCTCTGCGCTATAGCTCGAAGCTGGCGGATGCACGAGAAAGACAGACTAACAGACAGACACACCGACAGACATACCGTCGGACAGACATAAACAGATGAGTACGATTCAAAAAGTTCAGCATTTACCTTGCGCACAGTCACTAATAGCTTTACCCTTCGGGCTTGCAGAAATGATACCAAAACATCTTACTATTTTAAGTGCATCAAGTAGTTTAGATCAAAATAACGTCACACACTTACTGTTTGCGGAAGGCGCTAGACTTTCGCTGAGCCCTGAGTGTCTAGAATCTGTTGCTGGACCTTTGACCGTCCTTGGTCACTTTTAATACAATCATGTGCGAGCATTGGTGCGTGTGTGAATATTACGCTTTTCGCATCCGAAATAGGTGACACAATCAAAGAGTGACACCTTTAATTCCCTATCGACAATAAGGAGGGGATGAGTGGGACATCGCACTTAGTACAACGTAAAAGGTACACCTACAGTTTTACCGACATGTAACGAAGAAGAATATAGGCTACATCGCGATTAATATGACGTGTAAGAAACGTCTAGCGTAACCCACGGATACAACAGGGGACAAGCCACACCAAACTTAGTACATTGTGTAAGGCGTACCTAGCGTTTTGCACTGGCCCATAATCAAAAGGTAACAGGATCAATCGCACTTGGTACGACACCCAAGGTCCACGTAGAGCGATGTACACACACAGGCCGACAGAGAGTAGGTCTCTGAAGTTCGGTAGCTACCTGCGCAGCCACTAACAGCTTCACCCTTCGGGCTCACAACAATAACGGATCAAACGCATCAACTGGATCAGATTACTAAAGAAAGAACAGATAGCTCATACCTCGTAAGGGTTGCACAAGAACTAATGAGGTTTGTGCGTGATAATGGCGTCCTACACGTAGCTAGAGAGGCAAATACGCGGTGTCGCGAACAGCAAGATCATGGGTAATACTGACACGAATAGATACATGCAAGACAAAGCAGCTAGGTCGGGCCTGTACGAAATCGACCTTCGCAGTGCTCGTCATGATCAATATGACAGACAGTACACAGACCGAGAGACTGCTGTCTGTTAGGACCTCCCTTTGTGCGCAAAGACCAATTCTCCGTCCCTGCGACCTTGCAAGGTCCGCTCTCTTTCACGGTCAACAGCACAGAGCAGTCAAAAGAACAACCACACGCGCTACTTCAGCAAAAACAGACTTTCGATGTCCGTCCCCCCTTACAATGAGAAAGCAGTGCCTTGAATTTCCCCATCAAGATTCTGGGGGACGTTCTAAAGCGTCATACTACCACACAGTTGGCTCGCCAAAACCAACCGACGATCAAACCCACATTGCCTCCCCATTACCAAACGCCACGTCACCACACATGACGACAATCCTCATATTCTCCTTTTTCGCAAGCCGAATGAGCCGCGGTAACGAGTGCCTCGTGCTTTCCCAACGTTATAGGATCGCCTCGTATGAATGCATTCGTCACTTCCAGTTTTGGTTCTGCTTTCAAGGAGACGCGGAAGCAAAGCGCTCTCAGCCAATCGTTTGACTCTATGGGCAAATGTTGTACTTTTTAGAAAATGATAAAATCGCATCGCTGATTTTTCTCGACGCCGATATACCCGGCGGGTGTGTCGCAAATGGGGTATAAAAGACATCGAGCATCCAATTGGGAACCGTGGTGGTAAGCTGCGATGCTGACTGGGGGCTGGACGCAACACAGGTGTATCTTGAGGTAACAAAAGTGGTACAAGAATGGGCAATCCGGGTGCCGAGTCCCACTTGTTGTCGCTTGAAGAGCGATCAGGATACGTCTGCCCTTGGTCTCTTGGAGACGTTAGTGCTGCGGCTGTTCGTCTTGACTGAAGCGTTTCGGAACGCAACAGCATCAGCTGAACGGCCCTGTGGTTGCAAGCATACGAGCCCGAAGAAGTCGATCCGTACGATTGGGTTAGGAATGTGCAATATGCAATACATTGAGAAGTTTTCTCACCACTGTATGTGCTTTACGTATTCGGATTGATTCTTGTTCATGTGGCAGTACGGAAACTACGGACAAAGACATTGTGGCCGAGGTGATGATGGCCTTGGCTAAGCAATACTGGTTTGTCAGCTACTTAAACGAGCATGAACCTTCACTGGCGTTTAATGATTTGTGTTCTTGCATGCTGTTCAGCGCGCAATGCAAGCTAGAACACCAACGGGTGCGACAAGTAGCTTGCTGTCTGTACTTCAGTGCCGATGGTGACAACGGTCAGCGGGCTTGCTTTGATGTCTTTGCTGCGCCCGCTCAACCAGCTTGGTCAAAGAGTTGGCAACACGACCTTCAGCGGTCAAAAGTTGGGTACAAACCAATCCATTTGTGTCGCGTAACCTGCAGTAGTATCTTCTCTCGTGCTGATGGCATGAGACAGCCCACAATTGACTCTCAAGTGGAGCAGCACGGGTCGATACTGCCGCCGAGCTTGTCAGCATCCGTGTCTTTGAAGATGACAAAGCCCAGACCGACACCGAGAATTACTGCCACGAACATGAGCGTCTCGAACGTCATAATGACCAGCATGACCCAGTAGCCTAGACTCAGATGCACCACATACATGACTGCTAGCACCGGTTTGCACCAAAATGGCAGGCGGCGAACAATGCTGATCCGGGGACCGTCGGGCACGCAGCCTACCTTGTGCACAACCGAACCGTAGCTCGCGGTGTGGTCGTCATTGCCGCCACTGACATGTGGCGTGGTCAACGACATGTAGTCCGTCTGGCTAGACACGACGCCGTAGACTCGAAAGAGCCACTTTTCCGTAAACTCGCGCAGCTCACCAAAGCCTTCGAGCAAGACGGCAAGCAAGACGACGCCCAGGAAGGAGAAAACGTACTTGACCTCAGACGTGATCACCCACGGCTGAAAGAGCAGCAACAGACACGAGGTGTCGCCTCCTATAGCGGTCTGGAAACCATTGAACATGGCTGAGCCCGTAGGGTTGGCTGCCGCGCCGGCGTAGCAAAAGTCGTCGGAAGAGGTCTGGGCCGCCACATACATGGTCGGATTGTCAAACACAAGCTGTGCATGCTCTTGTGAGCACGTATAGATCTTTTGAGCGCCCTTGGAAATCCACGGCACAGCGTGCGTGAGTTCGTCGAAGCTCTTGCTGCACACGGAGCACTTGATCTCCCTCGCGTCCTTGTAAATGGCGTCCATAGAAATGTCCGCCTCTTCTGGAAGGCCAAGGTTTGCAGACTGCATGGAGAGAGAGAGACAAGACATTAGACGACAATGTCTTCGGTAGCACAGGCCAAGAGTCCACAACAGATGGACGCACCGGGTCGTTCTGCAGAGACTCAATGTGGCCAGCCATCTCGCACGCGTAGACGTACTGGTTGCCCAGAATCGTGGCGTTGATGTCAGGCTTGACGTCCATGTTGCAGAGCGGGCACGTGGTCTTGCGCAAGTTCTGGTCAGCAGCTGCGCTCACGAGCAGCAAAAGCGACAGAGCTTTCGGTATCATGATCGGAGGTAAGTGAGGGCTATGAACCAGCCGCCGTGCTGCTGTCGAAAGCGGAAGGACGCGCTGACGGGTATAGAAAAGAAATGCAAAAGGAGACGTGGGAGGTTATGATAGAAATGAGGAAAGCGAGAGACGAGGCTGCGTCTCTGTTGCACCGACGCATTAAGTAAGACGATAGCTTGTTTGCAATTGTTGAATGGGCGTAAGCTGAACTCGCTACTATATCCGAGTCGAAATAAAAGTGTCAATGGACGCTATTTATAGAAACACGCTGTTGTGAATGAACGGCTTTTACCGACAGATTGCGGGTGATGCGGATGCATCAGTCCCTTCCGTCCCAGGAATTCCCGGCTTCTGAAGCCCATTTAGCGTTAGCTAGAATTTCGTTACAGCACCCAACGCCCTTTACGCCTTGGTTCAGCCTCTGATAAACGTGAGCTTCCCTTTTTCCGGTCATACGTTTTCAAGGATGGTCGTATTTCGCAGCCAAGAATGCAGCTGCAGGACACTCGTTTTAATTTGGATGGGAGTTGGTTCTCTGAGACAGCATTTCACTAGTCAGGACTTGTGCAGATAGTAGACACTCGACGCCTTTCTCTCTTGATTTGAACATGTCGCCAGCGGATACCTCGCCAAAGACCAAGTATAGTGATAATCATAGTGACGGTCTTATCTTCACTCCACCCACCCTGAACGCAGCTAGCGGCTGACGCAAAGTACCGATTCAACTGGAGCAAAATACACGACAGCACAGTGACGAGCTCAGATTCCTTTTCGCTTGTTCGAAACGAGATGCCTAACCACCCATTGCGCCATTTCATTGCAGCCACTTTAACGCTGTTGTTGTGGACATTCTCAGCTGCGAAACAGGTTCATCTCCAGCGCCATGTGCACCACATGCCTGCGACTCAGACGTACCGTGGACTGGCGTCATTGGCCACGAGCTCCACTGACTACACGTGTCCCGTGTGCGGCATGTCCACGCTGGATAGCGGCTACGCCAATGAGAACTACGTGACCATGACGCACGGTCAGAAGATCTACTCGTGTGGCATGGCAGCGCGTCCCTTCCCAGCCTACAGCTCGGACTCGACCGACACGGCCTACCTAGCCGCCAATATGGCCGAGTTCATTGTCAATCAGACGGACGTGGACGCCTACGCCAAGTGCACGAGCGCCTGTGACGAGTGCGTGGACGGCACTTTTGACCCTGTGTCTGGAGCTGCTGTCAAGACGGACAAGTACGTCTACGTGTGTTTGAAGAACGGCCAGAAAATTTACTTTGCGTCACAAGTGAACAAGAACTCGTACCTGACAGGCGTCAACAAGGAACCGCGCTATCTGGTCGACGGTATCATTTGCGCTGGATCAACGTGCTCGGACGCGACTACAATCACGACGCTGAGTCCGGCAGCGCAGAGTTTCGTCGCCGACCTTTCTCCTTCGGGGACACAAGGCGCCACTTCTGCACCGTCGACGCCGTCCCGCAGCACTGCGACCGAATCGGACGAGCCATCGACTGGTTCGGACTTCTGTTCAGGCCAGGGGTCGGTCATGTTCAACGGCTTCCAGACGTCCATCCATGGGTCGTGTGTGATGCTGTTTTTCCGGCCGTGGGTGCTTAACAGCGGCGTCAAGTACGCATTCGGATTCGTCGCCTGCTTTCTGATTGCACTGCTGAATGAGACGCTGGTGAAGGGACGGGAGATGGTGCGTCAACGTCTTCTAGCGGCTCGGAAGCTCCGGCCCAGTGACAAACTTCAGAAGATGCAGTGCAAGCTCATTCTCGCGGTGCTGTACATGACTCAGATGACGATCGCGTATTTTGCCATGCTCGTAGTAATGACCTACGAGACGGGTCTGTTTCTGGCCCTTATCGCCGGTTTTGGTGCCGGTTTTTTGCTTTTGAAGAATCTAGACCAGGACATTACCCAGGAGCGTGGCTCATGGCGTTACACGGATTCTTCCACGGTACGGATCCAAGTTGGCGGCATGTCGTGTATGAAGAATTGCGGCACGACGGTAGAGAATGCGCTGAAGGAGACGCCCGGTGTGACTAAGGCAGTTGTTGTGTTTGACGAGCGGGCTGCTTACGTCGCTGGATCAGCGCAAATGAGCGACCTGGTGAAGGCCGTTGAGGCAGTTGGTTTTGTTGCCGAGACGAGCAACATGGAGTCTGCACACCGACGCGACCCTCTTCACGCGTAAGGGTGTACTTGTGCATATTGTTTGTAAGTAATCGACGTGCCTCTCACTTTTCGGCTGATCGGTGGGCTGTGTATGTAGCAAGTGCCGCAAGGACGTGTGACCAGTATGTTCGAGACTCTCTTCAAATTAGAACGTGTGAACAGCGTGTTTGAGACTCTCCTCATACAGCGTTGAACAGGAGTGAAGGCGACATGTCGTTTGGTAAGTGAACGTCAGTTCGTGCTGCGTCTGCCAAACGAGGTTTCTGGGACGACTATCATTGGACCGAACATGGCTGCTATACGCGCCGCCTTGAACATGTTCACTCTTCCTACTGCCGCTACTACTCCTGACCAGTACAGCACAAAACCTTGTCGGAATCCGGTACGTGGCGCTGATCATGATCGTATCAGACTTGTACGTCCGCGGCTTTGCAATAAGCAAGCTCAACAGTTTGAACACGCGGAGGATCTTTGTTGTACCCGTGTCAAAGAGCGTTCGACAGGCTCTGCCCTTGTCGTGCTGCACAGCACAAGTTACACACTGCACTCACTTCTAGTCATCCGCTGTCATCTACAGAACGTCACCAAGCCGCAAGTTGCTGCGGGCTAAAGTTGATCCAGCGCCGGATAGAATGACCCAAGGATCGAGAACACATTCTACAGCACAAGCAGCAACATGTAGAACGTCAACCATCAGAAGTCCAGGTCTCTGCACCCAGCAGCTGCCATGTAAACATGTCAACACGACGGTCTGAGCGCCTCGCTCGAACTAGCACCTGTGCTATCGCAACGGGCGCACCGTAGCGACGTCACGCACGACTTTTATTCGTGATGAAGCGCTTCTGAGCTCCCAAAGTGGTTTGGCAATCAGTGGCGAGCACACATAAACGTAGACGACTGCTGCACTAGTGAAAACCAGTGCCGACCATGCGCCATAAGGTGTAGGCAAGATGCGTGTTGCGAGAAGGAAGCGTTAGGTGAACAATAAGATTCTGTTGTATTTCCTTACTAGTTCTCTCTTCTCTGCCATGATCGCCATAGCCCTCTGCTCCATTCATCCATCTCACACGCATTCTGGCTCTACTCGGGTCACTATCCTGCTTGTCACTCTGCGTCCACCATTTACGCACAGCGAGTTTGTGACATCAGGTTTCCAAATAAACCCCAAGTCACCGGCCGAACACTCCGATCACCGTTACGTACCCTTGCACCCATTTCCAACATTCCAACACTCCTCCTCGGTCGTGACTTGCCCTCAAACCAGTTCCATTTCTTGAGCTTGCAAATGTCCTTGTCCCTGTGCTCCTCCATCCCTGAGCTCCTTATCGCCCTTGATCGTCCTTGACCATTTCTTAACCAATGCGCACGAGTGCGCGCAGTGTCGAGAGCTTCGTCGCGTCCAACGCCTTCGTGAGGAGGTCTGCGAGCATCTGCTCCGATCTGACGTAGCTCGCCGTGATGACGCCGCGACGCGAGTAGTCGCAAAGAAACTTAAGGCGCACATCCACATGTTTTGCCTTCAGCGACGATGCCTCTCCCGCAATCTGCGCGATCGCCGCTTGGTTGTCCACCCGCAACTGCATCGGAAGCGTGGGCTCCACGCCCACTTCGCACAACATCTCGCGCAGGCCGAGCAGCTCGCGCGCGACTTCACTCGCTGCGACAAATTCCGCCTCCATCGTCGACAGGGAGACGCCTCCCTGCTTCCGCGCACCCCAGCTGACGGCCATCCCGTTCAGCATCACGATGCCGCCCGTCATTGACTTCCGGTCCGTCTTGTCGGCGGCAAAGTCGGCGTCGCTGAACGCTTCTAGTCGCATCGCCGCACCTAAATTGTCTTCTGCGATCATCGTGATCTTAAGCGCCGCCGTACCCTTGAGGTATCGCGCGATGCGTTTAGCTAACTTCCAGTCTGCTAGTCGAGGCGCATGGACTCGTCTCGTGACCTTGTGCACCGCAAACGCTATGTCAGGGCGCGTGCAACGCGCCACCCAGAGCAGCGAGCCGACCAGCGACTGAAACTGGCGCACAGTCGGTCCTAATTTCGCGCTTGGCGTCGCAAGAAGCTCCGCGTCGCCCTCCTCCAACTCGTAGCAGCTGTCGTCGATCGGCGTCCACGTCGAGTTGGCGTCAGCGAGTCCGTTGTCGTGTAAGAGGTCTCTTATGGCCTCCTCCTGATCGAGCGTGTACCCATTCTGACCGTTGTGCGTCACGCGCATTCCCAGGAACTTGCTGACACGCCCCAAGTCCTTGATCGACAGCGACGCGAGGCTTGCAAAGAACCGCTCGACCGCCGCCGCGCTCGTCCCTGTCGCTAGAAGATCGTCGACATACACGCCGACCACGACGAGGTCGTCGCCGTCGCGCTTCCAGTAAAAACACATGTCGCTCTCACACCGCTTGAAACCGGCAGTAGAGAGCTTCGAGTGCAGCAGCTGGCTCCACAGCCGGCCTGCCTGCTTGAGCCCGTAGAGGCTCTTCCGCAGCTCCAGCACCAGCTCGCTCGTGTTCGAAACGCCTTGCGCTCGTAGCGTCTCCTTCGAGACTGGCATGCCGCGCGGCATCTGTAGATAGATGCGCAGGTGCGGCTCCTTGTCCACTTTAACGTAGGCGTTGGGGATGTCACCGTGCTTGGCAGGCACCCCCCACGTAGCCGCAAGCGCCAGGATCACTTTGACCGTCGATAGGTCCATCACGGCAGCGAAGGTGAGCATGTAGTCGACGCCAAGCACCTGTTCGTTGCCACACGCCACCAGTCGCGCTTTCAGCCGCTCGAGGTCGCCCTGTGCATCTGTCTTGGTCTTGTAGACCCATTTTGTGTGCAGCGCATGCTGTCCTGCCGTTCGCCTTGTAATAGTCCAGACGTCGTTGGCCTCGAGCGCGGCGATCTCCTCTTGCATCGCCTTCTTCCACCCTTCGCGCTTGCTGCTGAGCATCGCCTGTCCGTAGTTAAGCGGATCATGCTCGAAAGCAGCATTTACGACTTCTCCGCTCGCGGCTGTCTCCTCCTGACGAGCAGCCGCTTCTGCGCGTTTCAACGCCCCGCGTGTTCCATGCGCCTTTCGCGTCCATCTCTTTCTGCTTTTACGCGTCTCCCTGTTGCCCTCTGCGCGACCATCGTTCGCCACTGCTACTGCTGGCTCGTCCGTCTCCTCCTGGCCTCCGGCTCGATCGCCGATGTCCATCGCGCGCTGGAGTTGCGCGTTTTGCGCCTCCGTCAGTGTCTCGATATTCTTGATGTGCTGCGTGACGACCACTTTATTGTCACGCGGCAGCAGCACCTTGTAGCCCTTGGTTTCCTCGCTGACGCCGACAATGATGGCGCGCCCCGAGCGCTGCAGCAGCGAGTTCTTGCGCGGGTCTCTATACACGCTGCACTGGGAGCCAAAAACGACAATTCCACGCAGATCCGGCGTCTTGCCCGTCAGCACCTAGAGTGGTGACGCTCTCTTTGCGTTAGCTCGCGTAGGGCTCCGGTTGAGGATGTGAACGGCGTATAGTACCGCGTCTCCCCAGAACATCAGGGGCAGCGCGCAGGCAAACATCATGCTGCGCGCAAGGTTCAGCACTGTCCGGTGCATTCGTTCCGCCTTGCCGTTTGAGGCCTGATTTCGCGCCTCCGACACTTGGCGCGCGACGCCCGTGCGCTCGCAGAACAGGTCCACGTTGGCGTATTCTCTGCCGCCGTCCGTGCGGAGCACGTGGACCTTGAACCCGAAAAGCTTCTCGAAGTGGACGAGGAACGCCTCGAACTGCCTCGCCGCAGCGTCCTTCGTGCGCGCGAGGAAGACTCGGCAGTAGTTGCTCTTGTGATCAACGAGGTTCACAAGGTAACGATTGCCGAGTCGGTCCCGCGGCGTCATTGGACCCTTCAGGTCCGAACAGATGACGCCTCCGATGCGATCGATGGGCGAGTGCTTGCCGCTGTCTTGTTGGGACTGCGCGTTGCGCGTCTGCTTGCCCTCGAGGCACGACATGCACGCCATACGCTTGTTGTTGCTGAGCCGAATGCCCGATGCCGGATCGCGCGCCATGCGTTCGATCGTGTCGAACGCAAGGTGGCCGAGTCTCTGGTGCCAGTGCAACAGCGAGGCTTCGTGCGGCTCATCGGCGTTGGTTTCCGTTGCATGCGCTTCGAGCGCCGCCATGATCGCGTCTCCGCCTGCTTCCTTGTCGCGCGTGGCCTTCGTCACGACATACAGCACGTTGCTGTCGATTGTGACATCGAACGCGACCGCACCATCTCTGCACCGAGCGAGCGAGCGCCTTTTGCCGGAGTGCACTAGGGCAAATCCTTTGTTGGCGAGCTTGCCGTACGACACAATGTTCTTTGCCAGTCGCGGCGCCAAGTACACATCCGTGAGCGTCACTACCGCTTCAGCGCCGCGCGCAAGAACCTCGAGGCGCACGCTGCCGACACGCGTCAGGTGAAGCGACTCGCCGTCTGCCATCGCAATTTCATGGCTGCAAGCCGTCAACTTGAGCAGCAGCGACTCGTCGTTGACAAGATGCCGGCTCGCGCCGCTATCGAGGATCCAGTCTCCTCGGTCGACGCCCGTGGCATCGGTCGCCGCAAGTACGAGGCAGCTCGTGCCGTCCGTGGCTCTTACTCCGTCGCTCGTCGTAAGCACGAAGCCGCATGAGTCGTCTATGGTTCGCGCCCCATCACTTACATTGGTCGCTGCGGCGTCCTTGCCGCGCGAGCCCTTCTTCCTCCTGTTGCGCTTCTTCGTGGTCGCTCTGCGCTTCTCGGTCAGCGCAAGGATCATGCTGGCGCCTCCACCCTCCGCGGGTGTCTCGTCTTTGTGAACGACTCGCGCGCGACAGTTGGCTGGTCGCCCACATCGGTAGCACGTGATCGCGCCCTTGGGTTTGCCTTCCACGTGCGCGGCGACGACCTCACGACCCACCGCGCTGCTGCCGTGCTCAATGGACTGCGCGAAGTGCGCCAGCTCCTCAGCATGGCGCAGGTAGTCGAGTCGAGTGGGCTCATACTTGGAGCGCATCACGTTCACCAGCTCCGGCGAAGCGTGGTGGACGATGTTATCGAGAACAAGCGAGTCGGCACCACCGCGTGCCTCGCTGACGGCGACCATGTACAGGAAGTGCTCGGCCCAGGTGCGTCGTGCGTCCTTCTTGGCCATGAATAACTTCATCGCCTGGCTTGCAGTGATTGACGTCTTGAACGTGCGCAGGAGCTGCTCCATGATGTACTCCAGTGTGGGTGATTGCGTCCACCAGGTATCGACCTGCTTGTGATAGTACCTCTCAGCCGCGCCGGCGAGAAAGTGCCCAAGCAGGTCGACCTTGACGTCTTCGGTCCATCCGAAACCACACGACGCTTCCGCGAGGCTCACCACGCGCAGAAACGTACGCCCCCAGTCAAAGAATCCGCTCCCGAGTCCGCGGTACAGCTCCGTACCATCGAACTTGCGTATGTTCAACTTCCGCTGGCTAGCGGACGGCATCCCGTAGCCGTTGAGGCCCGGTCGCACATAGGCTTGTGGCGGAGCGAATTGTTGCGGCGGAGGTAGCGCTGCATGCTCCTGCGGAGGTGGCGCAGACGCTGGTGCGCGCTGCTGCAGCTGCGGTGCTGCGCGCGCGCGAGGTGGCTCGAGCGATGCGAATCGCGACGCGCCAAGATCAGTCGCGCGCTGGTACCCACGTGGCACCGGTGCCTTCTCCTCCGCGTCTCCGATCGCGTCTATCGTCATCGGTCGGCCACGCATGTTGGCGCCGAGTTTCGAGGCGAACAGTCCGCTCTCCACGGCCCCTAGCATGCGCTCCTCCTCGTCTCGCACTCTCTGCGACGACTCGAAGCTCGCCAGTCGATCGGTGAGTGCGGCGAGCGCGGCGAGGATCTTATCGTCTCGCTTCCAGCTCTCGCGAGCGGGTACATCGTTGACGACTGTGGGTGCGGTAGGCGCACGCGCTGGCGAGCCGCTCCCGGGCGTGGCTCGCGGGACACCCCCTGGTGTCTTCGTAGTCGGTTCGGTGGTTGCGGCCATTGGGCTCATAATGTAACGGGGTGAATCATTACATAACAATTTATAAGAAATTGTTAATAGAATATAACTAAAAGAGTTATATTCTCAGAATATTGTCATAAGGACAAATATTCTGTAGCACTTACGAGTAAATCCTAATTGGTTGATATAGGCCATTATATCAACCAACGAAGACGCGCCACGACAGACGCACGCAATGAGTGGTGAGCAGATAACTGATTTACACATTTGTATTTAGACATAGTTAGATGAAGATAAATAGTGATTTATTGCAGACATTAACTATTATAAATACAGTTCTACTTTTTACTCTAACCGAGTACTCGCTTCTTCTTACCGTCTTTCTCTGCACGTACGAGTGTACGTGAAGTTACGAGGCACCGCCTTATTCTGTCATCAGAATAAGTAGCTTGTACTGTCACCAGTACAAGCTTCAGGGTTTTGCCCCATTACACCTGGTAGCACTTCGTAGTCCGTCCAAGGACCGCGTTCACATCCAACATGAATATGTTGGATGATGAAGATGACCAAAGCTTTCACGCTACGCGTGACGGCTACTCCCATTTGAGCGATGTCGAATGGGATGCGGTTGAACGAATGGGCTCAACCATGGGCATCCATGCTGTTAGCGTCATGCTAGAGGCTCTCAATAGAGATGCCCAACATGCTACTATCGCCAAGTTCATTCAAAATGAACTTGACGCTGAACGCGAGAAAGTAGCCTTGCTTCACCAACAAGGTTCTCAACAAGCAGAGTTGTTGAGAGAACAAGGTGCTCAACAGTTTGAACTGTTGAGACAGCAGCAGGCTGCTGCTGGCGGGTCGATGCACTCGCGTCGACCCGAGACTTTGAAGATTGACATATCAAAGTATAGGGGGGTCGAAGAAGACTCCCTCTTGAGATGGTTCGTCGAATTGGATGACGCCATAAGGGTGCGTCGCATAGACGACGGGGATATGCAAGTTGCATTTGCCCAGTCAAGTCTGGCAGGACGTGCCAAGACTTGGGCACTGGGGCTCAAGTTGCACGACCCATATGCGTTTGGGTCGTTGGAAGTCTTCAAGTCGCGGCTCAGACAAACGTTTGAACCGCCTAGAGCTGAGTTCAGGGCTCGAACCGAACTCTTGAAGCTCAAACAGGGTAAGCGTGATGTGCACGCTTACGCGCAACATATACGACATCTTACGAGTTGTATAAGTTCCAATCGGGTGGATGAACACACGTTGGTTTCGGTGTTCATGCAGGGTCTTGCGGATGGTCCCGTCAAGACTCACCTGTTCCGGCTTGAACTAGATTCACTAGAACAAGCCATTTCCATTGCGGAGCAGGAAGACTTCAGTCTGAGACAGGCTCGCGCCAGCTCGACATCATATCGTCAACCGAGACGATATGACAACGGAGGTCCAGAGCCGATGGAACTCTGTTATGTAGAGAGCGAGAAGGCTCGCTATACAGGCTACAAGAAGTTGCAGAGATGCAACAGATGTCAAAAGACAGGACACTACGCTTACGAGTGTAGTGCCCCTCGTCCAGTGTCTCGCGACACTGGGCGTAGTGACCGTCCACCCATGAGAAAGGGGCAGGGACGAGGGTCCGCAGTTGGTGCAAAGACGCAACAACGGGATGGACCGTCAAAAAACGGACAGGATCAGTAGGTGCGGAGCACCCTACTGGTCTAGCAACGTCAAGAGAATTTGTAGGCCTCTTGATGAAGGTTGCTCCCAACACGCAAACGTTGTGCGTTGCTGCTCTAGGTAATGAGATCTCACTCATTACCTTGAAACTCGAAGTGACGAATAAGTTGTCTCTTCGAGCTCTAGTCGATTGTGGGGCGTCCAACAATTTTGTGCGACGCCAATCGCTAGAAGATGGTCACTTTAAATTCAGTGAATGTGACACACCTCCTACGAGGATGACGGTACGTCTTGCGACAGGCGCATCCGTAACCGTCATGAAGCGTATAGTGAAGATCCACTATACGCTAGAAGATACCCAATATGACGATGACTTTATCGTATTGGATTTGGATGACAAATTTGATGTCATCCTTGGAATACCGTGGCTCAGAAGGTACGAACCACGGGTAAACTGGCAACATCGAACAGTAACGATGCCTGCCGCTTGTTCATCAGATGGCCATCTGATGAACGTTTTGGAGCGTCCACAAGCGTGTGGATGTACTACGAGTGAGTGCGATGGCCTCACTTGTGGTACGGTCGTTAGTACGACTGCACAAAACCTTAGTGTACCAAACGGTTACACTTCGGAGCAAAGTTCCGGCGGCTGTGAGGAAACACAGGCTGCGCCGAAGGTCCACCACTCGAATAAGTCGGGTGGACTGGGACAAAGATGTATCCCTAGCGGGGAACATCTAGAAGAGAAACAATAGATCGCTCAGGTTAAGCGAAACGATAATCCTAGATCGACTGGAGAGTCTTTCGTAGAGGATCTCGCTGTGGTTGCGCAACCCCAGCTAGAGGAAGTAAAGGGAATAAGTCCCAAGATTACAAATACGGCGGAAATAAGTTCCCCGAAACCCGCGGGAATAAGTCCCCGGGAAGCCGAAGGAATAAGTCCTTCGAAGCCTGAGGGAATAAGTCCCCAGGAAATGACAGAGACATTGAATGTCATAGTCAATAACGGATCAAGTGTAGGCGCTTATACACTTGATCTGATTGCGCCTCCGAAGTTGACTTCGGAGATCACTCAGTTGCCAACGCTCGAACATAAAAGGTTCTTGCGTGATCTGCGTAGTGGCAAAGTCAAGCAGATCTGCATACTCGTCGCTGACGACGAGTGTGTAACCGACATAAGGTCAGCAACAGTGTTCACTGAGAACGAGAGAGTTCTCAGTAGTTCATCTATGGACGAGAGTGTCCTAGATGAAAAGACACGAATTGAGCGATATGACTCCCAATCATGGGAATCACTCAAGAAAAATCCTCTCTATGAAGATTTGGTTGAATTCAAGGATGTATTCCCTGAAACTGTTCCGTGCGAATTACCGAAGGATAAAGGTATTCGACACGAGGTCGAGCTTAAACCAGGCTCGAAGTACTTTGTCATGAAGCAGTGGCCACTGCCTCGTGAACAAGTACTTGCGATCGACAAGTTCTTTGCCGATCGTTTAGCTGCGGGCCATGTGAGGGAATCAACTTCCCCACATAGCTCTCCGACCTTCTGTGTGCGAAAAGCAACAGGAGGGTGGCGGATAGTGCATGCATTTAACAAGTTGAATGCTGCAACGGTACCGGCTCAGACGCCGATACCGAGGAAGGACGTAATCATTGATGGTATGTCAAAGAGTACCATCTTTTCGTCCATGGATTTGATGGATGGCTTCTATCAAATCCTTATGCGGGAACGGGATATACCCTATACCGCAGTTAGCACGCCTAGCGGCATGCTCTGGGAATGGCTAGTAATGCCACAAGGGCTCAGTAATGCCCCTGCCACGTTCAACAGATGTGTATCACATCTGTTGAGACCAGTACGAGAATTCGCGCCGAGTTATTTCGATGACGTATTCATCCATAGTCGGGCTATGGATGGAAAGTCGGACGTTGAGGTTCACAGGTACCACGTCCGACAGGTTCTTACAATCATGCGAAAGCATCAATTGTATGCTAACCTCAAGAAGTGTATATTTGCAGCAAGCGAAATACCACTTCTTGGGTGCATCGTTGGTAAAAACGGTGTACGTCCTGATCCCGAAAAGATCAAGGCGATCACCGACTGGCCTGTGCCGGTCGATGTCAAAGGTCTTCGAAAATTCCTTGGGCTAGCGGCGTATTTGCATAAGTATTCACGCAATTACGCCGAGATGACTGTGCACCTCTCTCGTTTGTTGAAAAAGAACGAGAGGTGGTTATGGAACGCTGAATGTCAACGCTCCTTTGAGGGTATCAAGCAGAGCTTGATACAATCCCAAGTCCTAGCAATAGCCGATCAGGACAGGCCATTTCATGTGGTCTGTGATGCCAGCGATTTCGCAATCGGCTGTGCATTAATGCAGTACGATCTTGAAGGCGTTGAACGCGTCGTCTGCTATCAGTCGCGTCAGCTGCAACCAGCTGAGCGGAACTATCCAGTGCATGACAAGGAACTCCTTGCCATGAAGTATGCACTCGCGAAGTTCAGAGTCTATCTATTAGGAGATAGACCCTTCATTGTTTACACTGACCATGCGTCATTACGCACGGCAGTGAACAGCCCGCACCTTTCACAACGAATGGCGCGGTGGTTGTCATTCTTTGCGGAATACAACTTTACGGTCGAGTACAAACCAGGAAGACTTAATGTCGTCGCTGATGCACTCTCACGTCGTCCCGACTTTGAAACAGTCGCGAAACCCAACAGTGAGACAGTCACTGTTGCGGTTATGACGTCCTCAGTACCATCTACAACGTTGTATGATGATGTGAGGCGGGCATACGCCCAAGATGGTGAGATTGTGAATTTGTTGACACATCTCTCCCAACCATCTCGAGAATCGTTGAAACGATTGTCGTCTGCGTATCGATCTGCATCAGATCGATACACTACTCGCAACGGTTTACGGTATCATACAGCCGTTACTGGTGACACGCCACGTGTTGTCATTCCAGATGATACTGATCTGCGTTTGCGGATCATGTTCGAGTATCACGATGCTCCTATAGGAGGACATCGTGGCCGGGAGAAAACATATCTCACGGTAAGTCGAGACTTTTACTGGCCCCGCCAGCATCAGTTTGTGCGAAAGTATGTTCGCGCATGCGAAGTCTGCCAACGAGTGAAGTCAAGTCCTTCACTGCGTGCACCTTTACAGCCTCTACCGGTTCCGGCTGAGTGCTGGGAATCCATCTCAATGGATTTTGTCTTCGGGTTACCCAAAGACGCACGCGGGAATACGGGTATTCTCGTATTTGTTGACAGATTCAGCAAAATGGTACACCTTGTGGCTGTACCAGAGACAATCACGGCAAGTGGCTGTGCTTGTGTCTTTATTGACACCATCTTCCGACTTCATAGGTTGCCCCGTGAACTCGTATCAGACAGAGATCCACGATTCACTGCTGATTTCTGGCGTTCCGTGTTCAAATCACTCGGAACGCGCTTGAAGATGTCAACATCTGATCATCCAGAGTCAGATGGTCAGACGGAACGTGCCAATCGTGTCCTTGAAGAGATACTTCGAGGATACGTACACTCCTTTAAGAGTTGGAGTGAGTTTTTGCCAATGGTAGAGTTTGCCATCAACAACTCGGTGCATGCGTCCACGACACATACACCGTTTTACGTGAATGGCTTTCGCCATCCGCGTGTACCCACCTTACTAGAGCGTAACTCTGGTTTAAGGGGGGAGGGACTCGCGCGAGCAAAAACCGATTTGGTTCACGCTCATCACGCTCTGACGAGGAAGTCATTGCGTTTGATGCCGATATCGATAACATCGATATCGAAGAAGATGATGCCAGTGAGAGTGCGGAAGCCCTCACTGAAGAAATAGAGGGCGGAAGCCCTCACTGAAGAAAAGGTTGATGTTGCTGCAGTGCGCTCACAGCACACTGAAGCTAACGAGTCATCAGATGAGTTCATACTGGCTCGTGAAACGGTAGTCCGTTTTGTGCAAGACTCCATCGCCGAAGCGATGGATAAGCAAAAGCAAAACGCTGACAGGAATGTAAGGGCAAACACCCTTTTATTTAATAAAGGTGACTTAGTCCTACTGTCTACGGTTAATCTACCAAAGCATGTAGTGACTAACTTGGGTAGCAGTAAACTACTACCCAAGTACATTGGCCCATTTCGTGTATTGCATCTCCTAGGCAATGCATACACGATCGAGTTACCACGTAAGATGCGAACGCATCCCACGTTTTACGTTGGTCGGCTTAAGCCGTACCATCAGTACGCTTCTTCTTCCGATGAAGAACGCCCTTGCGCTCAAGCATCTCGCAGAGAGCCTTGTGCTCCCGATGGTGGGCATCAACAAGGGTCTGAAGAGCAGTTATCTCAGCCCGAGACCGATCAACAATCCCACGAGCTACCCTTAGCTCGTCACGAAGAGATGTCAGAGATCTCTCGTTCTCGAGCTGAGCAAAGGCAAACTCAGCTCGATGCTTCAAGGCAGTGTCCGCCACTTGGAGACGCCTATTCCGCTCATGCTCGAGATCGTCGCGTAACCCTTGGGTTACGCGATCAAAGAAGCTCTCGGGAACACACCGATCCACATGATCGTGTGGAGAGCGTCTTTCCTCCTCCTCCACCTCCATTAGAGGACTCTCGCGGTGGCCAGCGCTATCTAGTTGAGCAGCTGTTGAACCACCGCGACGTGAACGGGCGTCGGACGAGTTATCTCGTCCGATGGCGCGGCTATCCCCCGTCCTGGGATTCTTGGGAGCCCCGCTCCCAACTGATGATCGACGTACTGGGTCTGGTTGAGCAGTACGACGCGGCACATCCTGTGCCGCAGAAGGACCGCCGGAGAAAGTCTTCCCGGCACGGTCGTAAAAGGATTTCAGGTTGTCAATCCCTTCGTACATCTCAGTAGAGACACGTACGCGCCACCACGGGCTGGTAAGGAGGTAAGCCTCCTTAGGTGCTCATGCAGAGTTGTTCACACAACATGGGCACGAGTCTCCCCAAGAGAGGCAGGGTAATCCTTTCTCCCTTGACAGACGATGCAGCTTGTAGCGTGCACCTGTCGGGGTTCGCTTTTCAAACTTATCACGAGCTTTGATAAGTTTGTCGTTCCAAGCGTCACGACCTACATCCTCGAGGTTATGGATGTAGGCGTTCCACGCCTGAAGTAGTGAGGGACCATCACGTATGTGATTCCCACTGTACCATCGATGTCTAAAGAAAGCATCGATGAAGAATTCATGTTCAGCGCGATAGTTTTTCGCGCTGGGGTCAAGGTGATGGATCCTTGACGAATCGAACAATCGTGTTCGATAACGATCACTCGTCGTCGCCGACAAGTGATCCATGACTGATTTAGGAGGCATCCATGCCTTCTTCTCAGGAGCGAGACGCAACACATTGCGGTCCCGCTCTTCCTGCGACGTGCCGACAGAAGTACTGGCACCTCGCTGTGAAGTGGTGTCAATAGGAGAACCGACACCACTGTTAGCGCCCGAGTCTCGCGACCTCGAGCGCCTTCGCTTCGGCGATGGTTCATCTGATGAATCAGATGAACCAAAGATGCTGCGACGCATAGCATCATCCATGCCACGCTTGGCAGGCGGCTTAGATTCGATCGCCGTCGATACGGATCCGTCTTCCGTATCAGGAGAGTATGAGACACCGAGCTCATACTCTGTGAAGACATGAGTGTCTTCATGACCAGCGCCTGTATCACCAAGTGACACAGGCTGAGTCGCTTCAGCAACCGATGAGACATCAGTTGCTGTGGTTTCTGCTTCGGCGTCCGCACAGAGACGTGCGGACGCGCTCTCGGCGGCCTTGCTCGCGCATCGCATGGGCTTGTTAACCATGCGATGAAATGTTGGAGAGTGGACTCGGACCAACAAGTGCAAACCCTGTCCCAAATGATTTGGGACGAGTATCCATTTAGTCAATCAGTCACTAAAGTGACTGATGGTTAAGGGGGGGTGATGTAACGGGGTGAATCGTTACATAACAATTTATAAGAAATTGTTAATAGAATATAACTATAAGAGTTATATTCTCAGAATATTGTCATAAGGACAAATATTCTGTAGCACTTACGAGTAAATCCTAATTGGTTGATATAGGCCATTATATCAACCAACGAAGACGCGCCACGACAGACGCACGCAATGAGTGGTGAGCAGATAACTGATTTACACATTTGTATTTAGACATAGTTAGATGAAGATAAATAGTGATTTATTGCAGACATTAACTATTATAAATACAGTTCTACTTTTTACTCTAACCGAGTACGCGCTTCTTCTTACCGTCTTCCTCTGCACGTACGAGTGTACGTGAAGTTACGAGGCACCGCCTTATTCTGTCATCAGAATAAGTAGCTTGTACTGTCACCAGTACAAGCTTCAGGATGCCCCGTTACACATAACCTGTAGGCAAGATGCGTGTTGCGAGAAGGAAGCGTTAGGTGAACAATAAGATTCTGTTGTATTTCCTTACTAGTTCTCTCTTCTCTGCCATGATCGCCAAAGCCCTCTGCTCCATTCATCCATCTCACACGCATTCTGGCTCTACTCGGGTCACTATCCTGCTTGTCACTCTGCGTCCACCATTTACGCACAGCGAGTTTGTGACATCAGGTTTCCAAATAAACCCCAAGTCACCGGCCGAACACTCCGATCACCGTTACGTACCCTTGCACCCATTTCCAACATTCCAACATAAGGTTTACAGTGAGCACGAGAAGATCGAGGCAGGCGGTGCCAATGGAGCAGTTTCTGCACACACCGGCTGCTGTGCTTCCGCTTCCATTTTCTTTCACGAGTGACATTCGTCTACACTTTGCAAGCCAACGCATCATCCCGAGTCCAGCAGGCGGAGGAATACTCAACCAATTAAGTGGAACGACGTGTTGCCAATCTCAGCAGCTCAAGCCTGTCTCGACCCATTCATTCCATGATGGCTCAACGGAGCCGCGCTCGAGCCATTAGAAACTCATATAACCCCCAGCGTCTTTTTACAGCCGGACGTTTCTAAACAAGAAGGAGAAGGAGGAGAGGGCGGGGCGGGGGGTCACCCCATCATCACACTCTCATTGGTCCATCTCGATCTGCTACTCCAGCTACCGTTACTTCAAACTCGCCCATCGTATCCTTCATCTCATCTCATCTCCTCCACCTTCAAGACACCACCTCCTCCTCCTCCTCCTCCCGCACGTCACAGCTCCATGAAGACCGACGACGCCGCCGCCGCGCTCCACGTGTCCACCACGTCAACGGCCGCCGCGTCTCTGCCGCCGTCCATCGGCGTCATGTCCCCACGCAACGAGTTCTTCGTGTCCCAACGCGCCGCGACGGACTTGGAGCTCAGTCGCCTGGACACGTCGCTGTCCCTGGAAGAGCAGGAGATTCTGGCCACGATCCAGGAGCTCCAGCTGCAGCTCACGCACCTCCGAGCAGCTGAAGAGCAGGAGCACCGCTCCCCGGCTTCGACTGCAGACGAGCCACTCGCGCCAAGCGGGTCGAATCACCAGCTGATTGTCGTGTCGAACAACTTGCCGGTGCTTCTAGAGCGACAGCCACAGACGGGGCAATGGAAAGCGACGAAAACCACGGGCGGGCTGGACAAACTCATGTGTTTGACTGGCGTGCGGGCTGAGATGGACTTTCTATGGGTCGGCTGGGTCGGCCAACCCATTCCCAAGAGCGAGCACGAAGCCGTGCGCAGTTTATTGCTGCAGCACAAGTGCCTGCCCGTGTTCCTGTCGTCAGACGTGGCAGCTCGCCACACGAGCTTCTCGTCCGAAGTGCTCTGGTCGCTGTTCCACTACGTGTCGGAGCCCGTCCCGCTCTTGAATACAGGAGGGAACTCGAGCTTTTACTCGACGAAACGGTTCAACAAGCAAGACTGGCGAGCTTATGAGTCGGCGAACGAGAGCTTTGCCGATGCTATTGCAGAAGTGTACAATGAAGGAGACTCGGTGTGGGTGCACGACTATCACCTCATGCTGCTGCCGTCGCTGCTGCGCCAGCGCATTCCGCTTTGTCGAATTGGCTGGTTCTTGCACACGCCGTTCCCGTCTTCAGAGGTGTACTGCCGACTTCCAGTGCGCTCGCAGCTGCTGACGGGCGTGTTGCAAGCAGATCTGCTGGGGTTTCAGACGTTTGATTATGAACGTCACTTTCTGTCCACGTGTCATCGACTGTTGGGCGTCGAGTGCACACACAAAGGTGTTCGTAGTGCTCTTGCCAACCGTGATCATTTTACTTCGATTGGCGTGTTTCCGATTGGAATCAGTCTGGAGCCTTTCGCTCGTGTAGCGTCGAGTCGGCCGACGCTTGACCGAGTGAACGAGCTGCATGAAAAATTTGGTGGGAAGCGCATCATACTAGGGATTGACCGACTGGATAACATCAAAGGGATTCCTCACAAAATGTTGGCGATGGAAATGCTCTTGGACCGCTTTCCAGAGTGGCAGCATAATGTTGTGTTAGTGCAGATTGGCATCTCATCCCGCTCTGGAGTCGTTGAAAGCCGAGCTATTCGTGGGAGCAGTGCAAGTGATCGGCGTTCAAGTGTTAACAAAGCGACTGGAGAGAATAGCAACGGGCTTCCTCGAACGTCGTCTTATCCAATTATTGGACCAAAGAGCTCCATTGGCAGTGACAGCCCAATCAAAGGTGTGTCAGAGTCTCCTTCTACCGCTGCGAGTTCGATTGCAGCTGGCAAGGGGAACAGTAGTGGGTACGACGCCTGTTACCCACTTGAGATGAGCTCTCATAGCTACCACAATATTCTAACTCAAGTGAACCAGATCGTCGGGCGTATAAACGGCATCTTTGGAACTTTGGACTATGCACCAATTCACTTTATTCAACAGCAAGCAACGCCGCATGATGAATTGTGTGCGCTCTACGATTTGGCCGATGTTTGCTTAGTGACATCTACACGCGATGGTATGAATCTGGTGTCGCACGAATTTGTCGTGTGCCAGCAGCACTTTATGCGAAACAAGGATGAGCGTATGAAGGCTGCTCGTGTGGCCACAAGAGAGTCATCCGATCCTAGTGGTGAGGCTGACGGCAGATTGGAAAGTGTTGGTGCTTCAAACGCTCTCAGAGATGACGCTATGAAAAGCGGAGCGCTTCCTCCAATTCCGTCCCCACGGGAGTCTCCAATGTCAGTTCTGACGGATTGGGAAGGCGAAGATGGCGGACCAGGTGTGCTGGTGGTGAGTGAATTTGCAGGCTGCTCGCAGTCGTTAAGTGGTGCTATCGTCATCAACCCCTGGAATACAGAGGACCTAGCTCTAAGCATTCACCAATCCTTGAGCATGTGTCGTACGGAGCGCGAGATCCGTCAGCAGAAATTGTATCGCTATGTTTCGTCGAACACTGCTTCGGTATGGGGAAGACAGTTTCTGGAAGAGCTCGGTGTAGCTGTTGAGAAAAACCGCAAGTCATCCACTCAGCTACCGAAGCTCGACAAAAAGGCGATCGTGCGAGCATATGCTAGTGCGCAGAATCGTGTGATCATTCTGGATTATGATCGAACACTGACGCCCCAACACTCGCTTCTTCCGCTTGCTGCGGTCGGACCTAACTTTAAGTCTCTGCTTGACGCACTTACTGCTGATGAACGCAATACAGTGTTTATTGTCAGCGGTCGTGAACGGAAGTTTCTTGAGACCTGGTTGAATGGCATGCGAGTCGGTGTTGCAGCAGAGGACGGATTCTTTTATCGCATGAACTTGAGCAACACACGTGAGCAGTGGAAAACTATGAGCAAGTTCCAGTATGACGTTGCAAGTGCTCGTTCGGGTGGAAGTACTACCGTGACGATCGCTGGAATGGGTAGTGTGGGAAGTGTAGATACTTCTTACTCGAGCGAAGCTCACGGCGGCATGATGCACATGAGCATGGGCAGTCTGCCAACGTATGCGCAGCATGGCTCTGCTCCGAGATCAACTGATACTGCAGATGGCACACCATTTGCGACAGGAAGTGCTGCAACGGACGACTCATTCGGTGGAGATGACATGTCTTGGAAGGACTTGGTGCTGCCAACAATGCTGACGTTCACTGATCGAACGCCAGGCAGTTATATTGAAGACAAGGAGAGTTCATTGACCTGGCACTACGGTGACGCGGACCCTCATTTTGGCAGCTGGCAAGCAAAGGATTTGCAGATCATTCTGGAGCGGCAGCTTATTGGCACAGCTCTGGAAGTCTACCAAGGGCATATGGCAGTTAGTGTTGAGCATGAAGGGTGCACGAAGACCCGTGTTCTGGAAGGCATTCTCAAGCACCTGTCGCTTCCTGAGCAGATCGCCAAGAAGAGCGGCCAAGAGGTTGATTTCGTTTTGTGTGTGTGCGATGACGTGACCGATGACCAGATGTTCCAAACGTTGAACGCCCTGGTGACTGAATCGAATGAACGTCACGAAGAAAGGAAGCGAAGGGAGGAACAAGCAGCAAACGAGCGGATCCGCCGCAATTCTATTGCCGGAGGCAACCCGGTTCCGGTCCAGTTGCATGCACGGCCCGTGCCGTCTGCTGCCCATGTGTCCAAGGCAAAGCCCCGCATGCCAAAACTACGAGTCAAGAGCGACATTACGGATGAAGTGGAGCCGAGTGTCAAGCTCAAAGGCGGCATGAAAAAGCGGAACCAGAGCGTTGGAGCTGCAGCGGCTGCTGTGCGTGGACACGAAGACTACTCGACTGACGAAGATGACGAGTTGGACGCAGGAGAAAACATGGACGACGACAACAAGGTGGCCTTCAGTCGCTTGCAAAAGGTGCCTGTGCAACTTGCAGAGAATGTGGCAATATTCGCTGTCGTTGTTGGCCCGGATGTTAAACACAGTGGGGGACGCCATGCCTCTTCATTTGCGGTGGACTCGCTGGCAGACGTGCGATCGGTTCTCAAGGATTTTGTGGACGAAAGTCGCAAGGAAACCAACCGGGCCAGCCCTACACCGGTGACACCCGGGTCGTAAACCTGTGACTGCATCTTCAGTGTTTGTGTGTGCTTTGCATTATGCAAACTTTGCTTACTGCTGCCGTTCGTCCTTACAGGAGGTCGTAGAAGAAATCTAGCCCTGCATAGCGGTAAGCAACGACGCATCAGTTAAATATATGCTCTGAGGCCGAACGATCTATCCAAGCACTGACCTTGCCCGAGCTCCCAGATTGCTACCCCCACGCCGTTAGCCTTGTACAGTGTCAAACGATCCTGCAGGAATTGCAGACATGGAAAGAAAAGCACGTGCTGACGGCTCGGTTCCGCAGCAGTGTACACGTGCTGACACTCCTGATTCACCATCATATTCGACACAAAAGAAGTTGTCAGCCATCAAACAAAGAGACACTTGTAGCTTTGCTAGAGACGTACATGTGACTCCAGGTCCCATCGAATGGTCACATCGTTGTCCGTTAACGCTTGGATGTAGGCACTCCCCGTAATCGCATCTGCACGAGCAGTCAGACGAAGCAATTAGCGGTGAGCCACACACAAAATCAATGCCACCACCATGTCGGCTCACCAGCGTTATCGTAGCCGTAAAACGGAAGTCCCATCAGTATCCTCTGCCGCTCCATCGGTGACATCTTCTCCAACGTCTTTGCCAGCCACGGGTATGGCGCATTTGGCCCTGGCGTACCAAAGTCATACGCGTTCATGGAGAAGCGATGGACTAGCGGTGCCAGCTCGGCGAAAAGCTCGTGCGTCACGGGCATCTCACCCTACGAAACAGCACATCCACAACAAGCAGTTAGCCAGCAACAAAATACACGCAAGACGGCCAAGTCGTCCATGACTCACGTCGTTGGAGCTCCGGGGCAGCACAAGAATGAACAACTTGTCTGCAGCTCGGAAGGCCCGGGCCAATTGTTGCAGCATATCGAGCGTCCCTTGCATGACAGGAATCTCAAACACGATGCCATCAAAGTCGTGCTCGTTCATCAGATCCAGCATCAGGTTCGTGATCAGCGGAACGTCTTCGGACTTCAGTTGGTTACGCTCGTACACAACACGAGGTACCACCGCTGGATCCATCGCGAGCTTCACCTCTCCTTCCACTCCGTGCTTGACATGCTGCACCCACTGCCGGTCGATCTCGTGAAGGCCCGTGATAGTGGGCACGTGGTTACGGTCTTCACGCACTTGGAGCCACACGGGCGAGATGTACGTGAACTTGGAGCGAAACCTTTTGGCCAAGGCGTAACCCCTGCTGTTCCAAGGCGTGACGTAACCCAACGTCTCGCCTCGGAAGAGCTTTTGGCTGCGACTGGAAGCTCGTGCGTGCTCTTTCAGGATGAGTTCCGGCTTGAGTTTGGGCGTCACGAGACCCCGAGTCCAGACAGACGGGACGTCGTCCATCCTGTCTCTTCTGTCGACTGGACACTCGAGACCGTCGCATTGGACTTCTACTAGATCTGGATCAGGCTGGAGGACCTCTAGCTGCAGTATTTTTGATCAGGTATGAGAGGCAAACAAAGATAGAGAGAGAACAAGTTAGAGAGGGAGAGAATGGATTAGAAATGGATTAGAAATGGGGTACGTACGTTGCTCGACATAAAGTCAAAGCTGCTGCTGTCGTCGTCCTCGATCTCATCAGCAGCGTCGTTGTCGATGAAGTTGGAGGCATTGACAAGGCGGTTGAAAGGCCCCAAGAAGCGGCTTAATAGACATGCCACGAGCAGCGCCGTCCTCATGGTGTCCGTCCGGTTCGTGGATGATACGCAAGAGTTGATGGGCTACATGGGGTACGTAACCTGATCAGTTAGGTACGGATGGGGTGCACTTGCACGACGGAGGAGCACGACGTATTAGTCGTACAAGTACGACCAGCTGGAGCAACCTTGAATTGTGACATCCGATTTGGTCCGAAACTTGAGACAAGCAAATTTCGAGGCGCAACGTTTGTAGTCTGTAGCACCCTAGCTTCAGTGACTAATGCTGTCTCGTCTACAATCAGCTCGACGACCAGCGATACAAACGTTGACCTCAATTCCTAGTTTGCGCGCAAGATCGTGCGTTCGAAAAAGAATGGACATACTACAACTCTAGATTGCACCATCTCTATAGCTTCGACGTGTCAATAGCGTAAGAAACTGGACGATGGCGCAACTGGTTCAAGTCTGCTTCAATGAGGCAACAGCACCGTTTAGTGTATGAAAGAGGATCACTAGTGCGGATTTTGGAGCTGTGCGTGTGGATCGGTCACGGTTGACACTGTTTCTCCCGCAGTGACGAGTTACAAACAGTGGGACTGAGAGGGGAGACGCAACTGTAGACGATGCATGGCTAAAGAGGTCTCCGAAGTAATGTGACGCCACGCTACCTTTCATCCCACTGAAGGTCCTTTCTACGAAACAGGTCGGACTCATGGCGTGGTCATACACCGGTCAATTGGCAACTTTCGACCCGCCGCAACCAGCGGAGGAATTCTGGACGGAGTTCGTACGTCATTGCTGCTGTCGCGGGAGGTACCACGCTCATTGACTTTGCCCGTTCCTGGTGAGGTCAGAGAGCACACATCCACGTCGCCATCATCAAATTATATACGTTACTGGACCCTGATCTTAGTCACTATGAGGGAATGTACAGTTGACACAAAGTAGGACATCCATCCTGTAATTCCTAAAGACACCGAGACGAGAGGGAGATCTGTTGCAGCAGCATCGCACAAAGTACATCTATAGTATGACTCCACACCGTTTGCCGACTTTCAAGCTGCCTTACAAAGCATCGTCATCCCGATGTAGAAAAGCTATAGCGGACTATCAGATGCTAAGCAATAAGCTGTCCAGATAAGACTCAACTGTCCAGCTCAGCTGGTCGAACGTGGTCTCCTCTTCAGTCTCCTGTCGTCGTCAGAATGGATCTGCACTTGCGACTCTCGGTGTGACTCGTCCCTTTGAGATAGCTAAAGACTTGGTTTCCAGTCATGGACTACCGAGAAGCTTTCACGTCGAACGTCGAGCTGACACCATGAGCTCTACATCGTCCAAGTCAATCGCCTCGGAGTCGCGCCATCTATGTATGCACTGTGTATGACAACGCATCCCGTCCCACTGCTGCTGACCAGCAGGTTGTTTTACTTACCGCATCACATAAAAGCGTTGGCGCTGTTACCAGCTTATTTTCCTTACCGCAAAAATAGAAGCGTTAGCGCTTGCCGCCAGCTTTTTACAACATGACGCACAGTGTCCTTGATTCCGATTACAGCGAATCGTGTGGGAGATGTTACGACTGTTCCTATGCCAAGTCCGTCCGTTCGTCCGTCCGCTCTTTCGTCACGCTGATTGGAGCAAAACGACCTTCCATCGCCGTTTAGCGTCCTCTATCCTCGTCGGTGCTCCTAATGCAAAGCACACAAAACCCTGTCTGAACTGTGCGTAGAGAGAGAGAAAGGTCTTGACGACCTCCTCCTCCTCGTTCTACCATAAAGACCAACCTCCTCTATCGACACGGCCAACCTCCTCTATCGATACGGCCAACCTCCTCTATCGACACGGCCACACTATCCCGTTTCTAGCTGGCACTTGACCAGTCCGTCCGTCATTCTCCTTTTTGCGTCCACCGCCTCAAGTCGCGCCGCATGTCGTCGCGCGCTCGCGAGTTCCCCACGTTCGAGCCCTCGTCGTCCCGCCGCATCTTCGCGCGCTCCGACAGCAGCAGCAGCAGCACCCTGTTCTCCAGCAGCTTTGGCCGCGCGCCCGCGCACTTGACGCCGTCCCCGCGCACGCGCTCGTACTTCAGTTCCAGCGGCGTCACGTGCCGCTCGACGTTCGAGTCCTCGAGCTCCACCGACGTCCAGGAAGAAGACCAGGCGCTGCTCACGCTGGCGGCCACGGCCTGTGCCCAGGTGGAGCACGCGCGGTCCACCTTTGGCCGCACGAGTGGCTGGAAAGAGCGCAAAGAAGGGGCGGGCGTGCGCGTCTTCGAGCGCAAGACCAGACCTGAGACCTTCGACGTGGCCGCGTCCACCGCGTTGACCTGCAGCGCCACGGAGATCCTCAACCTGCTCTCGAGTCGCCATAGCGACGACTTTAACGCGACGATGGTGGCGCTCGCGGGCGACGCGTTCGCCTACGCTGTGACGCTGCGGGAAGTGCCGACGACGTCCGCGACGATGCACTTGTCGATCAAGCGCGTCACGTTCTCGGGGGCCATGCCGCTCGTGTGCAGTGCCAAGACGATCGAGTTTCTCGACTATGTCGAGGTGGACGCGAAGACGCGGACAGCGATCCGCACGTTCCATACACTCACACGCGACCAGACCGGTCGACTGTTGCTGGGAGGGGACGTCATTGCCGGGTATGTGCTGAGTGAGGAGATGAAGCTCCACCAGACGTCGGTGTTTTACTTTGGCACCCACACGATGATGTCGTGTGCTGCAGTGCTGAAGGCCAAGGGCATTGTAAAGGCCAAGCTGAAAGCTGCAACGGGACGAGAAGCGACGGCCCAGGCGCTGTTGAAGCTCGCAAGGGCGATCCCGAAGATTGGGGAGATTACGATCCGGAGACGGTTGGGGGCAGTAGACACGACGGATCCGGCTGATAGTATCGCGGATGGCAGTTGTTCGGGCTGCGGGAAGCTCGTGAAAGTGTCGCTGTTGCGGAAGAAGCACGTGTGCTACATGTGCAGTCATCACGTCTGCGGCTCGTGCTCCAAGTCGCAGGATGTCGAGACGCTGATTGGCGTCATTGAACGCGCGCGGGTTTGCTGCATGTGCATTGCCGCTGCACGGCACCGCGCGTTTGAGACGCTCGACCAGCTCGAAGACAGACCCGTGTATTTGCTGCGACCAAGCACCATCAGTGTCTTGAGTGCGACCTCAACGAGTGCCGCGACGTCTGTGGACTCGACAGGTTCGCAATCGCGTCGATTGCCTGCAAGTGCACGAGGATGAGCCGAGGACACGGAGACTTTGTGGCCATTCATTCATTATCTAATATCTAATCGGCAAAGGTCGTTGAGCATTATGTAGTAAGTACCCAACTCACACAACGAATACTACTGCTACTATCGCACCCAACTCACAGAACGAATACTACTGCTACTATCGCATCCTTATTCCTCTGTATCTACCCGATCGCATAGCTACACCCGGTCTCGTTGTCTGCTATTACATAATGGAAGGAAATAAGCGACGTCGGAGCACCTTTTGTCATTGTCTAGTATAATCTATCTATCTATCTTACGGGTAGAACCAGCGACTGAGACAAACATGATTGAACGGAAGCAGTAGCTCGGCCCTACTGTAAACTATGCTAGGACTAAACTGTCTGGGTAGGTAGGTACAAGTGCAGCTTCTACCGCTCCTTATTCTGCCGAGGGGATTTCGACCCAGACGAGGGCAATGGCTACCAGCGCATACGCAGTTAGTAGCATCGACCCCTCGAGCCAATTGGACTTGCCATCAGCTATGATGGCGTAGACGATGATGATCGACATGAGGTAGATGAGAATCTCAAACTGAGGGAACGCCAGCGTCATCTCGCGGTCCATGAACCAGCCCGAGAGCACGACCACGGGCACCACGAAAAGGGACACCTGCGTCGCCGAGCCAACTGCGACGCCCATCGCCAGCTCCATCTTGTTGTTCAGCGCCACTTTGACAGCCGTCACGTGCTCCACTGCGTTCCCCACCACGGGCAGCAGGATAATGCCGATAAACGACTTGCTCAAGTGCATTTGAGATGCAAAGCCGTCAATCGAGTGAACGAGAAACTCGGAAAACATGGACACGAGCAACGTCGCCACGAGCAAGACCGCTGCACTCGCTCGCTTCGACAGCGCCACGACTTCCTCCGAGTGGCTCTGTTCGTCTTCGAAGTAGTCGGCGTGGGTCTTGAGCTGAAAAAACAGCAACTGGAGGTACATAAAGAGCAGAAACGCCGCTGCAATGCGCGAGAGCGTGAGCGTATTGGCCACTCGAATCTCCTCCGAGTCGTGGTCGGAAAAGTAGAAAATGTAGCTCGGAAGCAACATGCCAAAGCTCGCGAGCATGAGCAGCGACGAGTTGGCGCTCGCGCCCACGGCATTGAACGAGCTCTCCTTGTTCCGCACGCCCCCGGCGATAAAAGCACAGCCGAGCACGAGCAAGAGGTTGGACAGCACCGAGCCAATCAACGAGCTCTGCACGACGTTGATCTCGCCTGCTTGGAGCGCGAGGATCGCGACGATCACTTCCACGGCGTTGCCGAACGTGGCGTTCACGAGGCCGCCAATGGTCTCGCCCGTGTGGAACGCGAGCGACTCGGTGGCTTCTCCGAGTAAATTGGCCAATGGGATCATGACGAGGAAGTTGAAGACAAAGACCCAGAGGTCGCTCCAGCCGCCGAGCGACGCCCAGATCGCCAGGGGCGCCGCCAGTAGCATGAGGTTCAAAGGCTGGTCCTTGACCATGGCGTAGATGGCCTGCGCGTCCTGCTTCACTGTCAACGGCACGTCTTCATTGTCCACGCTGTGGCTGTGGCCGTTGCACTGCTCGGTAGCAGCTTCGGCCTGGCTGCTGCTTGCCTGGCCGTTGCCCTGGAGCAGCGACGAGCGCTCGGTCGGGTACTTGCGCACGCGAGAAGAACCGGTTTCCGGGTCTTGGGTGCGGGACCGCCGGATCGACGCGAGGGCTTGGGCCGTGTGCATGGCCTGGACAGCGAAACCTGGAGCGAAACCTGGAGCGAAACCTGGAGCTGGAGCGACTCGGAACGCACGCAATTGGTTGTGGGACGGACTTTGGGGTCGGGACCGATCGGTCGCTGGTATCTTGTGGACGAGCCAAAGGGTCGGCTGGGTGGTAGGTAGGTAGGTAGGTAGGTAGGTAGGGAGGTAGTTCAATCGATCCGTTGACTGGCGTTTAGTATGCCCCAAAAGGTGCTTCGAGTGTCTCTTGGTCGCCTCAAACGCGAGGTGGTGTTTCTTGATCGCGAGTGAAACTCCAGTTGGAAAGCGAGACAACCCCACGTGGGGCTCGCGGGGTCCTTTCGCGACGTGCCATTGGTTGAATTACCTCGAGTCGACCACCGCATTGGACGAAACAACGAACTGGCACTCGGGCCGTCGGTCGTAAGCTGGCAAAATCCATCAAAACTCAGGTGTTGGCGTTTGTTTGCACGGGACGGACGGACGGACTACTGAGAGCCGTGCGTTTTGTGTCACTCGCTTGTGGAAGATCCGCGCGGTCTCTTGCGGCGGGTGAAACGCCGGAAGTGAAAATCAGACGGCGGTTCGGTAGGCAATGGGCATCGACGGATTGCGACGTGGGAAGGGAATTCGCACCGTTTATGTCTGAAAGGCTCGGAAGATGGGGCACGTGCTTCGATTTGACGTCGCTTGGACGCCACGTTGCTTTGAAAGGCACTGGTGGAAGTCCAATTGGAACCACCACCACCCACAGCTTACAGAATCGACGCATCTTTGCGACTGACAACGCCACTGCTGCCATGTGACAAACTGTATGGAGGAGATGGCCTTCACCTGCTCTTGTGCAACAGCGTTCTAGGTAGAGGTCGGAAAAAAAGAAGTGGAATGTGGCTGTCGGGTCTGTTGCAGCTGATGGGGTCCTGGTGTCTAGTTCGAATACGTGCTGTGAACTAACGACTGGAATAGCGAGATGTCGGGAACGATCATCATGAACTGCACGCGGACGATGTTTCATCAGGTTTTCGTCCTGTTCGCAACAGCAGAAACGCGGTGCCGTCTCACTGACCCAAAGTGAAACTACCAGCACGTCCTGATGCAATATCAGCATCTTGTCCGTCGTCTCTTCCAGTGCTAGTGTTACCTTGAAACCATTCTGATTCTACAAGCAGGACGAAAACCGGGAGACTGGCCACCACGCAAACTGCCTGATCGGTCGTGGTGCGCGTCGTCTTTCGCCCGACGGTCTAGCATATGCGGCTTCCTCTGCCAGCAGCTGAAGGCGAACGTAATGGTAGCGTCAAGTTTCCGATACAACCACATGAGGTCTTTCATTGTGTTCTACTGCACGACGAAGTGTGGCCAGGAGTTGGACAGCTACTATGCAGCATCCGACCCACACCTGCAGTAGCAGTTGTAAACAACATGGTTGCTTGATAAGGATAGTAGTGCCGCAGAATCGAAGACAATTCGCCTGGTAATGAATAGCTGGGTGTTGCAACAGTCGGTGCTCGTCCACGTGTCATTTGTACGCAGATGTATAAGCAGGCAGGCGTTGCATTGCATCCTGAGACTGCGACACGACAACGCATTGTCCTCTTTTCGTCGACCATGTTTACATTCCAGTCGCCAGACGCTCTGCGCTTAGCAAGCTCACGTCCAAGTGATTCACAACACGTGTTAATGCCGCTCGACACAAGAGAGTTTACATCGTCGTGCGGCTGGACAGCCTCATACAACCAATAGTCACGGCTTCTGTATTGACATCCAGGACGATATGAGGAGCTCCGTGAATTGCCAGGCGGCCGGGCCAACATCGAAGCGTGGTGACGACAAAGATGACATACAGGGCTCAAACGTGCAGACGGCACACGTTGCCAGCGCGGAGATGGACGGCAACTCTCTTGTCGCGCGTCCACTGTTGCCATGTAATTGCATTGCAGAACGAAGAACGTCGACGAGTATCTGAGACTGCCCGTGTCGTCGTACATTGTGTCCTTTGGCTCAAGCTTGGGGTGTCTGCTTTGCTACTAGTCCTGCTGCTCCAATAATCGCTACGAAGAGTTTCCAATCAAATTGTAAATGACCACGTGTGTGCTTTCGGGCTCGAGAAATGAGCAAGACATTGTTGAAATTGCGACCCCAAGTTCAGCACATTAGTCGTTACTACAAGTATCGTTCTCGTTACCCAATGTGTGTAGGTGTGCAGACACAATCACATGTCCAACGATGTGACCGAAGAAAAGTAAACACCATCGTGTCGGTCCTGTCGAGGTTACGGCTACATGCGGAGAATGTCAAACCTGGCAGAGCATTTTCGCTACCGGTGAGGCCCCTGTGGTGGGCGTTTCTTCGTTGAGCTTTCGAGACAAGCGTGAATATGTTGTGGAAACTACAGCGTCTGTCGTCTGACTACTATCTCTGCGGAATGGCTGCGCGTAGCATTTTCTGAAAATCATCACAGCTTAAAAAAACACCGTCAATTAGCTTGTCTTTTAGTACCAGCCTGCACAGATACTGCATGCCATGTCTACTCTGACCGATCGAGCAACTTGTCGCTCACGTCACTTCATAGAGCAACATACCAGACTTTTGACACAACCTCTTGCATGAATCCGAAATCAACTTGTTGACATTTAGACAATTAGACCCCTTTTGCGGCGGAAAAGCGTCAACGACTCAATCATGTCTCTCCGCGTGCTCCAAGCGTCTACCCGTGCCGCTGTTGCCGGTTCCACCAAGCGCGCAACTTCTCTCGCGTTCTCTCGTGCTTTCTCAGACGTGGCCAAGGAAGATCAGGCCAAAGCGAAAGCCCTTGCGGATGAAGAGGCTCTTATGACGAAGCTGCGCGACCAGCAGATCGCTGACGCCGAGCGGACCAGTGCGTTGCATCGCTTTTTGACTGGCATTCTGTATGCCCTCTTTCGTTTTGATCGACAGTCGAGTTAACCATAGGACCGTTGTTGTTGTCCTGTACTGGTTAGTTCTGCCGTTCCACGCGACGGAAGAGTGCTTCCCAGACATTGAAAAGGCGCCCATGCCGTACCCCGAGGAGGCTGCTATTGTCTCTGGTACGGACAAGTGGTCGGTGGGACGCAAGGCCAAGCTGTTCATGCCGGCACGGAACCAGATGCAGAGCGGCACGCACCAGACCAAGCACTGGGAGATCCGCTTCGAGTCTCCGCGTACGTGGGAGAACCCCCTCATGGGCTGGACCAGCACGGCTGACCCCTACGTTGGTCTTGTCGCTAAGTTCGACACGAAGGAGCAAGCTGAGCACCTTGCCAAGAAACAGGGTTGGGAAGTGGATATTGCTGACCCTGCGCCGGTCGGTGACTTCAATGGCAAGATCTCATACTCGTACAACTTTTTGCCGGAGCACGTTGAGACGCTGATCAAGCAGAAGGGCAAAAAGTCGGCTGTGCAGTTCAAGCACCCTACTGGCCGTCGCAGTAACTGGGTGAAGACGCTCAAGTACCACGGTGACGGTGTCGTGGCGCAGCACGGAGGCGAAGCTCACGAGTAACATGCGCACACGGGAAGCGGTCACGAGAGAGTAGCATCGAAAGTCAGGATCGATGCTGCTTTCTTCATGATGGGCGTTTGAACCTAGCAGCAAAATCTCACACATCCATCATGGCTTATCGGTAATTTGTGCAATCACCAGTACGCACGAACAAGACGTAATGCATCAACAGGAGGCAAATTGATGCAGTAAAAGCTGATATCTGAACACGCAGCTTGGCACTTACTTCCGACTCTCGTGCGCTAATCTTTGCCGTCCATATTTAAACTGACACATGCGACGGCTGAGCTGTGGCAGTGGTAGACGCGCCAGTCGCGGTGGCATGCGCTTGCTTCTGGTTGTAGCGTAATTCTGGCATGGCTTCCAGATCCGCCTCCTCCTGATGTCCATCCGTGGACGTGGCCATACCGGTCGGCTTCATCATGGTAGCCTTGTACGCAGGATGCTGGCAAGATAGAAGCATAACGAAGCCCCAAACGCGTGAGACTAGACCACGCCGATTAGCCCATCCTCTTTCTCGCTTTGTACGCACCTTATTGATCAAGAAAAAGTTGAAGAGAGCCAGGAAGAAGAAGCATAGACCAATGATCCAGCCGATCCAGCCCTGAGACACGGCGAGGAACGCAATGCTGGAACAGTCACCACCAGAAAATCAACGTGTCAACACACACACCATTCTTCCGGCATTTTGCCTTCCACAACAAGCCAGAGGTCCAGAGATCCATACACACCTTAGAATGTAAGACGCCTTGCCTTTGGCCGAGAACATGAAGCCAAAGTTGATTTTCACGCGGTCCGCAAGTGTCGGGAACCGCTCGTGGTTCTCGACAAACGCGAGCCCCGCACTCAGAAACCTATAAATAGAGTCAGAATCGATACAGTACAAAACCGTCAGAGACTGCTGAAGGAAGTTACTTAAACACACGAGATGAAAACTGCCATACATGATATAAATGATGACGAGGAAGTGCGAGTAGCTGGGCACTTGGAACATGCGAAAGAAGCACGTGACCCACAAAGCACCGGAAAACAAGAGGTTCACTAGCCGCATGTAGCCATTGATCCGTGCAATGTCCGTGGTCGAAATGCGGCGCTCCAGCTCGTCCGTGTGTTCCTTAATGGCCGTGGGCATCTGCACGTGGGACAGCTGCGTCTTGAACTGCGTCGACATCTGATGCATCATCAGCGACGCGGCGGACTCAGTCGAACCGCTGCTGGCATCAGAAGCTCCTGCTGCTGGGACTGCAGGGGAAGGGGTCGGAGCGGAGGGCGCCGCAGAGGAGGCCGTCGTCGAGGGGTTCATCATGTCGAGCACTTTCTCCCGAATGCTCCTCCTGCCAAAAACGACAAAAGACGGCGAAGGAAAACTGACCATACAAAGTGCTATATGCCGAGCAAAACCCGCGATAAACGATTCACCAAATCGATCTCGAGGTTCCCACCGCCTGTGACATGACAGCCGGTATGCCATAATCGAGGTTTCAACGGATCCCGACATCTGGCGCGTTTAGATTGGCTAGAAATCGCGTGGACCGTGCGCCTGGAGGGGGATTAGCGACTCCATCGGCGCCGTCGCCACGTCGTTTAAGGTGCGGGCCGCTTGCTGGAGCTGTGCATTAGCTTCGTCTTTTTTTACTGTGGTGGCTCGTTGCTTGCCCGGAGCTGGTTACGCGTAATATAGTGAACAGCTCTGTAGGCGCTTTGGTGCATTTCTATTCCTTTAACTAAATCCAGTACGTGCACCTGCGTTTCTAAAGCAGTGGAAGTAGCAACGACGCGCTTTTGCAGGTACACGCGCCATAAACAGTCCACGCTTCTCGTGCTGCCCAAATGGTCGAAGACTATTTGGGTTCTTCATTCTCTCCCTCAGCCTGTGCTCACGTATGTCCATCGGCATTCACATGTATCTTGCGCAGTGGCCGTAGTACACTTTTTCTAGTAGGCTTACGGACACCGTGCTACCCATCCAGTTGTATTGACGCAGTACAAACGCTGGCCACAACAAAATCTGCATGCTGTCCAAGTCGAACGATATGCTGCTGCACACCATAGCCCGCATTATAAGGCTTGGAAGCCCGCTGGCTCTGTATGCTACATTGCTGCGAACGTGTTGACATCCAATCCTTCGACAGCGGTATGTGTCACGTCGGATGCGTATCTTGTCCAGCGTAACGAACGAAGAAACATCCGAGCTGTGTCATAAGCACAGCTTCCAGAAGAGCGTGCACGACAGCAAATTGCAGGACTTGGTGCTACACTTGCCAGTAATGTTCCGTATAAAGCCTGGTACTGGTTCGGCATTGAAAACTCGAACAAGCGCCTGTCAAAGCGCGTCTCGATTGCCGACACACATCGAATGCAAGTCTCAGTTGCATTCGGGTCGGACGTCTGCACTCGCGCCTATCGTGACGCACCCACTCGATGTGGTCCACACACGGTCTCAGCTCGCTCGGTCTGGGGAAAACAGACGTGGCTCCAGTCCAATCGTTCACGCAGCTGTTTCGAAAGGTTGTGGGTGCTCGAAGGTGGTCAGGGAATGGCCGCTGGACTCGTCCCACCCACGCGTCGTGAGAGTGGCACCTGCTGGCGCCATCGTGATCTCCACGTTCAGAGCAGCCAAGTCACTCGCGATCAGCAGTGACTAACACCGACATGACAACAAGCAACGACTTGCTGGATAGCACCAGAGTTCGGCCTTCCTGCTCTATCAGAATGGGAACTGACTGATGTCGACATCCGCAGCATCGCCCTGCATCTATTTGTTCGTGCTTGTCGAGCGGGCGCCTGGTCGATGCGGCTTGTCTTCTGCTCAGAGGTGCCCGTCCAGTAGCTCCTGTCGTCCATATGATGGTACTGTTAGCTAACGAGCTCCTGCGTCGGTAGCCATCCGTCGACGGCCGCTTTGTTCCACAACTTGGCGGTTAGAAAAAGGTCGCGCGTCTGTCTGCGCTGACTCCCTCCTCGTGGCACGTTCGAAGGTCCCTGTGTCCAGCTGATGTCGACTAGCTCCATAACGAAGCGGATGGAAAGAAAGAGGGGAGAGAGAGGGTTGTCACGTCACGGTCTGGACTCGACTGATCGGGTCAATTGGCAATTGACTAGACACATCCTCGATCCGATTCTTGGCTGAGTATCGGACTGACAAGGACCTTTGGGGCGAGAATGGCACAGGACGAGCACGAACCACATCAGAAGGAGGTGAACGAGCAGCAAAAGACGACGTTCAACAGTTCGGCCAGCGGAGTCTCCACGTGTTTCACTAGCTCGTTTCGGTCCACTAAGCCCGTGTCCGAAGCTGGCGTCGATCCCTTGCGGCCGCTCAGCTCTTCCCATCGGTCGTTCGCCTCGTGGCGGCTCCAGAGGAAGCGGTTGCGCAGCTCACCAGCCCGAGTGCCACTCATCTCGGTCACGTCGTTGTATAACCGCCTACAGACTTCTGGTGTCGTGCTCGTAGACTGCCGCAAGGGCGTCGAGTTCTCGTTGGGTCATCTTCCGGATGCTCTGCATTGCCCTCATGTACATACCGTATCGCATCTGTCGGCGCTGAGCTGTGTTGGACAAGTAGCTAAGACGGTTGATGACGTGTTGGAGCTTACTGAGAACGAGAACCTGCGTGAGAAGTTGGCGAGAAGAGACCTCGTTGAAGCGGTCGTCATTGGTGGTAATCACACGAGTGCGTCCTTTCTGTATCGACTGGACTGGGGCTACCGCTTTGCGAAGATGCTGATGGATGAGGGCCGCGTGTTTTCTGTGCGATTCCTTGCACAAGGATTTCCAGCCTTTGCTGAGAAGTATCACTTTATGTTGACGCCGTCATCGGTGTTGAGTCATCCAGCTGAGCCACTGATCATCAAGACGAGTGTCGCGGCTACATGCTCTAGTTCTGCCCGGACGATGCATTTTCCAAACGAAATCGCTGACGGATTTCTCTACTTGGGCAACTTTTGGCAAGCCAACTCGGCCGAGGTCATTGAGTCCTTGCGGATTACGCATGTGGTCAATATGGGGGCGATTACTGCGCATCGGAACAAATTTGCGCACGTGAAGTACCTTGATGTAGCCATCAAGGACAATGTGGACGTAGACATCACCCAAGAATTTGATCGCACGACCAAGTTTATCCAGAAAGCGGCAGAGGGCAATGGCCGTGTGCTGATCCATTGTGTCCAAGGTGTCTCGCGTTCGTCCACGATCTGTATCTGGTACGTGATGCTCAAGACCAAGTGTTCGCTGTCAGCCGCGTACAGCCACGTACTGAAATGCCGGCCCCTGATTTTCCCGAATCGAGGCTTTATGGCGCAACTGATTGCCAACGAGCGACAGTTGTACGGCGACCAGAGTGTCATTGAAGACGATCTCGAGCTGTTGCAAAACGGTCTTTTGTCGCCTGTGGATCGCAGCGGCTCGAAGTTGTGTCTCACTTTTCTTCCGTGACCTGCTTAATGCCGAAATTTAAAGTCGTACTTAGGTCGTGTGTGATGTCGTTGCGATTGTACATATCGCATGTGAACCTTACATGATGTTTTAAGTGCGATTTAATCTTTTCCCTCTTGAGCATGTGAAACACGCCACATGTACCGAACACGTCGCACTAAGTGCGATATAGCCTGTCGCCACCTATTCTTTTAATTGCGATGTAGCCTGTTCCTTCTTTTGCATGTGTCCGCAACTAAAAGGTCAGTGTACCTTTTATGTCACACCAGACGAGAAGCAGGCTTTACATTTTCTCTTCGTTGGTCGTACGCATTATTACGACAGAGCTCGATCCCCTATCGTAAATATCCTGCTGTAACAACCTCATTTTTACTCGACAAATTAATCTCGCGAAGAAATACAGAAGACATTTCTTAGCCAATAAAAATTGGTACGGGGACTAAAACATTGAAGCTGGCCAACACTTGGGTGGTGCACACGTCGATCGTGACCAGAAGAACTGACCGCTCCCCTCGGGACACTACGAACCACCGATCAGGCTTCACCATGCGCCAGCTCTTTCCCTTGCTTATGGCTCTGGTCGTCCCTCTGTCGGCAGCCGCTGGTCAACCGTCCACGTTAAGTAACCGTACGCACAATGCTGCTCTCAGCCTGATTGATGTTCCCTTTCCGTCGAAGGTGAACGCGTCGATCGCTCCAGAATCCACGGCGACAGACGACGCGTCACTGGATGGGAGCGATAGCGATAACCAAAATAAAGAGGCGAGAGGCGTTATGAACTGTCTGCCTCTTTTCTCGGATACGTTGAATGCAGTGCGAACGAAGTATTTGCTTTGGCGAGAGAAACGCCCACTAGAAGTTCTCGGCCACTTTGGTATACGAGAGAAATTGAATAGGCCCATCAATTATGAGAGGCGTATGCGGTGGATTGACTACGCTCACGCGTTCTTTACTCAGTACGGCAGCTTTGGCGACGATAGTGGACGCAGACACGTCCGGAAGCTTGTTAAAGAACAGAGAATGTACTATCATGAGCTTCGAAAAGATTCTCGGATGAAGGAATATGCCGACAGCATGCAACACACGCTAGCAGTGAAATTTGGCGATGGTTTTCTAGACATGCGCCAGGTATGGCTGAAAGATCAAGTGAATCCTGGCGAAGTATACCGCATGATGTCCGTAGCAGCTGATCAAAAACTCACAGGCAGCCTTACAGAGTGGGAGATGTAACGGGGTGAATCGTTACATAACAATTTATAAGAAATTGTTAATAGAATATAACTATAAGAGTTATATTCTCAGAATATTGTCATAAGGACAATATTCTGTAGCACTCCCAAGTAGTTCCTAATTGGTTGATATAGGCCATTATATCAACCAACGAAGACGCGCCACGACAGACGCACGCAATGAGTGGTGAGCAGATAACTAATTTACACATTTGTATTTAGACATAGTTAGATGAAGATAAATAGTGATTTATTGCAGACATTAACTATTATAAATACAGTTCTACTTTTACTCTAACCGAGTACTCGCTTCTTCTTACCGTCTTCCTCTGCACGTACGAGTGTACGTGAAGTTACGAGGCACCGCCTTATTCTGTTATCAGAATAAGTAGCTTGTACTGTCACCAGTACAAGCTTCAGGGTGCCCCGTTACACCTGGTAGCACTTCGTAGTCCGTCCAAGGACCGCGTTCACATCCAACATGAATATGTTGGATGATGAAGATGACCAAAGCTTTCACGCTACGCGTGACGGCTACTCCCATTTGAGCGATGTCGAATGGGATGCGGTTGAACGAATGGGTTCGACCATGGGCATCCATGCTGTTAGCGTCATGCTAGAGGCTCTCAATAGAGATGCCCAACATGCTACTATCGCCAAGTTCATTCAAAATGAACTTGACGCAGAACGCGAGAAAGTAGCCTTGCTTCACCAACAAGGTTCTCAACAAGCAGAGTTGTTGAGAGAACAAGGTGCTCAACAGTTTGAACTGTTGAGACAGCAGCAAGCTGCTGCTGGCGGGTCGATGCACTCGCGTCGACCCGAGACTTTGAAGATTGACATCTCAAAGTATAGGGGGTCGAAGAAGACTCCCTCTTGAGATGGTTCGTCGAATTGGATGACGCCATAAGGGCGCGTCGCATCGACGACGGGGATATGCAAGTTGCATTTGCCCAGTCAAATCTGGCAGGACGTGCCAAGACTTGGGCACTGGGGCTCAAGCTGCACGACCCATATGCGTTTGGGTCGTTGGAAGTCTTCAAGTCGCGGCTCAGACAAACGTTTGAACCGCCTAGAGCTGAGTTCAGAGCTCGAACCGAACTCTTGAAGCTCAAGCAGGGTAAGCGTGATGTGCACGCTTACGCTCAACATATACGACATCTCACGAGTTGTATAAGTTCCAATCCGGTGGATGAACACACGTTGGTTTCGGTGTTCATGCAGGGTCTTGCGGATGGTCCCGTCAAGACTCACCTGTTCCGGCTTGAACTAGATTCACTAGAACAAGCCATTTCCATTGCGGAGCAGGAAGACTTCAGTCTGAGACAGGCTCGCGCCAGCTCGACATCATATCGTCAACCGAGACGATATGACAACGGAGGTCCAGAGCCGATGGAACTCTGTTATGTAGAGAGCGAGAAGGCTCGCTCTACAGGCTACAAGAAGTTGCAGAGATGCAACAGATGTCAAAAGACAGGACACTACGCTTACGAGTGTAGTGCCCCTCGTCCAGTGTCTCGCGACACTGGGCGTAGTGACCGTCCACCCATGAGAAAGGGGCAGGGACGAGGGTCCGCAGTTGGTGCAAAGACGCAACAACGGGATGGACCGTCAAAAAACGGACAGGATCAGTAGGTGCGGAGCACCCTACTGATCCAGCAACGTCAAGAGAATTTGTAGGCCTCTTGATGAAGGTTGCTCCCAACACACAGACATTGTGCGTTGCTGCTCTAGGTAATGAGATCTCACTCATTACCTTGAAACTCGAAGTGACGAATAAGTTGTCCCTTCGAGCTCTAGTCGATTGTGGGGCGTCCAACAATTTTGTGCGACGCCAATCGCTAGAAGATGGTCACTTTAAATTCAGTGAATGTGACACACCTCCTACGAGGATGACGGTACGTCTTGCGACAGGCGCATCCGTAACCGTCATGAAGCGTATAGTGAAGATTCACTATACGCTAGAAGATACCCAATACGACGATGACTTTATCGTATTGGATTTGGATGACAAATTTGATGTCATCCTTGGAATACCGTGGCTCAGAAGGTACGAACCACGGGTAAACTGGCAACATCGGACAGTAACGATGCCTGCCGCTTGTTCATCAGATGGCCATCTGATGAACGTTTTGGAGCGTCCACAAGCGTGTGGATGTACTACGAGTGAGTGCGATGGCCTCACTTGTGGTACGGTCGTTAGTACGACTGCACAAAACCTTAGTGTACCAAACGGTTACACTTCGGAGCAAAGTTCCGGCGGCTGTGAGGAAACACAGGCTGCGCCGAAGGTCCACCACTCGAATAAGTCGGGTGGACTGGGACAAAGATGTATCCCTAGAGGGGAACATCTAGAAGAGAAACAATCGATCGCTCAGGTTAAGCGAAACGATAATCCTAGATCGACTGGAGAGTCTTTCGTAGAGGATCTCGCTGTGGTTGCGCAACCCCAGCTAGAGGAAGTAAAGGGAATAAGTCCCAAGATTACAAATACGGCGGAAATAAGTTCCCCGAAACCCGCGGGAATAAGTCCCCGGGAAGACGAAGGAATAAGTCCTTCGAAGCCTGAGGGAATAAGTCCCCAGGAAATGACAGAGACATTGAATGTCATAGTCAATAACGGATCATGTGTAGGCGCTTATACACTTGATCTGATTGCGCCTCCGAAGTTAACTTCGGAGATCACTCAGTTGCCAACGCTCGAACATAAAAGGTTCTTGCGTGATCTGCGTAGTGGCAAAGTCAAGCAGATCTGCATACTCGTCGCTGAAGACGAGTATGTAACCGACATAAGGTCAGCAACAGTGTTTACTGAGAACGAGAGAGTTCTCAGTAGTTCATCTATGGACGAGAGTGTCCTAGATGAAAAGACACGAATTGAGCGATATGAGTCCCAATCATGGGAATCGCTCAAGGAAAATCCTCTCTATGAAGATTTGGTTGAATTCAAGGATGTATTCCCTGAAACTGTTCCGTGCGAATTACCGAAGGATAAAGGTATTCGACACGAAGTCGAGCTTAAACCAGGCTCGAAGTACTGTGTCATGAAGCAGTGGCCACTGCCTCGTGAACAAGTACTTGCGATCGACAAGTTCTTTGCCGATCGTTTAGCAGCGGGCCATGTGAGGGAATCAACTTCCCCACATAGCTCTCCGACCTTCTGTGTGCGAAAAGCAACAGGAGGGTGGCGGATAGTGCACGCGTTTAACAAATTGAACGCTGCAACGGTACCGGCTCAGACGCCGATACCGAGGAAGGACGTAATCATTGATGGTATGTCAAAGAGTACCATCTTTTCGTCCATGGATTTGATGGATGGCTTCTATCAAATCCTAATGCGGGAACGGGATATACCCTATACCGCAGTTAGCACGCCTAGCGGCATGCTCTGGGAATGGCTAGTAATGCCACAAGGGCTCAGTAATGCCCCTGCCACGTTCAACAGGTGTGTATCACATCTGTTGAGGCCAGTACGAGAATTCGCGCCGAGTTATTTCGATGACGTATTCATCCATAGTCGAGCTATGGATGGAAAGTCGGACGTTGAGGTTCACAGGTACCACGTCCGACAAGTTCTTACAATCATGCGAAAGCATCAATTGTATGCAAACCTCAAGAAGTGTATATTTGCAGCAAGCGAAATACCACTTCTTGGGTGCATCGTTGGTAAGAACGGTGTACGTCCTGATCCCGAAAAGATCAAGGCGATCACCGACTGGCCCGTGCCGGTCGATGTCAAAGGTCTTCGAAAATTCCTTGGGCTAGCGGCGTATTTGCATAAGTATTCACGCAATTACGCCGAGATGACTGTACACCTCTCTCGTTTGTTGAAAAAGAACGAGAGGTGGTTATGGAACGCTGAATGTCAACGCTCCTTTGAGGGTATCAAGCAGAGCTTGATACAATCCCCAGTCCTAGCAATAGCCGATCAGGACAGGCCATTTCATGTGGTCTGTGATGCCAGCGATTTCGCAATCGGCTGTGCATTAATGCAGTACGACCTTGAAGGCGTTGAACGCGTCGTCTGCTATCAGTCGCGTCAGCTGCAACCAGCTGAGCGGAACTATCCAGTGCATGACAAGGAACTCCTTGCCATGAAGTATGCACTCGCGAAGTTCAGAGTCTATCTATTAGGAGATAGACCCTTCGTTGTTTACACTGACCATGCGTCCTTACGCACGGCAGTGAACAGCCCGCACCTTTCACAACGAATGGCGCGGTGGTTGTCATTCTTTGCAGAATACAACTTTACGGTCGAGTACAAACCAGGACGACTTAATGTCGTCGCTGATGCACTCTCACGTCGTCCCGACTTTGAAACAGTCGCGAAACCCAACAGTGAGACAGTCACTGTTGCGGTTATGACGTCCTCAGTTCCATCTACAACGTTGTATGATGATGTGAGGCGGGCATACGCCCAAGATGGTGAGATAGTGAAGTTGTTGTCACATCTCTCCCAACCATCTCGAGAATCGTTGAAACGATTGTCGTCTGCGTATCGATCTGCATCAGATCGATACACTACTCGTAACGGTTTACTGTACTATACAGCCGTTTCTGGTGACACACCACGTGTTGTCATTCCAGATGATACTGATCTGCGTTTGCGGATCATGTTCGAGTATCACGATGCTCCTATAGGAGGACATCGTGGCCGAGAGAAAACATATCTCACGGTAAGTCGAGACTTTTACTGGCCCCGCCAGTATCAGTTTGTGCGAAAGTATGTTCGCGCATGCGAAGTCTGCCAACGAGTGAAGTCAAGTCCTTCACTGCGTGCACCTTTACAGCCTCTACCGGTTCCGGCTGAGTGCTGGGAATCCATCTCAATGGATTTCGTCTTCGGGTTACCCAAAGACGCACGCGGGAATACGGGTATTCTCGTATTTGTTGACAGATTCAGCAAAATGGTACACCTTGTGGCTGTACCAGAGACAATCACGGCAAGTGGCTGTGCTTGTGTCTTTATTGACACCATCTTCCGACTTCATGGGTTGCCCCGTGAACTCGTATCAGACAGAGATCCACGATTCACTGCTGATTTCTGGCGTTCCGTGTTCAAATCACTCGGAACGCGCTTGAAGATGTCAACATCTGATCATCCAGAGTCAGATGGTCAGACGGAACGTGCCAATCGTGTCCTTGAAGAGATACTTCGAGGATACGTACACTCCTTTAAGAGTTGGAGTGAGTTTTTGCCGATGGTAGAGTTTGCCATCAACAACTCGGTGCATGCGTCCACGACACATACACCGTTTTACGTGAATGGCTTGCGCCATCCGCGTGTACCCACCTTACTAGAGTGTAACTCTGGTTTAAGGGGGGAGGGACTCGCGCGAGCAAAAACCGATTTGGTTCACGCTCATCACGCTCTGACGAAGAAGTCATTGCGTTTGATGCCGATATCGATAACATCGATATCGAAGAAGATGATGCCAGTGAGAGTGCGGAAGCCCTCACTGAAGACAATGATCCCAGTGAGAGTGCGGAAGCCCTCACTGAAGAAAAGGTTGTTGTCGCTGCAGTGCGCTCACAGCACACTGAAGCTAACGAGTCATCAGATGAGTTCATACTGGCTCGTGAAACGGTAGTCCGTTTTGTGCAAGACTCCATCGCCGAAGCGGTGGATAAGCAAAAAGCAAAACGCTGACAAGAATGGAAGGGCAAACACTCTTTTATTTAATAAAGGTGACTTAGTCCTACTGTCTACGGTTAATCTACCAAAACATGTAGTGACTAACTTGGGTAGCAGTAAACTACTACCCAAGTACATTGGCCCATTTCGTGTATTGCACCGCCTAGGCAATGCATACACGATCGAGTTACCACGTAAGATGCGAACGCATCCCACGTTCTACGTTGGTCGGCTTAAGCCGTACCATCAGTACGCTGCTTCTTCCGATGAAGAACGCCCTTGCGCTCAAGCATCTCGCAGAGAGCCTTGTGCTCCCGATGGTGGGCATCAACAAGGGTCTGAAGAGCAGTTATCTCAGCCCGAGACCGATCAACAATCCCACGAGCTACCCTTAGCTCGTCACGAAGAGATGTCAGAGATCTCTCGTTCTCAAGCTGAGCAAAGGCAAACTCAGCTCGATGCTTCGAGGCAGTGTCCACCATCTGGAGACGCCTATTCCGCTCATGCTCGAGATTGTCGCGTAACCCTTGCGTTACGCGATCAAAGAAGCTCTCGGGAACACACCGATCCACATGATCGTGTGGAGAGCGTCTTTCCTCCTCCTCCACCTCCATTAGAGGACTCTCGCGGTGGCCAGCGCTATCTAGTAGAGCAGCTGTTGAACCACCGCGACGTGAACGGACGTCGGACGAGTTACCTCGTCCGGTGGCGCGGCTATCCCCCGTCCTGGGATTCTTGGGAGCCCCGCTCCCAATTGATGGTTGACGTACTGGGTCTGGTCGAGCAGTACGACGCGACACATCCTGTGCCGCAGAAGGACCGCCGGAGAAAGTCTTCCCGGCACGGTCGTAAAGGGATTTCAGGTTGTCAATCCCTTCGTACATCTCAGTAGAGACACGTACGCGCCACCACGGGCTGGTAAGGAGGTAAGCCTCCTTAGGTGCTCGTGCAGAGTTGTTCACACAACATGGGCACGAGTCTCCCCAAGAGAGGCAGGGTAATCCTTTCTCCCTTGACAGACGATGCAGCTTATAGCGTGCACCTGTCGGGGTTCGCTTTTCAAACTTATCACGAGCTTTGATAAGTTTGTCGTTCCAAGCGTCACGACCTACATCCTCGAGATTATGGATGTAGGCGTTCCACGCCTGAAGTAGTGAGGGACCATCACGTTTGTGATTCCCACTGTACCATCGATGTCTGAAGAAAGCATCGATGAAGAACTCATGTTCAGCGCGATAGTCTTTCGCGCTGGGGTCAAGGTGATGAATCCTTGACGAATCGAACAATCGTGTTCGATAACGATCACTCGTCGTCGCCGACAAGTGATCCATGACAGATTTAGGAGGCATCCATGCCTTCTTTTCTGGAGCGAGACGCAACACATTGCGATCCCGCTCTTCCTGCGACGTGCCGACAGAAGTACTGGCACCTCGCTGTGAAGTGGTGTCCATTGGAGAAACGACACCACTATTAGCGCCCGAGTCTCGCGACCTCGAGCGCCTTCGCTTCGGCGATGGTTCATCTGACTCATCAGATGAACCAAAGATGCTGCGACGCAAAGCATCGTCCATGCCACGCTTGGCAGGCGGCTTGGATTCAATTGCCGTCGATACGGATCCGTCATCCGTATCAGGAGAGTACGAGACACCGAGCTCGTACTCTGTGAAGACACGAGTGTCTTCATGACCAGCGCCTGCATCACCAGGTGATACAGGCTGAGTCGATTCAGCAACCGATGGGACATCAGTTGCTGTAGTTTCTGCTTCGGCTTCCGCACAGAGACGTGCAGACGCGCTCTCGGCGGCCTTGCTTGCGCATCGCATGGGCTTGTTTACCATGCGATGAGATGTTGGAAAGTGGACGCGGACCAACAAGTGCAAACCCCGTCCCAAATGATTTGGGACGAGTATCCATTTAGTCAATCAGTCACTAAAGTGACTGATGGTTAAGGGGGGGGTGATGTAACGGGGTGAATCGTTACATAACAATTTATAAGAAATTGTTAATAGAATATAACTATAAGAGTTATATTCTCAGAATATTGTCATAAGGACAATATTCTGTAGCACTCCCAAGTAGTTCCTAATTGGTTGATATAGGCCATTATATCAACCAACGAAGACGCGCCACGACAGACGCACGCAATGAGTGGTGAGCAGATAACTAATTTACACATTTGTATTTAGACATAGTTAGATGAAGATAAATAGTGATTTATTGCAGACATTAACTATTATAAATACAGTTCTACTTTTTACTCTAACCGAGTACTCGCTTCTTCTTACCGTCTTCCTCTGCACGTACGAGTGTACGTGAAGTTACGAGGCACCGCCTTATTCTGTTATCAGAATAAGTAGCTTGTACTGTCACCAGTACAAGCTTCAGGGTGCCCCGTTACAGGAGAGACATGAAGCCCTCGTGGTCAAGCTCGAAAACTGGCTTTATTACGCACTGGAATACGCCAGTGTGAACCCCGCATACGACAACGGTGCTATAGTGGAGCAGTTGGTGGACAACAGGGGACTAGAAGAAACGGTGAATTTTTTACACCATGTTTGCAGAAGTTACTCTATAAAGAAGGAAGGTATGAGCTTACAACGAACACTAGCCATGCACTACCCGAAAACGGAGGAGCTGATGTTTGGCATATGGCTGGAGGAAGAATTTATGACACCTGATGTTGTCTTCAATATGCTGCCAATCTCAGCGAAGACAAGTCTGGCGGGTGGACTTGGAAACTTTCTGCAGTGGAACCACATCGTTTGTGACCTCGCGCAGTGGCTCAGGTATGTAAAGGCGTTCAACGACCGAAGACGTTATGAGGTGGCCAAGACATATACGGTTTTTTTTTCTATATATACTGACTACGATCCCCAAGACCTCGTCATCGATCAGTTGATGCTACACAGCGAAAAATCGGATCAGATGAATTTTCTCGAATATCTTCGACTCGTCGAAGGAATGGATTCTTTCGTTTCGAGCTTGCAGAAAAGGTTGCTGGTTTTTCACACATTGAAGTACAAGAATGCGCTTCGACAAGAGGGAAAGTCGGGTTTGGATCCTGAGGTCGTGTAAAGGTCGATGCCTATCGCGGTGATGCAACATGGTAACAAAGACAACAAGGAGGAAACAATCGATATCTTCTGTTGGTGTCTCGAGCAGCTGCTGCGATACCTTGACGCTATGGGCGTTAGCGGTCACTTCGGTGATATCGCAGTGGTACATCTGCTGGTCTTTCCTTTGAGCACGGGTTGCTGGTGGCTTATCTTCGAGAGTGCGTCAAAAAGCAACGTCCGAACGAGGGACGCGTACGCGAACTGCTAGATACTCAGGTTGGGGTTGGCGAACCAAGCTCTTCGACTCAAGTAACGGTGCACACTCGCAAAATGCAATGTAATGGACCCTACCATGCTTTGGCCCTTCAGTATTTCTACGCTGGACTAGTCGAGCCATGCAGGATCGACAGTTTTCTTCGGTACGTAGCTAGAGCGACTCGTCCACAATTTACTTGCATGCTTTGTTCGACCGTTGGTCATCCACATGGCTTTGTATACATCATTCAGCTGGCTCAGCGCTCGGAAGATGTGTTGAAGATCCGCTGCCTCAAACTGATGCGATCAACCCGCAGACCTCCTTGATCAAGCTTCAGCAGCTGTGGTGTATACGCTATAGGTGCATCATGCATGCTTCACCCATGTATACAAATACTTCAGAATCCGTCACATCACCAGTAAAAAGTCCCATATCTGCATATCTACCCAAAAATAAAAAGACTTTCCAAAATTGAGTATACCAACCTCTCCACGACGACTGTCACATCCAAAACGTCGTCGCACCGAAAGTATCACCAACGTACTGACGTCTCGCGTGACAAGCTGAACGACATGCTCCGTCGACTTCGGCTCGGATCCGCTCACGTCCTTGCAACGAGGCGACCGGCGTCTGTCTCTGCTGTTCATGTCAAAGTACAGCGTCACGCTCGCGATCATCCTCCCCAAGCCCGAGTTGCTCCATTCACCAGCTCTCTGCTCCGCACACCATCCTTACAGCAAATGCCAGCGACCTCGATCAATGGCCGTGCGTGGCGACTGTCGTCCACTAAAGCTACAACATGCGGCGATTCTTCCTTTGTGTCTCTAGCTGAGTCGGCACAGCGTGATCTGGTCGAGATCCACGACGTTGCCAAAGCTGCAGATCTCGAGCAACGAATCGCCGAGTTGCAGGTTCAAGCTGCTGACCCCAAGCTCTGGGACGACGCCACGAACGCCACGTCGGTATTGCAGCGTCTGGCTGAACTGGAGTCACAGCAGACTCGAGCACGTGAGCTGTACCGGCGGTTCTTGGATACCAAGGAGCTCTACGGAATGGCAGCAGAAGACAACGACGAGCTCATGCTCACGGAGTGTACGCGTGCAATGACTGCAGTGCAGGCGGAAGCGCAGCAGCTCCGACTTGGACTTGTGCTGTTGCATGAACATGACGAGCGCTCGTGTTTTCTCGAGATCCAAGCGGGTGCTGGAGGTACTGACAGCTGTGACTGGACGGCCATGTTGGGGAGGATGTACGCGCGCTGGGGCAATGCACGTGGGTTCCGCGTGCAGCACATGGACGAGTCTGCGGGAGACGAAGCTGGTTTGCGGTCGCTGGTGATGCGGATGGAAGGTGCGTATGCCTACGGCTGGGCCAAGAGTGAAGCTGGAGTACACCGTCTTGTGCGGATCTCGCCCTTCGATAGTGCCAGGAGGAGACACACGTCATTTGCTCAAGTGCGCGTGTACCCTGTGGCTGCGGAAGGGGTCTCCGACAGCCAGGTTGAGATATCTGCCAAGGATTTACGGATCGACACGTTTCGATCGTCAGGGCCTGGTGGGCAACATGTGAACTCGACGGACAGTGCGATCCGAATCACGCATTTGCCCACGGGCATGGTAGTGCAGAGCCAATCCGACCGATCACAGCATCGCAACAAGGCTGAAGCGCTGGCCATGCTTCGAGCAAAGCTCTACCAGCGAAAACTTGACGAAAAAACTCGAGCCAGGCATCAAGTCACTCAGGGTCTTGGCGACAACGGTTTTAGCAACCAGATCCGGTCGTACGTGCTGCATCCGTACCAGCTCGTGAAGGACCATCGTACAAACTACTCAGAAGGTAACACGGCCCGAGTGCTTGATGGTGACATTGATCGTTTCATCGAGAAGATGCTACTTCACAAAGCAGTGTCCAATGGTCATACCGAGACACGGTCGAGTTAATACATACACAGCATGCTCGATCTCACCAGGCTCAATACAGCACTAGTCGTGCACGACTAGCAGTTGCTAACGAACTGCATCTCATCGCCAATTGGAGACAGCAAAGCTCGAGAGCTCGAACTTGTTCGTCGCCGAGATGCAGCGGTCTTCACGACACGACGAGCGATCTCAACTAGCAACGTGTCATGCTGTCGAGAGGTTATAACGTGCGTGTGCTCAGCCCAGTCCAAGACTTCACCGACCTGCTTTGTCACCACATCTCGTTCATCCACAGTACGGCTAAGCATAAACGCTTGCTGCAAGAACGAGATCTTCATTGTAGTACGACCCTGTTGCCACGGTTCGCCATCAATCTGCACAGGCAATGATTCTTTCAGCGTCAAGCTCACAGCTTTTGCCTGGCACAAGCGTACAGCCTTCGACAGCCCCACCTGCATCTGACCGAGATGCAACGTGCCGTACACTGCCACAATGTCGAGTAAATTGTCGTGGGGAGAAGAAGAGCCAAAGTGCGTGTTCGCGTCAGTACCGCCAACACTACTCGTCCGGCTTTGGTCGTCATCGTTCGTCTCGCTATCCGAGTCGGAGCATTCAACATCGGATTCCGCGTCATCGTGCCAAAGTTTCGAGCCACCACCGTAACTATTAATGTTAAGGAAGATGATGCCCTCTGTGCCATCAGGCAATGCAATGCGTTTTCCATCGCACACAAGCACGACTTTATCTGACAAACCAGCGCACGTACGCACCAGGAAATTCTTTGCACCAAATTGGCTGTACCACAACTTGTTCACGAACTGACTCATAAAGAGCTCCGGCGAGCGCTCACGTTGTTCGTGAAACTCAAGCGCCACTTGAGCGTCCACTCCGACACCCATGTAGTTGTTCATCACAACACACTTTTCCAAATCACCTACGCTTACTTTCCAGCGATCCAGAAGACTGATGTGGGCTGCCTGTACTTCGCTGAGAATATCACTCACATCGGTTGGAGCTGAAAAACCAGCGCCCCAACCGAGGACGCGAGCCAAATCATTGCCAGTGCCTAATGGTACAATCGCGATAGGTGGTTGCCGTGCAGATCCGATCTCGTCCAAGGCACTAAGCACCCAGCCCACAGTTCCGTCTCCACCACAAACCAAAACGCGCAGCCGAGGCAGTCCAACAAAGCGACGCAGTGGCTCAATGGGGCTCTGGTGCGATAAATCGTACACTTGGACGGGATTGAGCCATTTTCGCGCCTGCCGAAGTACATGCAATCCCAATTTGCCACCACTGCGACTGTTGACAAACACCAAAAGTGGTGTCGTGTCTTCGGGAGTCTCAACCAACTCAAACGGTAACCCGTCCGATCCACACATCACGTTCGAAGCAGCTGCAAATGACGTACATCTCCACCCAGTAGCAACTTCGTTTGGTAGCTTACTTGCTTGAGCAGTTGGCGACTCTATCACGCTGTGGTGAGCTATTCCACGTCGAAGTCGAAGTCGAGACACCTTCGTCACTGCAGTATGTGCAACACCGCACACCGAGTTCAGTACTCGCTGGGACTTGCTCACAGTCGACACAGGTCCGTGTAGCACGACACACGATGGGGGAACAATAAGGCTCGCATGCTGATTTAAGTTACAGCGTCGCAGCAGCGGCGGTCGATTTGCACGAGCCAGCGCTTGCTGAAAACACTCCTCGTGCACTCGCACATGACACCACGCACACTTGAGTCCATAGAACGCCAAGATACTGCCACAGAACAGACCACACAGCGAACACAGATCCATCGGGTCAACGTTCCCCTTGATCCACATGTGCTGCAACGGATCCGACTGTGACTGCAGCGTCGAAACAGGCGAACGAGCTGCATCTTTTTTGCCATCCAAAGCTGTCGATCTCGATGGCAGCACGACACCGGGGACTCTACAGGAACGAGACACAACCAAGTGCGACGAACTACCGGCGGTAGCAGCAAGAGGAACAGACACGAGCTCCGCGCTCTTGGCGTGCATTGTACTGGCTGCACACTGTGCGTGTGCATACATGCCGCAGATGTCGCACGTCACCACATAGCTGCGGATCCCGTAGACAACAGCTTGGCACACGTTGCACCATCTCGGCCTACTCTAACACACAGCAGCAAACTCACTCAGTCAGTCAATCAGTCAGTCATGTGGACTGTAAGGACACACAGCACCACGCGTCGTCCACTCACAATCACTATTCGAATACTGACGATACGAATCATGACAGCAGCAATACAAACAACAAGTGAAAAGAAACAGATGAAAAGTCACAAGTGTGACGGACGCACCCCGTCAAGTTCCCGGGTCGCCATTGGTGCTGCCCCACGACGTACGGACCGTCGCGGAAGCTGCGCCACGTGAGGAAGAAGAGGCACTTGCGCACGCAGAGGAACACCAGAACGAGGAGCCCCATTGGCAGTCCTAACCCTACTGCGAGCGTGTAGCTAATCGAGGGCCCGACGGGTGCGATGGCTTCATGTGGCGGCGCGTCTCCCGCATCCATCGCGTGCAGGTCCAACGTGAAGTCCCTGAGCCTGAACGGACGTTGGAGATGCGGCACATCTATTGGCAGAAAAGAGACCGAATAAAACTCAACCAGGGTGGATTTCAGCCAATCCGATATTAGAGTCATTACATCGTTGGTGTACCCAAAAGAGGCGAAAGAACGAAAAAGTATTTGGGAACTCAAATGGTCCGACGTGTTGCTACTGAATAGTAGTGGCTACACCGTCATCAGGACAGCCTCGAGCTACGCCGACGATAGTTTCTTGGCGACTTGAGCAAACGACTCTCCCTGGACCTTGGCCACGTCCATTTCGAGCTGACTAGGCTGACGAGAGCCGTCATTACCCGCTAAATTGCCAGCTCCCCACGGAGATCCGCCATGGATCTCGTCCATATTGAACAGCAACGGGCTGCGGTAGCCGAGCGGCACGAACGTCATGCCTTGGTGGGTGAGAAACGTCACGGTCGTGAAAGCCGTGGTCTCTTGACCACCTCCTTGTGTGGCGGTGCTGAAGAAAATACCGGCGGGCTTCCCCACCAGTGCACCAGCAGTCCAGAGACCACCGCAGGCGTCGAATAGCGCCTTGACTTGCGCTGGCATGCTGCCGAAGCGCGTGGGGATGCCCAGCAGCACTCCGTCGGCGTTCTTGAGAACGTCGGGCGTGGCCACGGGGTGGTCCCGCTTGGACGGAGCGTGCATCTTGCTCAGGACCTCGTCCGACAGCGTCTCTTGGACTTGGTATACGTCCGCTGTGGCGCCGGCCACAGACTCGACACCAGCCTTGATGGACTCGGCCATCTTGGCAATGTGGCCGTATGTTGAGTAGTAGATGATGGCAATTTTCGTCATCGTGGGCAGACGCGGGGAAGTTGCGGGTGTTCTTGAGTGGGTGTGTGGCACTGAGGAGATTGAGGAATGACCGATACAAATAGTTTGATCGATGGATGGGTACGTAGGCAGCGACAGGCGAGGGAAGATATTGATTGCGAAGGGACTGAATCAGTGGTGCATGGAATATATTACTGCGTAATCTAAAATCAGGCGAAGGTTTAGGTCCGTGCATTCATCGTAATCTTTCTATTGTCCTACTTGTTCATCATGGCCGTGGTTTGTTCGAGATCCGAATAGCGCTAATCGAAACCATCGGCATGCCCTATAAAGGCTACAGCAAAGCCACGATCGATAGACCAACAGTGTGCATCCATTATCCAGAACCAATCGAGTAGATTTTCAGCATCCCCATTCAGCCAGGGGTTGAAATACCACGAAATGTCCATATCAAGGTGTTCAGCAACTACTATTGGTAATGGTGTTGGTTACTGATACTAATGACCATATGTCATGGACGACACTGTGTGATAGTGTGTAACGATGGGATCGACTCATCGTTTTGTTACTAATATTATAGAGTCGATATCGATAGGCTTAGAGTAGTACAACGAGACGAACTAAGGACCTAGCTAGATGATAATTCACTTTCCATTTTACCTTCTTCTAAGCTCTCCCACCTCAACTCGCTCTTGGCTGTTGCCAAAAGTCAAAAGGTTATGAGCCCAAGTACGCCGGATGCGGGCGACATCCTCCGCGAAGATAACTACTTCGTGTGGGAGTTCAACGCAAGGATGAGGCTGGCAAAGAAAGGGTTGCTAGATCATTTGGATGCTATGAAGACCCCAGGAAAAGGAGACGTAACTGCGTCAACTTGGGAAGTCAACGACATGAAGGCCTTCGAGATCGTGACAACAATGATCAGCAAGAATCTGCAGTCAATGGTGCGCACGGCAGAGACAACGGCAAAAGCATGGGACATACTGAAGACTTTCTTCCTGCGGCAAAGTATGCACAATCGTGTGCAGTTGCGGCGGCAACAACATGAGTTCAGGTTGGCGAAGGGAGGAAGCATTATGGATCACTTTCCGAAAGTCGACGAGCTGTGCATGACTATGCAAGCCGTCGGACAAGAGATCTCACAGGATGAGCATTTGGTCATCCTATTGGGTAGTCTAACGAGAGACTATGACCCTATCGTCAAGATAATTGAGAACATGCCCGGAATGACACTGTTTCACGCTAAGGAAATGCTGAGACGGGAGTACGATGGAATGGCGAGGACAGAACACCAAGAAATCGCACTGAAAAGTACGCACACTTCCAAGTACAAGAAAGGTCCGCGCAGACATATGGGGAGATCAAGTTCAAGAGGTGAAAAGTTTTCGGGAAGGTGTTACCGATGTAACAAATATGGGCACAAGCGTCAAGATTGCAAGGCTGAACAAGTGGAGACAGAGCGATCTGGAGAAGAGAGAGCATTTACTGCGTCAAGTCGGACGTCAGCTGGATGGTTATTGGACAGTGGGGCAAGCAGCCACATGTGTCCCGACAGAAATGAGTTTTCGAATTTAAACTCACTGACGGACCCGATCATGATCACCATAGCAGACGGCAGCGAAGTGGAAGCGCAAGGTGTTGGGACAGTGCGCGTGCAACTCAAGACTGGTGAAGTGATCAGGATCGAAGAAACGCTATGGGTGCCGGGCCTAGACCGAAGGCTACTGTCAATATCGGCATTGTCAAAGAGGGGTCTACAAGTGATCTTCTCAGATCTGAGCTGTCAGATCAGAAGTAACACGGAAGTCGTTGCCCAAATACCAAGACGAAACAAGATGTACGTCTTAGAGTGCAGTCCGGCTGAGGTAGCCAACGTTTGCGGAGAGACATCTCAAGAGCAAGAATCAAGTGACGGATCAGGAGCGGCTGATCTACAAGTGTGGCATGCAAGATTAGGTCACCTGTCAACGAAGATGCTCAAGGGTATGGCAGGTTGCGTCAATGGATTAAAGATCAAGAAGAATCAAGGCGTTGAAGATGATATCGAGATCTGCGAAGGGTGCATCATGGGTAAAGCAACCGTCAAGACGTTTCCGAAGTCACCATACGGACACGTGAAAACCAAGGAGGTGTTGCAGTTGGTCCACAGTGATGTCATGGGACCTATGGAATCGAAGTCTCGAGGAGGATCAAGATTTGTCGTGACTTTTATTGATGATTATTCGAGATATATAGTCGCATACTATATTGAGAACAAGTCGGAAGTGACGGATCGCTTTATAGAGTATAAGGCACTTATGGAGAATCAACTGTCCAAGAAGATCAAGTGTATCAGGACGGACAACGGGACGGAATACGTCAACAGACGTTTCTCCGGTGTATGTCGAAAATCTGGTATCATGCATCAGACGACGGTACCCTATTCGCCACAACAGAATGGGCTGGCCGAACGCATGAACAGGACACTGACAGAGCGGGCCAGAGCAATGCTCAGCCATATGCAAGTGGATAAAATTTGGTGGGCTGAGGCGATGAACACGGCAGTCTATGTGACAAACCGAGTTCCATGTGCTAGTCACCCGACTAAAACTCCATTTGAGTTCATCTTCGGGAAGAAGCCTGACCTCTCCGAGATGTGTGTATTTGGATCAAAGGGATATGCACATGTCGACAAGTCGAACAGGACCAAGATGACCAAGAAGGCGATTCGATGTATTTTTCTAGGTTACTCGGATCAAATCAAGGGGCTTCGAATATGGGATGAAGATGCCAAGAGGGTGACGCACACGAGATCGGCTAAATTCGATGAGAGACCACCACTTCAGTACGTGCAACGTTACAGCAGATCAAGTGACCAAGAGTTTCGCGCTGTTCATGACGAAGACACTGTTTCTATCGATTTAGAACAGCCACGAGTCACGAAAGACATGGACATAGCAATGGAGGACAGTCACAGTGTTCAAGAAGAGAGTCACATGCAAGACAGGCGTACAACAACGATGGCTCTACCATCAAGATGCAGTAGCAAGATGCCTGAACACGTGGGTTCCAATGCTGACGATCCAATGTTTGAAATTGATGATGTGACGATGATTGAAGAAGATCAAGAATCGGCTGAAGACGTGTCAAGACAAGGACAGATGGTGATACGACCAAGTCGACAGACAAGTATTCACGCATCGCAAGAAACCGCGATGGTTCCACTAGAATCGGTTCAACATGGACAATCTCAAGCGTTAATACCAGTGAATGGTGCTGATGAGGACTTTTATGACGGCTCAGAAGTGTGTCAAGAAAAAGGCACAAAGAGACTACGTATTGGGTATGAGCAAGCATGTGCAGCGTTCGAGACCCCAACGACATACGAAGAAGCTCTTAAGTCACCTCGTCGTGATAATTGGTACAAGGCCATTCAAGCTGAGCTCAAGGCATTAGAGGAAAAGGACACCTGGACTGTTCAAACACAGCGTCCAAACCAGAAAGTGATTGGAACCAAGTGGGTGTTCGCACTCAAACGAAACGAGCTGGGTGAGATTATTCGATACAAGGCACGTCTTGTAGCACTTGGCTACAGGCAGACGTATGGAGTTGACTACATGGAGACATATTCACCTGTGGCAAACCTCAACTCAATACGGGTGTTTTTGGCGGTGTGCTGTCAAAAGGGGATGTTGATTCATCAATATGATGTCGACACTGCGTTTCTGTATGGCGTTTTGGAAGAAGAGGTATACGTATACCCTCCTCTGGGTGTTCGTGCAGAACATAATCAAGTGCTTAAGCTGAATCGCAGTCTGTATGGGCTGAAACAAGCGGCCGCTACATGGTACAAGACAATTTCGTGTGTGTTTGTGGAGATGGGGTTCTTTTCATGCGTGGCAGACTCATGCATTTTCGTCAAAGAGACCAAGGGCTCGTGGATTTACGCTGCATTATATGTGGACGACCTTCTAATTGGGGCTGAATCTACTGGAGTGATGGAAGATGTGGCAGCTCAACTATCAAGTCGTTTCCAGTTGAAGATACTAGGGGGTGTTCGATACGTTCTTGGAATCGAAGTCAAGTACCTGCGCAACAATCGACGTCTGAAGATCAGTCAAGGATCGTGTATATCAAGAATGGTCGAGAAATTTAATCAAGTTGATGCGAAAGCAGTGTCAAATCCAAGTGTTGAAGGGCAAGCGATGGTCAAGATGGACAAAGCTGACACAAGAATGAAGAATCGACCGTATCGATCTTTAGTGGGGTCGTTGTTGTATGTGGCAACAGGCACACGACCAGATATTGCGTATACAGTATGTCAGCTGAGTCGTCATTTGGAATTTCCACATGAAGAGCACTGGAATGCAGCGATTCGAGTGTTGCGATATCTGAAGACGACGCAGAGCAAAGGAATTTGTTATGAAGGAGTTTCAGGCAATCTTCAGCTGAGCGCGTACACCGATGCAGACTGGGCAAGTAACAAGTGGAATCGCAGATCGATTTCGGGAGTTTTTGTCATGATTAATGGCGCACCTGTGATTTTCAAGTCGAAGATGCAGCAGAGCGTGGCACTGAGCACGGCAGAAGCAGAGTATATGGCTCTTTCTTTATGTGTGCAGGAGGTTCTGTGGACAAGAAGTCTACTCAAGGAGATGCAAGTGCAGATTAACTATGCTGTCAAGATTCACGAAGACAACCAGAGTGCAATCGCTATCGCTAAGAACGACGGCTATCAAAGTCGAGCGAAACATATCGACATCAGATACCATTTTGTGCGCGAACAGGTGAAAGACAAGATTATCGACCTGCAGTATACTGAAACCAAGTCACAGCTGGCAGATTTTCTGACCAAACCGATTTCGACAAAGAAGTTCGAGTCGCTGCTGGACAAGGCCAGGATCAGAGACTTCTAGTCGAGGGGGAGTATTGGTAATGGTGTTGGTTACTGATACTAATGACCATATGTCATGGACGACACTGTGTGATAGTGTGTAACGATGGGATCGACTCATCGTTTTGTTACTAATATTATAGAGTCGATATCGATAGGCTTAGAGTAGTACAACGAGACGAACTAAGGACCTAGCTAGATGATAATTCACTTTCCATTTTACCTTCTTCTAAGCTCTCCCACCTCAACTCGCTCTTGGCTGTTGCCAAAAGTCAAAAACTACACTTGTGCTGGCGTCCTGCTCTTTCAGCTTGGAGAGTTGGTGTCGCATTTGGAGCCTAGAGTGCACCGCTAGCATTACCTGCTGCGAGCGGTCGATGGTGCGACGGTGTCGAACTGCTGGCACCAGCCCTAGTTCAACTGTGTCGGTAGAAAGTGGTTCTATCGCTGTGCGGGGTGCCGATGGGTTGACACTATTGTTGCACCGCCGTCCGGAGCTCACCTCCTACATGACCCGTACCCTTTGGAGCCTCCGAATGATGTAGTTAATGGCTGTCACGCATCTCGCGTTCCGGCTTTACAGACTCATCTCGCCTAGGTATCGCCACCTCTCCTGAAGCTTTTTGACGCTATTATGCACGATCGATAGCAGCGAGCTGCAGTACATCATTGAGAGCGATCCCATCTTAAGGTTGAGATGAAGCTATTCGTCAAGCGGGGCATCAAGTTGGATACGATAAGGCGCAACCAGGTAGCTTTATCTATCTCCACCAAGCTCAACGTCCAGGTGACAATAGTCGTCGAGCGTTAGCTGCGCCTTGCGCAATGCAAGAATGTCGACGTTCATCTTCTGGGACACGAACGTTCGTGTGCGCTAAAGCTGACTACTCAGTCATGATCAGGATCAAACGAGTTAGACCGGCGTCAAGGCAGAGGATCGGGTTTGGCAAATAATCTGGTTTTTCATGAGCAGCATTTGCTAAACACACTATGGAGCGAATGGTACGAGGCTGTATCGAAAGAAGTGCAGACCACATCATCTCGAAGAGTGGCCGCTCACGAAAAAGCGCAAACAAAGGGCGATCATACCTTCGTACCAGGTTTGACTGCACGCCGGTTTTCGGGCTATTTATTTCCTCTCGAACTGAACGACTCTTGCTTCGTTCAGAGGTCAGCCATGATAAGCCACCAAAAACCGGTGCTCAATCCGGCTTAGAAGCTACAGACGTCTTGCACATGACTGGATTTCGATGGACGATCGTGAGTATCTCTCTCCACCTCCATGGGAAGTATCGATATATTGGATATAGTAGTCACATTTCCACAGGAAGCTGGTCAACACTTTGCTCCTTGCTCTTCAACAGAAGTCTGCAGTGCATGTACCCACATGTAACTTGCAGTCCGTCAAAGGACCGACGTTCCATGACACGTAGACAAGGTCTTAGCGATACGAACGGCGCTGCGTGGTTGAAAACAGCGATACGCCTTTCTTGCCCGCTCCTTTCTTCTTCTTGCCAGGCGTCCATGCTACTGCTGGTGGACCGCTGGACGCACTGCCCCACGCAGACGGCGAGCCAAATACGATTGAATTTGAGCCAAAAGGCCAGGCGTCGCTCGTAGAGGCACCTCCAAGTGCAGGAAACAATCCAGAGTTTTCCGTCACTCTCTCAAATGACTGCTGCTGCTCCTCCACTACCGAAGCATACGATTGGCTTTCTCGCTCTGCAGTGTCCGAAGAAAATTCATCAAGAGCGATATCCTCCATAGACTCGATCAGTGCCTGTTCGTATGGGGACGGCCACATTGTCCCTTCTTGCTCGAGTAAAAACGCTGACGCGTCCCGCTTAGCGATTGGAGATAACGGAGTCGTCGTGCTGTGCAGCTTCAACTTTTGCTTCCGCTGCTTGGAACGCTTCTTGAGTTCATTTTGAAACGCGGTCAGCGTCGAAGGCGAGAGCTGGGACATCAAGTCGAGCTCGCAAATGTAGAAATCGCAAAAGCGCGGTAGATGGCTTAAAAATCGGTACCGCTTCAGCGCTTCGTCGTCCATGACCATGTGCTCGATGTCTAATACACGTCCGCTGATTCGTTCTGGTAGTAGGTGGTAGCGATTGGGACGTACGGTCTCTGAGCTTGCTACCTCTTGGGTCCATACAGCTTCTAAATCCGTTTGATGCGCGTCGTTTGTACTTTCACCTTGTTGCTGCTGCTGCTCCTGGTCTGAAAACTCTTTCAGAAGACATTTTACGTTTAACGGGTGAAGAATCACGTATGTCCCATTCGCGATCTGGTAGAACGAATACGCGTCACCACTCCCGCTTTCCTCCACCTCCCCTTTCGCACAAGGGATAGTGATGGACCGATGCGTTCCGTTTTTCCGAGCATCACCGCTCTTAGCAAGCCGCTCGGAAGTATATTGCAAAGCCTCTACCACAAACGGAAGGTTTTCGATGTCGCCACTGCTGCGAAATTCAGCATCCATGGACTGAAGATCGCGCATCTCCGAGTACAGCATTTCTTGCAAATAATCCGAAGTTGCCTCCAAGATGCGAGAATACGTCGCGTCGGCATCATTGACACTTGGCAACTTTCGACAGCGCTTCCTTTCCGCAGACCCAGCGACGTCCGATAACGAATTCGTTTTACCTATGGCTCCAGTTGACGGGAGTACACGAGGACGGGGAAACATGCTGGACTTCGAACGCTCCAGCAATTGGAAAGTTGCGTCAGAACCCACATGAGGAGGAATTTGCAATTGATGAAGTAGTGCACTGCGCAACTGTGCTTTTTGAACGGAATCGAAGCACATTGGGCAGCGGCGCCAATACTTTTCCGTCATCGACAAGTAGCGGAGTATACATGGCCAGCTAAATCAATGCAACGGGGCAAGAACACACGGTGGTCAGTTACATACCGGCTCTCCATACAGGCGTTGTAAACACTTACCAGAATATGTGGCCACATTTTGTAATTTTCGGGGCACGGAAAGTGTCCATGCAGATCGGACAAGTTTCCGGGCTCTCAACGTCATACCAAAGCAGCACCTGTTCCACCGAGGACCCTGTACCCACATGTCAAGATCCACAGACCATTACAACATTAGCAAAGTGCGAATAATTCGCGATAAGTTTTTGTGTATCTTACACTCAGCAAGAGCTTCAAGGTCCCACATCGACACGACCGCATCGGGGTCAAGTGGTGCAATCACAAAGCGGTAGCTATAATTAATCACATGGCATACCACGTCAGCAGATACAGGTCACAAAAGTCCATTCCATGCAATTATTGGTGTAGCAGCAACGACATGTAGCAGGCGTACTTCGCATGAAGATATTCCATCTGCGTGCGAGGCACTGAGCTCTGCTTCTTTTTCTTCTTATAATGAGAATGCACCGACTTCTCACGCTCGGGCAATGAGAAGTTCAGCAGATGATTGGCGGATACTCCGTTGCGGGTAACACGCGCTTCGTAGTCCATGTTCTTCTTCTGCCAAGACAGCACGTCCACAATTAGGGTCACGAGAGATCCGGAGCCACAGTCATCAACTTGTCCAACCTGCTCTCGACGCGGACCACGTCGACTGGAATGGCCATTGCTATTGTTACGGCTGCTGTTATTTCTGCATACAAGAAAGAACAAACAAGCAAACAAACGTCAGTCGACTAACTCCATCGGTCTACAGAACCGACCACATTTATAGCGACGCACTTCATGATATCGAGCGGTAGGAGTTAAATACGAGAATAAAAGGATAGAGATGAAAATGTGCAATGAAGGACGAGAAGCTCCGGTATGCAAAAAAATAGAGCGAGAGGGATGGTCAGATACAGTCGCGCGTGAACCGGTCAGGCTATGATCGACTAAATACGACCCTTTTTACCGCTCGATGCGGTGGCTAAACGACTTTCAGCCAATGAAAACAGTCGGATCGATCAGTACTGAAATACTGGATCCCATGGCCGAGGCAAACGAAGTGCTGCGCATGTACCGGCGGATCCTCAAGTTGTCACAGCGGTACCCGAGCATCAAGCGCCAGTCAATCATCTGCGATATCAAGACCGAGTTCCGTGCCAACAGGAACCTATTGGATGCGCAAAAGGTCCGACAGGAGCTGGCGGTGGTGCAGGCAGGTATCAAGGAGCTGTCCATGTATGCGAGTTTGCACCCGTCTTTGCCCAACTGGAACATCGAAGTGGGGCATGACGCAGCTCCAATGCCCTTTGATGTGCAGAGTGGGGACGATGCAAAGGACGTTGGTCATGTGAGCATGAAGAAAGCGTGAGATGCAGGAGCTGCTGCGGAGCGCAACTTGCTGAAACAAATCACGACGTTGAGACGTGAAGTTGTGCGGTGTTTGGTTGCGAGATTGTCTGACGAGTGCGCAGAGCTGTTGCTGAATTATTGAAATGGAAAGAGCATTGATGGAAGAAAAAGGAGAAATGGTTTGTGTCCATGTTGTTGTGTATAGGACAACAGCTTGATGAGGACTGCACGTATGTACATACGATAGCACGACGATGCGAAGAGATACATCGGTTTGTAGGTCACGTGCTTCAGACGTGGTCAATTAGTACCTTGTCTTTGTATGGAAAGTGTAAGTTATAGAGTACGTAAGCGATGAACAGCCGGGCTTTGCAGCTGCTGCTACTTCAGGCACTGCCACCTCTTCAACGGCACGCTACGTTGGACCATATTTGATGTTAAAGGATCGGTATGTGTTGCTGTAGTTGAAGTGGGACTGCAACAGCAACTTGGGTACGGTGTAACAGGGCTCTTTGCACATGGCAAACTCGCAATCTGTTGCACATCGAAACGTACCAGTAAGGTTACTTTGTATTGCGACACATAGCACGTATGCACAACCACGGACAGACGAGGCATGGTGATGTACTCGATTGCACTACGAATATGGTTCAATGCACAGCCAGCTAGCTACCAGATCAAACAAACCCCAACACTAATGAATGGTCAATGACGTACTTTGTTACGAAATCCCTACGGCTTCCATGGTTCTTCTCTCCCTAGGTGTACACTTGTGCAAACGCTTGTCCACATAAATATAGGAAGCGAGAGACCAGACACTCCTGTCCGACTCTGTGAAGCTCGGTCCCAACGCGGTAGCAAGCGGCAACTCTTCGGCCTGTCACCTCGTCCGTGTCTGCTCGAGCAGTCCGTCCGAAGTATCCGTTCTCTCGCGACTGAGCGCGTTGATTGCGCAGCGGCGCTTGGCTTAAATGTACACCCAGCCAGATCGCTCAAAGGCCGTAGCCGGATCCGTGGTTCCCACCTTGAACGGTGTCGATGGGGTGGAGTTGAACCGCTGCTCCAGCGGCATCTTGTCGGTCATGGGGCGGGCGATCACGTGCTTGATTTGGTCGAACATGTTTGGGCGGAGGAGAAGTCACTGGATGGATGTGAGGTGGTGCTCGAGGCGAGGCAAATTCAAGAGTGAGTCTTGGAACGAAGCAAGTCTCGGACGACTGCAGCCTGTGACAGCGACTGTATGCCAGACCAGTCGAAACTTCAAGAATCGACTTTGCGAGGGTATGGATTAACACTAGGTCTGCGGATCTTTCTTTCACTCCATGGCGAGCAAAAACGCGGACGATAATTAAATATCGCAGGGAGGCAACGACTGGCTTTTTACCGTGGACGAACATCAGTGATGCGCCCGCGTCACCGGCTTCGGCCACCGTCGAACAACGGCCACTGATTGGATAAAGTCGGTTGCAGTCGGTTGACGCGTCGCATGTCTCTGGTGCTACGCACTTCAACTTATCACGCGCTGGATGGACACCATCAATTGACCGCAAGCTCAAGGGGTACGAAGGGTTATAGGAAAAGGTCTATCGATTGACTGAGGGTATTTCTCGTTCTTTCAAGCTTCAAGTTCTAGAACGCTCCTACATTCAACAGTGCCATTCATTCTAAATGCGCGTGCGTGCGTGCAGTAAGGAACGCAGTCGAGTGTTCACTGGCATTACAGCAGTCACACACCACCTTCTCGTCTGTCCTCGAGCCAGTAATTGAGACTGTAGCACACTTGACGACCACATTTTTAGCTGGTAAACAAAACAGAAGCACGTTTTCGTACTGACATTCACGATTGGGCTGCACTTACGCAGTCACTCACTCGCTCTCCCTACGTCCACTCGAAGTATACATCTGCATGTGGTGCTTCCGACGCACCCGTTACCAATGTCGATGTGCACTATCCGTGCGTTGGCAGTGGCTCTGCGCTTGAGGATGATCTGGCGTTCTCGCGGTTCCCGGTCAGCGATATAGCCTTAATATGGCCGCGAATAGTGCTGTTTCCCCGTTAAATACTGTCCTGAAACGTGCTCGGACGATGCTACACAGCGGCAGTCGTCCGTAGCATTTCTCTTGGCTGAATGGACACTATGGCGGGTTGTTCGTTTGCTGCGTGCCAAAGCTTAGGCGCGTGCTACAACTGACTTCATCAGCTCTGCCTGCTGCTACGATACCAGGAAGAAGTATACTTTCGATGAACGTGTTGCTGTACTGCCCCATGAAGCTTGACTGAAACGGTTGTAGCTTGAACAGCGTACACGAATGACGTACTGCTCATGCCGTCCAGTCATACTTTCTATTTGAACTTGGACGAGCCCCAGTGAGAGACGGTGTCATCTCGTGGCGGTACGTGCATCGAAACGCGCAGTAAAGGAGGGTCACATGTTTTTGTAGACTAGAGACTAGAGTTGCCGCGCGTGAAAGAGAGGGCAGAGTACACGCTGCTGTATGGAGTGGATACCAAGCACTTCAACGAGAGGACATCCGTTAATGCTACTGCGCAAGAGCAGCGACATAGTAGGCATTGGTGCTGACTATTTACGATAGAAAAGCATGTCGTTACTCGAAGTTGATACGGGCGCGTCACCTCGACCGGGCATGTCCGACGACCTTCAGATCATGCAGCCGGATCAGACGGATTCCCCTCGTTGTCGATCCGTCTTAGAGCTAACTTGTACAACCGATGTTGTGTGCCTAGGAGGTGCGCGGGATCAAGACAGCTAGAATTCAGCGCTAAAGCGCGTCTCGAACGAACCCTCGTCCAGAACGACCTCGTTGCTCTTGAAAATACCCTTACCAAAGTATTCTGCAATGGTATTGAAACCGTCCGCCGCGGTCTCGAGCTGGTTGTAAAACTGCTCGTGATTGCCAGCTTTTTGCTCCAGTTGCGTCTTGAGTCCCAGAATGTGGCGGTGATCCATGGAGCATGCGATACACTCCCGGTCCGTCTCCGAAATGCAGTTTAGGTGAAAGCTATGTTGGCACATGAAGTGCACTGCAGGCAAATCCAAATCGTGACTGCACAGGTCGCACTTTGTTGCCTGAAACACGACAGCACGACTGCTCAGCTGCGCGATCTCCTCCTTCATTTGCTTTGTGTCGCTCCTGAACGCCTTAATCTTCTCCTCGTCTTCTTCAATCTTCTTCTCGTCACTAGCCAGCTGATTGACCACGTACTGCTTGATCACTGACACGGGCAGCTCGCGTGACTGACTCAACACCTGAACCACTTGAAGCGGAGGAATTGCCGGATTCGTATCGATCAAAACAAGCAGCTGTTGTAGCTCCTCCCACTCCTTGCCACTTGTAGCACCCTTCGGCAAGGGTCCTCGCTCAGCAAAGTACTTCAACGCCAATGACCACAGATTCGGATCTTTATCTCCGTGCTTGCGCACTTCCTCAAGTATACTCTGGTCGTCGTTTTCCTCGATGTGAAATTGCACCAGCATGTGATACATGTGGAGCTTGTTGTACAAGTAGCGCTTGCCTTTCTTCATGCCACGCATCTGCAGATGAATCAGAGCGTGATCTTCGTCGTACTTCACGCGCGGATTGTCAAGAATGCGCAGCACAGCCTCTTCCTTCTCTTCAACCGACCGACCACCATTTTCGCCCTCGTCATCGTCGCTAAGAACCATTTCCAGCAGCGTGTTACCGATCGATGTGTTGCTCACTGTCTCTACCTCGACAATGTACTGTAAAAACTCCTTGAGCTGCGCGCGATGGGATACGAACAAGTGCAAGAAATCGCCAGGATCCGATTTTAACGACGGATCTTCCGGAACATACTTGCCCGTACAAAGACGCTTCAGTAGCTCCGTTGCGGGCCCCGGCATGTGCGTCACAAGGGTGCGGCCGTACTTTCGCAGGTTCGAGTCTGCTTCAGAAAAACTGAGGTGCTGGATGTACTCAAGCGCATCGGCAACTCGTTCTTTCTCACTCTCCGATAGAGCAGCCGAGTCCTCTGAGTCAACATAGCTGATATGGCCTAGCTGAATCTTCAAATACCAACTGTGCTCCTCGTGCTTCCTCGCCAACGTTAGCGCGTGCTGTGGATAGTTCTCCCACAACACACTAATTGCAGTTTCAACGTCAAAGTTCAGATTGGCTGCTCCTCCACCGTCTTTTAGCGCTAAATCACTGGCATCGTTGTCGATTTTTGTGCCATTTGTCTTCTTGGCATCAATCACCTCGTCCAGTTGAATGAACTTATCCAGCTTCTTGACGTCCTTCAGCTTTGTGTAGCAGTTCAAAAGAAGCGTCGTGTGTTCTGCATTTGCGAACGCCTTTTCGTGGAGGGCCTCAAGGTAGGCCGTCAGATTGTGGATGCGTTGTGCATCCAGGAAACGACGGATCACGTAGGACGGCTCAACATGGCCAATCGTACGAACGTATTGACGCAACGATCCATCATAGTCCCCCTTTTGATACAGGTGGTCTCCATACATGCGGAATATATCGATAATGCTGTTGACGTCGTAGTTCGAGCTGAAGGCCAGGGAAATAGCAATCGAATACAAGTTCTTGCGAAACAAGATCTCCAGCTTTGACGTCGTATCCTTCTCACTCAAGCGATACACATGCCCCATTGAAGATACCACAAAGATAGCGCCAAACTCGCAGACCACATGACGGACTTCTTCCATTTCGTCCAACCCGAAGCGCGTATCGGCTGTACGACTGTTCGACGCGAGCGGTGGCTTGCGCATAGGACCTTTCGGATTTGTGCTTGTGAGCGTCCAATTGAACGCGATGAACTTGTTCTGTAGATCATACACATTCACTTGGTGTCGCCCACGCGGGTCTATGTGCGCCACTAGGAGATAATGCTTGAAGAAATGCAAATACTTCTTCTCACCTTCAAACGCATAACAAACTGAGCGATCTTCAGTCGTGTAAAAGTACACGGCATCTGTCTGGCCAACAGCAATTTCATCTTCCTCGTTTACACACGAGCAGTTCACATCCACACCACGCTCGTCCAGAACTGTCGTGCGTGGTGGAAGAGCTGCAGCACCACCCACACTCTTCACCAGTGCCGGGTCGTCGTGCGAGCAGTGATAACAAGTAAGCCCGCGTCGTGTCGACGCATACAAAAACACATGGACCAACGTTGCCGTCACTGGTTTGCTGATAAATGACAGCCCCGTGACCGGGTACTGCCCTGCTGGCTGAAGAAGATGAGATGGACGATCAGTACGTCGCTTCAGATCGCTGCGAAACAAGATCACGGCCCCGTTTTTCAATCCGACCGCGAACTGGCTCAAGTCGTCGTTCACCGCAAACGCTGTCACCGCTTCTTCCGGGTATTTCTTGGCAAAAATAGGAATCTGCTGTAGCAACTTCGGTTTGCCTTCTCTGTCTTGCAAATCTGTTCGCCAAAAGCGCACCACTGCCGTACTCTTTCCCGTCGGCTTGGGCGTATACAACTGCAGCAAACCAGGTTGTCTACTCATCAGCTGTTTCACCAGTAGATACTATATAGCAGTCCATCGCACGCACCTCTTCAGCATTAGGTGCCCGACCTGCTTCGGCAATGGCTTTCGACTGTTGCCGCAGCTCATCCGGACGAGGGTCAATACCGTCCCCGATCGTAGCCAGCACGTTACTGCGCTTCATCTGTTGGTCATAATTACAACTACATCAGGTATTGTACAATAGAAATCTACGAGAAGAAGACAAAGTCCGGGACGAGTGCGTTGAAAGGGACGTACCATAACGACATGCGACACGAACAGCTCGTGTGCCTGGAACTTGCGTGCTTCTAGTGACCGATTGGCCAAATGGACGTACCCGTCAGCGTCTCCGACACAGATGAGGCCCCGGTTAGCGCTCATACTCGTGATGTCCACACCCTAAAGAGAACCAATTTACTGTTAGGGATCGATTATGACAGGGACACGAAAGTGATAGTCGAGAATCAGACGGAGCAGGAAGCAGCACAAGAGACGCACCTTCATCCACGGTCCATTGGCGTCCTTCAGTACCTCCTTGTCAAAGAACGCGAAGCGTCTCCACTGCGCCATGACGAATGGGATCGGGATCGGGACCTTGTGCTTGATGCTTTTTCCCTGACTGTGGTAAATGAGACGCAGATCGTACTTAGAACGGAGTAGATTGGGTACGTTTTCTTTACTTTGAGTTTGTCATCGGATACTGTCGTGACGGAGCTCGTTACAGCGCGTCCGCATCGATTAGGGTCGACGACTCTAACGAACATTTAGGTCGACGGCGTCAACAATCTTCGATGTCGTCGACAAAGATGCGGTTGTTCGGAGCTAAAGGACCGCATGTTATACTGGACGCGTTGTGCAAAAAGTTTGTGGCTCGAGTTGAACAACTGAACAATCATCAACTGATAGGTAGTGCTTGCAGTAACAAACAACTGTGATGCTGTTATGACCGGGATTGTCTTGTGCTGACGGTGGTAGAAGCATCAGAGGCTAGATGGCGACACCTGTTAGATCAGTTGGTATTTTCGCGCGAGTTTCCAGGCAAAAGTGCGTTGCGATTAACGAGCGACAGCGTGAAACCGACGACGTGACTGTGACAACAAATGATGCTACCGTTCTGGCAAAAAAAAGCTCACATGAAGTTGTGCCGGTGCAACTGTGTACCTGAGAGTCGCTTCTCCGAACGATGAAGATAACGTCGGCTTTCCTCAGGCTTTTGTCCTACAAGGTCGAATCTGCGTAAGAAATGGCAACGGCTTTGCACTACGTCAACTGCCTACATGAACCCGAGTAGATCCTGTCTCAGTCACTTGGTTACCGTCGTCATCTCTGCATGCGACGGCACTTGCACATGTATCGGCGTCGATATTTGTATCGACCTAAACCCTTGCTCTGTCGCTCCCTGGTTATTGCAGCTCTCTATTTCGCACCATCCGTCGTTCCTCCTTATCGAAGGAGCCAAATATAGCCAAGTCCAGAGCTCAGCGTCCCTTTCGACTTTAATCAGTCAGTCAGTCGGTCAGTCGTCTGCCTAATCCAGTTTAGTATCTCCCACACTGCCCAATAACCTCTCGCGTATTGTGAAAGTTCAGTCGCGTGTCGTCACAATGATGAGCGAAGTCCACGAGAAGAAGCCCGTTCTGTCACTGCGCAGCACCGAGAGCAAAGTCGGCGTCTGCATCGCAGGTACCGCTTCCTTCTCGTCTCTCTCTGTTGACCTCCAGTGTGCGACGACTGACGTTATGGCTGGATAATACCTTCATTAAAATGGCACAGGGTGGTACGTCATCAGTCTCCTGACGCTCTGGACGAATCGCTACGTGTTGACCACGTTGCATGTGGACTCGAACGTGCTCTCGCTCGCCCAGCTGAGCATGTCAGTACTCGGCGGCCTTATCTTGGAGCTCTATCTAGAGGGCTGGACAGTCTGCAAGCGCAGTTTGCGCAAGGTTGTGAGTGACGGGCTCAAGGAAATGGTGCTGCTCGCTGGCGTCCGCATCCTCACGGTGCTGCTGGGCCTTACTGCGCTCAAGTACATTGCCGTCTCCTTTACACGTACGTTGCTTCGAGGTTTACGTGTCTGCGTGCTGTGGGGCGCTATACCGCAGGGAGAACACACACAGGAGGTGGTGAAAAGATGGTGCTAATCTTTACGTCTGATGGATGCTGTCTCTACAGAAACAATCAAGTCGTCTGCACCGTTCTTCACCGTTATGTTGGCCTATTTTCTGCTGGGTCAACGCACGGGGTGGAGAGTGAATTTTTCGCTCATCCCTATTGGAACGGGTCTCGTCTTCTGCAGTCTGTCGGACAGCTCGTTCCACGTCCTCGGGTTCACTGCGGCGCTAATGTCGAACTGCACCGATTGCATTCAGAACGTATTGACAAAGCGGCTGCTGATGCGCTTGTACACGTAAGTGCGCAAGCTGTGCTTGTTTGCCGTGGTTGACTCGGCGTTTGAGACGACTAACAACTTTTGGTTGTATTGCAGAGCCTCTCAGTTGCAGCTCTACACCAGCATCATTGCAGTAGCCATGCAGGTCCTGTTCATCGCCTACAGTTCGATGTCCGTGCCGATCGAGCCAGCGCTTGAAGCTAGCGAGACGGACCGCTCTGCAGCGTTTGTCTTTTGCGTGCTTGTGCTGGACGGCATGTGTTTCTACATCCAGAGCGCGCTCGCTTACATGCTCATGAGTTTGGTGTCGCCGATAACACACAGCGTGGCCAACTGCGTGAAACGTGCGCTGATCATTGTGCTTTCTATCTACCGCTATGGCGAGAACGTGAGTGTTCTGAACTGGTGCGGTATGGCGCTCGTGGTCTTTGGGGTCTACGGCTTCAATGCAGCTTCGCGTATCGAGAGCAAACGAGCTGTTAAGGGTCCAGAAATCGCCCCTGTTATTCCCGTGTCCGTGTCGACGTGCACTATTGACGCATTGTCTGAGATTCGGGTCGAGAAGGGCAAGTAATGCAGCACTTCACTTTATTGTGGTATTAGAGCCCCCTATTTGGACTGTGTAACCAGCATATAGCGTGCGACGTGTATCGAGCGGTCGTGTTCGATTTGATGCACTGTATTGACTGAAAATAAACGTTTTAGACTATTTTCACCAATCACAGCGTTTGAGCTCTCCGAGGGCGATGTAGCCACGCGGTCAGTATCAATAAAGGCCAAAAATCCGACGAAAACCCAGTGCGACGAATGGCGAGCTCGATGGATTACGCGAAGGAGCTCTTGCGAAGGCAGTTTCTTGGTGCGTCAAGCTCTACGTTTATGCATCTGATCCCTCTTCATGCCGTGCCAGCTTGCTGTATCTCGATTTGCAGCGCGTAGCACGCAAGATCATGACACTTTTGCATGACGAATTAACGCCAGTTTTGTATGATCAATGCGAAGAAATGAGTCGCAATCCGCCCGAAGGCGTTTCCGTGGGTCTAGGAGACGACGAAAATATCTTCAACTGGGAGATCCTGCTCGTTGGTCCACCCGATACGCTGTATGAAGGAGCTTTCTTCAAGGCCGCCCTCGAGTTTCCCCATGACTTTCCCAACATGCCGCCTAAGATGACGTTCAAGTCGGAGATGTGGCACCCGAATGGTCGGTTTGGCCTTACTTTGCAAGCTGCTTATTGGCGGTTAATAGGAGAGCGCGTGTCTTATTCTCGCCAGTGACTGTGCTGTTGTTGTGCGTCTGGATCTAGTGTACCCAAACGGTGTCGTGTGCATCTCGATCTTGCATCCGCCTGGAGAAGACCATTTGAACCAGCAAGAAACGGCCGATGAGCGATGGCGTCCGATCCTCGGCGTTGAGTCTATTTTAGTGTCGGTCATTTCCATGCTCTCGGACCCGAACGACGAGTCGCCGGCCAATATTGACGCTGCCGTACGTTGCTGTTGTTTTCGGTTGAAGGCATGTCAGGGGAGCTGCCGCTGACGTCTTGTGTGCGTGTTTTTGGCTCTTTGTTTGGTTGTCGATGCGGGCTTTTGCTGGACGTATCAGGTGGAGTGGCGAAGCGACAAGGAAGGGTTCAAAAAGCACTGCCGTCGCATTGTGCGAAAGTCTCAGGAGGAGATCTAGGGTGACAAACAGAAGGTAGTCGCGTCCACGACCGACGTGGCTTGCAGCACGCCTCTGTCCAGACAAGTTGCGGTGGTGCTACCTGCAGGAGGGTCAAATCGATATTGGAACCACCGCCTTCTTGGTGTCGTAGCAATCACACGACGCGAAGAAGGCGTGTCAACAACGCACGAGTGAGTGGTCTCGCCTTTACAATGCATCGATCGCTTCATGTATACAAACAACCCTCCGTCTGCCAGCGTCCATGTAACGAACAAACCGCTGTCATGATGGTCCTCTGAACAGGGCAAATCGCATCTCGGGTCGTAACCTCCGTCGCAAAAAAGGAGCAGCTCCTCCGTCAGTCTTGATCCAGTCAACTCAAAACCCGAAACCCATCGAGGGAGTCCACCGCTCCACCCATTGCCCATCTCTCCCCCTTCTACCCCATGGTCTCCGCTCTGCGTCACTCCATCGCCATGTTCTCATCCAGAACCCCTCCCTCTATCATCCGGTCTCTGTATCAACAGCGAAAGGCCTCGAAACACACGCTCGTGCTCATCCGTCACGGCGAGAGCGTGTGGAACAAGCAGAACCTCTTCACAGGCTGGTACGACGTGCAGCTCTCGGACAAGGGCAACCAGGAAGCAGCGGCTGCGGGGCAGCTGCTTAAGCAGGAAGGCTTCACTTTTGACGTCGCCTACACGTCGTATCTCAAGCGGGCAATCCGGACTCTGTGGCACGTTCTCGAGCAGACGGATCAAATGTGGATCCCTGTGCACAAGACGTGGCGACTCAATGAGCGCCACTATGGCGCCCTCACGGGTCTGGACAAACAGGCGACGGTCGAGAAACACGGCGCGGAAAAGGTCCTCGAGTGGCGTCGGAGCTACGACATTCCGCCTCCAGAGCTGGATCCTGCGAGCGAGTTCTATCCGGGCAACGACGTCAAGTACCGAGCTGTGCCAAAGGCCCAACTGCCCTTGGCCGAGTCGCTCGAGCTCACGGCTGCTCGCGTGTTGCCGGAATGGCACAACACGATCGTGCCCAGCATCAAAGCGGGCAAGAACGTGGTGATTGCGGCGCACGGCAACAGCCTCCGGGCGCTTGTGAAGCATCTGGACGACATCTCGGAAGACGAGATCACGGGGCTCAATATCCCCACGGGGGCACCGCTCGTGTACCACTTGGACGAAGACCTCAAGCCCGTTCCGCACCAAGACGCGATTGCACCCCTCAGTGCCTTTTACCTCGGCGACCAAGACGAGATCCGCAACCGGATCCTTGGCGTCAAGAACCAGACAAAGTAAGAACGCGCTTGGGAGGATCACGAACGAGCAGGTGGAATTATAGCGGACACGAGAGTGCTGACAACGACACGTGGAGCAAAAGAGCTGCAGCTGCTGGACCCTCGATGTCACGTTTGCTTCATTTTGTGCTCACTTACCTGTCATCTGGATTGACTGGCGCACTGTTCGATACACGCTGGTAACATCTAGCAAAGCTTGTGAGTATATAATGGCAGCAGTGCACTGTGTCTGATCTGTCATGTCGCTCTACACGCAATAGCACCTGCGACTTTCGTGGTAGTACAGAAGGACCAGCTACTGCAGGATCTTCTTGGTCGTCTCGTTCGGCTCAACGCCTGCTGTCTTCATAAGCGCCGCCACCTCCTCGATCTGCCACAACAACAGCCACAATGACAACAGTATCTCAGCGTCAGCAACACGGTGGAACGAGCAAGACGAGACCACGTCGTACCTTGTCCTGCATCTCCCCGTCCTTCAGCTTGAACAGCAAATGGTTGCACGTCACACGCTGCAGCGTTCGTGCCTCTCTAAACCAGCCACACCACCACCACCACCAACAACAACAGCAGCCGTCAGCACTCTGCACCATCCGTCCAATCAACAGCAACACTAGCACAACCGTACGCTGCAGTCTTGAGCAGCTCCACGGCCTTGTCATAGTCTTGCTGCGCAATCGCCGCTCGAATGAGGATATCAAACGTGCGGTCACTGTTCTTGACCTTGTACTGGCTCTGGCCAATCTCGTGCAGCGTAAAAACCTTGTCCAGCTCGCCGTCCTTCAAGAACTTGCACAGCACTTTGTTCAGGGACGCTGGCTCAAGGAACAACCCGATGCGGTAATTGGCCGCCAGCACGTCCAGCACCACGTCGGGCGCATTGAGCTCCAGCGCCTTCTTCACGAACAGCCCCACGGCGGTCGTGTCCGGGTCCACGCGCTTCTGCTCGTAGATCTTCATGATCTCCTTGGCCTTCTCCAGCTCCTCGTTCGTCGTCACCGCCTTGAGGTACGACGAGAGCTTGGACCGTTTAATCCGTACATCCTGCGTAGCCAGTCGCTGGATATCCTTCAGCCACTCGTCTGCCGATCGCGTCGGTACAGCCACTGCAGTAGAAGCAGCAGGAGACGGAGCAGCAGTGAAGGATCTGGACGTGAAGGGCGCTGCCCATTGCCGCTGGCCAATGCACAGCGCGGCACGGAACGTCTGCAGACCTCGTCCAGCCATGACGAATGAAGGAATGATGATCGACACTTGACCTGAATGGGGGACAACCTCCGCCGGACACCGACATGATACCGACCGACTATCGGTATTATCTGATCCAACAACCGACGGCACCAAATAGAGTACGCTATTGATTAGAGGGCTAAAACCGGTATCCCTACGGGAGACTGAGCAGCTCCGACTTGACTGGCCGAGAGATGAAGCTGCTGGCGCTGCGTCGTTCCCTGCTGCTGCGGACGCCTCTTGCGGCGCGTAAACAGCTGGTGGTGCGTGCGTTCAGCGGTAACTGGGAGTACCCGAAGGTCGAGGGCAGCGTGGCCGACGTGACCAAAGCGCTGACGACGATTGGTGCGCGGCTTTCGATCTCTACGGCGCCGCTCTATTTCACGCCGTTAAAGGTTGACTTTATCGTGCGGGAGATGAAGGGAGTGGACGAGTTGCTGAAGGTGCAAAAGGCGCTGCTGCTCTGTGATGCCAAGATGGCCTACCCCTCGGACTTTGCTGCCGGGAGCTTCTTCTCGGCGTGCCTGAAACTTGACGCGGCCCACGTGGCGCTCGAGTTTCTACGTCAAGCAGAGAACGTGCGCCATTACGTCAAGAACCAGAGCTTCGTGCGTCTGGCCGAGCACTTTGCCAGTCAGGACGACCAGGAGGCGGTCGAGGAGCTCGTGCAGATCATGCAGAGCAAACGCGTGCCCATGACGTACAAGATGGCTACATTTCGCATCTTGAATGCTAAGAAACGAGGTGCATGGGAAGAAGCCGTTGCGCTTGCCAAGGAGGCAGCGAATGATGTTCAGATTAACTCCCATCTTATCATTCAGCTGCTGCTGGATGACAACGGAGACGTTTGCAAGGAACACGTGCGTACAAGCAGTTGCTCTCTGATCTGTTTTTTGGGTGGTTGATTTGGTAAAGACGAAGTTCATGATGGTGGTTGATGTGGTGTGGTCCTCCGCGTTGCTGCTGCTCATGTAGATCCCGTTGGCGAGGTACCTTGCTGACAAGGGGGATGTCTACGTGAATGCACGGCTCGCGAACATTTTAGCAGGAGGAGATGGCAAGTTGGTGGAGGCTAGGGTGGAGGAGCCGGAGGAGTCTCCGGAAGAAACAATAGCGAAGGATAAAGGCGCTGCCAACAAGTAGAGGGATGGTACCCGGATACTTTTGCTGTTTTGCAGCTGGAAGCAGGAGGATGGACAGCCGGTTGTCGTACCTGCTAAATGTATGCGGTGAGCTTGCTCGCTGTAATAGATGTGATGGTTCAGATGCCACGAGTTGTATATACTGTTGCAATGTGTCCACATTGGTGGGATGGGTTGTGCAAGCAGGAAAGATGCTGGCTGCGATGCCGACTCAAGCATCGTGTTTGCTGGTAGTGACTGGCAGTTCTGGATCATTGCCGGGTCGTTGCGCTGCGCTTCGATGGTGAAATACGCAGGGTAGGTACTAATGTCATCAAGCGCCGGGCGGACTGATAAAGCGCACAGGTCGCTGTCGATGTATCCACATGCAGCAGCACGTGGATGGCGCTATCAAGACTACAGATTAATGAACTTCCATTCACTGTGGCGGCAAATTGTCACATCTACGCACAGATGGAATCCGTGATCCGTGGCACAGGCGCCTGGGATTGCAGACATTAACTGGGCACAACCTGATGGACGTTGTCGTCTACATGAGACACAGAAGTGAACACCGCAGACCTGGGTTTGCATTTACAGAATGTGCTTATTCCCTGTCGTCCTTCCACATTGTTGTCAGGGTCGACATCAAATCGTTTCCACACTGCTCCTCATCCGTAGCCCATGGTGCATCAGCTTCTTTGTCGTCATGCCCAGCGCCCTTCGAACTACGCCCTTTGGTGATGCTCCAGCGCCTGAATACTTACTCCTTCATGACCTGGCAACACGCGTCTCTAACTTCAACGTCAAGTATACATCTAACGTTGTTTTCGTACAAACAATGCAATACGCGGCGGTTGCGACTGCAGTAAGCGCTTGCACTTTACATGAGTTGACAACGGGTCATCGTTGCGTCCCCGTTTATTCTTGCAAGTTATGTTAGTCCATCCATCAGGCACTCGAGTCAACATACCGATCGCTTGATACGCTTCGGTTGCGCGATCCAATGCGCAGAGGTGTCGATAAAAACAGGGTATGTCGCATACACAAAACCTCTTGTCATCTCGAGCAAAACCTTATATCTTGGATGTGCCAACGTAAATGACGTTACGCGAGAGGCAGAGATCCACCATCTCCAGCAGAGCAGTCTCCAAGTAACGCTTAAACTCCGAAGCGCTTGTTTCTGGGCATGAGTGGTAGCATGTAACACTCATGTTGATGCGGTCAGGTTGCAATGCATAGCATACGCCGTAGCCTTCATTGTACATGGCCGAAAAGCCGCCCCAAATGGGACTCGCACCAGGTCCGCCGCTGATGTTGCTGGTGGATACCAGATACTTCTTGCTCAACTCGAACGCGCGATCGGTGAACAATGAGGGCTTTGGCGTGATACCAGACATCTCTGCCACGATCTGCAAACCCATGAGATGGCGGTCAATACCGTCTCCAGTCAGGCATTTCTTCAGCGTCTCCTTGTGAGCGTCGATGGCTGTGCGCAGCGCTTCCCACTTTGTTCCCTCCGAGGCACTTGACTCCATCGTCTTTACAAAGGCAAGAGACTCGCTCGACAACGACCGAATCGTTTCCGTGCGGCCGTGGTAAAACATCCTCGTGTGGGCCGACTCATACACAGCAGGCAGACTCTTGTGCATCTTGTAGTGTGCGAGTTGGATAGCCATCTGCATAAAAAAGTCTGGCGTGAGCTTATAGCGCTTGAGGAAGGCCGAACCGTAGTGGTTGAACTGAATTGTCGCAATGTCGCTGTTGTGAATCAGCTTTCCCACGGCAGCACTGGCGCACTCAATGGCCGTGTAAGCAGCGTTGTCAAGCACCCACTCCAGTCGCTTCGGTTTCAAGTTGAACGTAGGTTGCAAGTCGGCGCGATTCGCAAACATGGCCTTGAAGTTCTCGTTGACATATTTGATGCAGTAGTCAAACAGGCGGACGACCACTAATGCATCTGCCCACACGTGCTGGCCGTTCAACCCGCCTCGAGCGTTCTCGTGGATAATCAGCGTAAACGGCTTGTCGTACCAGCGATTGCGGCCGTCGCCAAGCAAGCAATTGCGTGCAATTTCGTCGTACGTCGACGCAGAGCTCTCATCGAGAGCAACACAAAACAGCGCCCGCTCGATCAGGTCGAACGACTGCTTGTTGACGTCATCTAGCGCTATGATATGGTCCCGCGCCTACATTGACGATGCGAAACGACGACATGAGTCCAACGCTAACACCTTTGCAAACAAAGATTGGAGCAGCGACCATACCTTGGCCCAGTTTGTTCGATTCTCGGACGTCAAGACGCTAACGGGTGGGTAACGCTCCAAGTCAAAAAGTCCCGTGGCTTCATCCCGCACCAATTCAAATTGTCTGCCGCCACAACGTCAACCGCAACAATAACAACAACACAAAGCAAGTCATCCATCAAGTCCTCGTCTCAATCTGAGCAGCAAAGCCCGTGTCAGACGGACCTCAAAATGTCTGCGAGCGGGAGGTCGTCGCCATTGTCGTGCATCACCTGCACTGCCCACATGCAGTTGTTCCGTAAGACGAGAATGTGCTTGGCATCAGGTGGGTACGACACCATCTCGTCGCACTCTTCGCCTGGAACCACACACGTGTTGAACATGCGCGTGTACGTAAACATACACAGCGGCCGCCCCATCATCGTTTCCGGCGGGTACTTGTCCCTATTGTAGACGTCACCAGCAATCAAACAAACAACCAACCAAGCAACCAATCAAACCAACCAATCAAACAAACGTCCGTTACTCGTTTTCCAAACCACCACCACCACTGCGTTCGCGTCTTTTACCCACGTACGCCAATAGAGTTTTGCGGAACTTGAGGATCGCGTGCGTGAAAATAGACGCCGCTTCGCACTGACTCATGTCTCGAGGCCCCCAGTTCCCAGGCAGGACGCCGTACCAGTTAATGTTAATGGCCGAGGGGTACCGTGGCTGCAAGTAGGCAAAGGTCTCCCACCACTCCTCCACCCAATTGCGCTCCGAGTCCGCCCGTTCCTCTAGAACCGACTGCAGCTGCGGTCCGACGCCCTCGAGGAAATCGTGACACACGGCTTTTGTATGCTCGAGTTCACTGGGCGTCAGGAGCGGTTCACAGCTCTGTATGTACTGCTCAAGCGTCTGCGCTAGCGGCGGCAAGGGCAGCGGGGGCAACTCGTCTTGGTACTCCATGGTGCGATCGGGCTGCTTGGACATGGCTACACGACGTGAATCCCACGGACGGGTGGTTAGTAGATGGGGAGGTTGGTTCGTAGTCACTGCTACTGAAGGCCGAAGCGAAAGTGAGAAAAGTGCGGCGGTTGAAATGAGCGTTTTTACGGTTTGATTCGATGAACGAGGACTCGATTGAGGTTTTTTAGGCCTTTTGGACGTTTGAAACTCCTCTTTTCTGGTTTGAGTCGATTGTGCTTCATTGAGGACCAATTATCCACGTCTGCCTCTTGGTGCGAGCCCGTCGTGATTCATCCTGGCACGGTTCAATAGGAACAAAAGCGAGTCGAATAGAAGATAAATCTCGAGTGTTGTTTAGTCGCAACAACTGGTCGCGTTTATTTCAAGTATACGCGCATGATAAGGATGGGCTGTGTATGCATCAGCCGAACGTTAGAATGATGAGTTCTAGTGCACGTTCGCGCCTGAAGTCACGCAGGTGCAATTTGAAGAGCGCATGACCTGAAAAGTTACGCAAGAAGTACGCGAGAACCGAGACAGCACTTACGAATTACGGGCTAGACAACTTCGATCCACCAAAGTGTGAGGAGGAAGCGCAACGTAGCTGTACTACTGCAGTGAATGATGTGGTACCTCATATAGTGCTGCGATCGATAGTCGCGACATGAAACAAGAGCTAAATTCACAAGTTGAGATGATTGAGTTCAGATAGAAGTCGACACGATGCATCGAGAGTTTGCAAGAAGCTGGAGAGTCGACGATGAAGAACTTCTACTTGGCGAGCATGGTCGTCGACTGGTAGCCGTGTATCTTGGACCCGCGAAAAGCGAGCGGGAGAGCAGAAGTCTGCTAGACATAGCACGTCGAATAGGAAGAAGCCGAGCTTGAGAAACTAAAGGTGAGGCTTGGTGGTGGCAGTTGCATCAGCTAAACCTGTAGCGGGGGTAAGCTAAGGTGTCGTATGTGAAACAGTTTGGATTGAAAGACGTGCCGATACTGACACGGTCTTTGCCTGGATCCATGACGCCTTCCCCGTTACAGTGAAGGCTGATCAGGGTGTGGTCGGCCTTCAGGTTATGCGCTGGTTCCACTCTTAACGCACCACGAGACTGCACGCAACTTCAACTTAGTCGCGCATACTTTGCGTCACTTTTTCTACAACTTGTACTTCCTCAGCGGCCCGTGGTATCCCTATTTCGTACGCTATAAGTCTTCCGAGTGCACATCATATCTCGAGTGTATGCACTCACGTTGGAGCTTGATGAGGGGATTCAGCATGTACTACGGAATCATGAAGAGCACTACACAGCAGTTTCCCTCAACTACCCGTATCACCCAAGTACTCGTCAAGCACCGATTATGTTTAGGCTGTTGGTGTCGAAGCTGCCACATCCTCGAGTTTGAGAGCACTTGCAATGCGGCGACCGAACGAGTTAGCTTCCATGCAATTGTTCGGCTTGGGGTCATTGAAGTTGACAGAATTAAACGACGTTGGCAATTGTTGGAAATCATCGAGAGCTCGAATGAACGACAGCGAGGGTCGTGCTGTCTCTACTTGTCATTCCTTTGCAGCAAGGATGGCAGTGCTTTACGTGCAAGATCGTGCAGAGACACAGGTTAAACTACCTCACCACTCTCTCCTGCGCGAGTAGGGGCAGTGCGTCATTGTGGTCGTAGACGGATGATAAACTGCGTGTCGTCGTGTTTTACGCAAGTGCGAAGTAGTCATCGAGGGCGACGTCTTCTCCGAACTTCATGTACTGTGAGCAGCAGTTGACAAGCTTAGCCCTCGAGTGCTCCAGTGCACAACTCTGGGTTCATCAAAGCATTTTCATATGATCCATCCGCACGGGTGAACCTGTGAAGGGTGTCATTCCCATCCTCCCAATCTATCTGCTCGAATAAACGTTTGGACACCAGGTATGATTTGCTGAAGTAACGAAACGCGTCATCGCACTGGTTTGGATGCACGTCTGCCCGCCACCCCGGCCTTGCAACAGCTCACACAAACTCTTGCTGTGACACAGTCTCCCCATTCCCGCATTGCATTCGAGATGATGATGTCCTTGGTCCGTATCATAAAGCCACGCACTCTTGCGAAGGCGGTGCGCAACGTGCACGTCGAGCGAAAGCTGGAGGAACTGGGCTACACGCTACCAGCCGTGGCCGACCCCAAGGGCAATTACCGCACATCGGTGCGTTCAGGCAACACCATTTACCTGGCTGGCCATCTACCCCAACCTGCAGGCGGTGGTGATCTTATTTTGGGCAAGATCGGCAAAGACTTGACGCTGGAGCAGGGCTATGACGCTGCTCATTACGTGGCGCTCAGCCTCATGGCTACACTCAAGAGTGCGGTGCTGATTACCGTCAATGTTGTAAGAGTGAGTTTGCTCTGATACTTACTTCTGTCTCGGTCTTTGTATTGTCGTTGTTGTTGCTGTAGACGAAGTGGGTGATCTGGACAAAATCAAGCGCATAGTGAAGCTCGTGGGCTTTGTCAATTGCGTCGATGGATTCTCCCAGCAGCCAGCGGTCATCAACGGCGCGTCCGACACCATTGGCAAAGTGTTTGGTGACAAGGGCATCCACGCTCGCTCGGCTGTGGGCACGAACGCCCTTCCGCTCAACGTGGCTGTGGAAATCGAGGCCGTCGTCGAAGTTGAGAAGTAAAAGCACCAACATGATCGTGTCGCGCTCTTTGGCATGGAACCGATGGCCTGCCATGTATGGCATTTGCAAAGCATCACTTGTTGCATTGGTTTCTCACGTGAACAAATGCAAAATAAACAGCGATGTGAATACAGCGATTCGGAAGAAGGCGTTTCTTGCATATGGATCTGACGTAGCACAGGAGGTTGAGTTAGTACTCAGTCTGCGATTAGAGTTGTAGTTGACCCATAATGGATCCGCACGCATGCAGCAGCTTGCGTTGTCAACGTGACAGTTGGCATGTTGTCTACTGACGCTACAGGTACCTCGACAGGTTAGATCTCGTGCGCTCGATCGTATTCCACCACAACAGCAGCACAAAACAGCTTCACACAGTACGACATGGTAGTCTGAGCTTGACTTGCATCAACGAAGTCGATCATTTTGTCCCGGATCCCGGTTCTTGTTCTCCACCTTGAGGGATCTGCCATATATAAAGCGTGGTCCATGACCAATAAAGAAGTGATCTTCTTCCGAGCACAATCATGTGTCTAAAAACAGATTCTTGACTTTCGATGAAAATCAACGAGGTCAACGAAACCTCACTCTCTTCTCGACGGCCCCCAGGAAACAAACAGTCCAGATGAGGCATCGAATCAGTCTCGGCGCGAACAATACTAGTGCACCTAAAGCGGATGACGGTTCGAAGGTCAGCGTTCGCAAAATGAACAACTTGCGCGCGTCCAAAGCTCAAACAATAGTCGGCGATTCGATTGCATCTGCTCGAGACAACACGTACCGTACAACATATCCCAAGAAGCTTCAAAAGAAACAAAGCCCGATAGGGGCAAAGTACTGTGACCGGACAACGTTAAGCAGATTCACAGAGCTAATAGCCTTATCAAGAAACGAACGTTCCGGTTTATCTCACACATCTGCCATTCATGCCTGCCCGATACATGGCTCAGCTCGCCTGGTGGCAAAAGAGTGAAAGCCCGTGGGAAGATAGGGTCAATTGCATCACGTTAGGCGAGCGCACCCGACTCTACACATCGCGTACTTCGGACGTCGGCAAACAAAGCTGCAAGCGGCTGACTTGCAATGTTCCTTCTTGTAATATTTTTAAGCTCATTAAGGTAATCCCGCACAACCTCCGCCGATTTGTCTTTTGTCATCATAGAAATCTAAACATCGTACGTCAATTCACCGCAAACTTGGCCAACGCATCTCAGGAACTGTATAAAAGATGGGCATTGTACATCCGATGCATCTCTCCACTGACGAGCGCGTATCTCATCATCCCACGATGCAATGGGTATCGATTCGTACACGTCAAAAGGTTTTAATTGCAACAGCGCCCATAGATCAAAAATCAATTCTTCAGTCTTGACTCGCCACCAGTCGAGCAAATATTGGTACATCTTCGAAACGAAATAATGCGTTCCTTTAACGGACCGTAGATACTCGAGAAACGCTACCAGATCTTCCATCTCGCTGTGCAATTTTCGCCGACTAAAACATCATCTTCGAAAAAGGTTTTGACCGCAGGTGTAACGGGGTTGCACAAATTATGGTACTTTGTACCAGAGGTGTTACACACCTGAGGGTACTCCCTTTGTGAAGGTGACATAGAGTATCTTATTGGTTCGTAGGGGCTGACGAGTGTCAGCCATTAGGTACGAAAGACCTTTGAGTAGGATTAAGATATTCTATAGGCTTTAACAAAAAAATAAATCAGTTCCCATTTTGATCTAAAGGACACGTGGCTTGCGAGCCGTCTTGAGCGTTGATCACTGATCACTAAGAGTTAGCAACATCTCCTTGAGGTAGCTACTCTTGAGCACTGAGTGCTGTCGATACACTGAATCGTTAGGTCCCCTGGAACAGGGATCTGAAGCTGTAAAGCTTGTTGACTCGTAAAGTCGTTAGTTCTTTGGAACTAAGTTGCTCGTAGAGCGTTAACTTCCTCTGACTTAAGGAGCTGTGTAGCTCCGCTACACTTGGTAGCACTCGTAGTCAATCTACTCCTGAGTCTTTAAGACTGATCCTCTGTGAGGATGGAAAACCCCACTCCCCGATCTGAGGCCCAAAAGGTCGCGCTTGATAAGCTGACCGCATCTTTGGGTCCAGAGTACGTGGAGTTCCTTGTTTCACAAGGTCCTGAAGTGCTTAATGCACGTGTTGAAAGCTCCATGCAGTATGAAGCGGTCCTTTAGGGCAGTTCCAAGACCAGTAGCGTCGGCTATGCCTACACGCTATGTGTCTGTGCCAGACGAATAGGCTAGGCCTCATCCAATTAGAGTGACAGTGAAAAACCACTCCGGTAAGGAGGGTGAGAATCTTATCCTCTGGATCTGTGAGATTGATACGGCCATGAGATCAGGCCTGATCACGCTTGACCATCAACAGGGATCGCTGGCTATCTCGAAGCTCGATGGAAGAGATAGAAAATGGGCCTTGACGTGTAGCACGTCGGTGGACATAGCGTTTCCCACATGGGAGTCGCTCAAGTCACAATTTGTACAGGTGTTCTCACCACCCAACCAGGTTTACCGCGTGCGTTCACGCTTTCTTTCTACCCGCCAGGGTTAAATTGAATTACCGGACTATGTCCAAGAGCTGCGAACGCACATGGCTACAATGAAGTCTGACTTTCTGCCTGAGGCAGTCCATGTGACTCTCTTCATGGAAGGTCTACGTATTGGCATTGCCAGAACCGAGGTTTTTCGGGTTCACCCCTCTACTTTTGAAAAGGCTGTGAGACTTGCTCTAAATGCTGAGCATAACTTCAAGTCGGCCAGACTTGGTTGGAATGGGTACAATCCTCGCTCTGTGAGAGCAAACTCTTCGAGTACCACTGCCTATAATAGGCCGGAACCGATGGATCTCAGCTATGCTGAAGATGGAGGTGAAGCTGAGCTTCAAGCTGCTGAGCAGCAACACGTCGTAGGACGATATTTTACGTGCGGAAGCACTAAACACTTGCGGCCTGGTTGTCCTTTGCGTAAGCAACGCCAGGCTACAAAACAACACTCGACCCCAAGTCAGAAGTCTTGTATGGCACGGGGAAATGCCGACACCCAGTAGGCGCGGGGCGCCCTACTGGGGAAGAACTAGGTTCTGTTACACCTTTAGAAGGTAAAGGAATGCAGGACTTAGCCCCAAAGAGTACCATACCTACGGGCATGGTGCGTGGATACAAACTTGGCTTGTTTGTCGCCCAGGCGAAAATTAATGGCTTTGAGAAGCCTTGGTCGATTTTGATCGATTCTGGAGCGTCTTGCAATTATGCTCGACGCCGTTCCCTTGAAGGAAATCAGCGTTATGCTGAGGCGCTTACAGCGCATGAGGGTGATTCTATCACGGTACGTATAGCGACTGGAAGTCGCGTAACTGTGCCTAATGTTCCATTGAACTTAGTTTTAAAGTTTTTAGACTTCGACAGTATTGAGCGCTGTCTTGTCCTAGATTTGGAATCGAGAATATCTCATCCCAGGTATGGCTTGGATCGAACGCCTTGAGCCATGTATTGATTGGAGGTCTAAGACCATTTGCACTACGCGCAATGATCCTAGCGAAGTTTTAAGGAGTCACTAACCCACCTTCGCTAGGCAACAGAAGCGCTATTGGCGCAAGCCTTTGACAGAAGATGTCAATGTGCTGGATATTGGAATGTCTGAGTTATCTAACTCCAATGTTACAAACATAAGTTTTGACCCTAGCTCGTCTAAAATTAGTGAAACGGCACGTACTCCGTTGAGTGTTACTCGTTGTGATAAGGAGTCACTGTATGCTGACAGCATGGTTGGCCTAGGGCCTAGTGATCAAGGATGTGATTTCTTTGATGTGTGTGTGGTGGCACGTGAAACTATACCGAGTGCGTTCGGCCGTAAGAGCACCGCACTAAATGTCGGTAATGACATTGTTGGTCATATGCCATTTAGTGTGGGCGGCCGTGAAGGCACCACGCTTAACGTCGGTAATGGCGTTGTTGGCGATTCTCCATATAGTGTGGGCGGCCGCGAGGGCACCACACCTAATGTCAGTAATGATATTGTTGGCGATACGCCATTTAGTGTGGGCGGCCGTGAGGGCACCACACCTAATGTCAGTAACGATACTGTTGGCGATACGCCGTATAGTGTGGACGGCCGTGAGGGCACCACACCTAATGTCGGTAGTGACCTTATTGGCGAGACGCCGTTAAATTTGGGGCTAGAACCGCATAATACACGTGGAATGGCACGTTTAAATCCACTGGGTGAAGTGTTTGAGTTTTGTAACACTTCACCGGATGTCGGTCAAGACATAAGCTCTCGTATAGAGCGTACTATGGTTGGTAGTAACCATGGGGACAATACTGTCCCGACCCCTAAGGGGTGTAAGGTCTCGAAGAGACGATCGAGACGCCGGGTAGCAACTGTAAAGCGCCAGGCGTCCTCACAGTCACATAGTGATAATAGTAATACACTATATTCACTTGTTAATGGAGTGACTGGTCAGGTTGATGTCAGTGTTTGCCTTGAAACCCTTCCATCTGTGGACGCTCTTTGTGAGCTAGACGAAATGTCTGATGGCGATTTTAGCCAGGCCTTAAAGGCAGGAGAGTTATCCGAGTTAGCGGTCATTAGAACTAATACTGAGTTAAACTCTTCTTCGTAAATGGATGAGTCTGTCCCAGAGGATACAAAGGCGGCACTTAGTGCACGAAGTGGATCTTCGATCCTCAAAGATCCTGTGGGTTCGTATTATCCTTTAGTTAAGGAAGTTCAAGATGTGGTGTGTCGCAACCCACCTTCTGCCTTACCTCTGAAAGAGGTGTACTTCATGAATTTGACTTAGTTCCTGGAACTAAATACTGCGAAACACGGCAGTGGCCTTTGCCTAGAGAACAGTGTGACGTCATTGACTACTTCTTTCGTGCTAAGCACGCGGCTGAAATGGTTCGTGAGAGTAAATCTCCTCATTCAACACCGACATTTTGTGTCAAAAAGCCAAATGGCAAGTGGCGTATTGTGCATGCTTATAATAAGCTTAATGAAGCCACTATACCGGCGCAGACGCCTATTCCTTGAAAGGATGTTCTCTAGAACAATATGGTAGGATGTACATTGTACAGTGCACTCGACTTAGTCGATGGTTATTACCAACTGCTCATGCGAGCAAGTGATATTCCGCTAACAGCGGTGAGTAATTCGAGCGTTATACTCTGGGAGTGGCTCGTTATGCCACAAGGGCTACATAACGCCCCGGCTACGTTTAACCGGCTGGTAACGCAACTATTAAGACCTCATCGAGGCTATGCACAAACGTGTTTTGATGACATTTTTGTCCATAGTCGTGCAATTAATGGGCGATCAGATGTGGATGACCACATTGATCATTTACGAGCGGTGCTCGAGTGCATGCGGACGAATAAGTTGTATGCTAACGCATCTAAGTGCATCTTTGGTGCAGAAGAGATTTCCTTTCTAGGGTGCTTCATTGGGAAGCGAGGCCTTCGAGCGGATCCCGCTAAGGTAAAAGCCATAGTCGATTGGCCGGTTCCCAAGAACCAAAAGGACTTAGGTAAGTGGCTTTGCCTTGCCAATTACTTACATACGTACAGTGCGAATTACGCAGATATGGCTCGGCCATTGTCCAATCTCCTTAAAAAGGATGTGCATTGGTGTTGGGGTAACACTAAACATGATGCTTTTGGAAGCAGTTAAGGAGAGTCTTCTTCATGCGCCAATATTAGCTTTGCCCGATCCTGATCGACCCTTCAGTGTCGCCTGTGATGCATCTGACTTCGCCATAAGCAGTGCTCTGTTACAACAGATGTCGATGGACGCGGACGTGTCATCGCATTCGATTCTCGGCAGCTGAAAGCTGCTGAATAGAACTATCCAGTTCATGACAAAGAGCTACTTGCTATGAAGTACAATCTTGTCAAATTCAGAGTACATCTGCTTGGCTCAAAGCCGTTTGTGATCTATACAGACCATGCGTCGTTGCGCACTGCGACACAGTCGCCTCATCTCTAACAGAGAATGGCTCCTTGGCTTTCCTTCTTTGCCGAATATAACTTCGAGGTGAAGCAAAAGCCAGGTAAGCAAAATGCTTAAACTGATGCACTATCGCGTCGACAGGAAAATGAGCTTGCTCATGTTACGACTCTGTCTTCGTCAGTCCCTGACTTAATACGTGCGACATATGCCAAGGGTGATCAGTGTGTAGATTCGCTACGTGCTCTTGGGAGCGATGGGTTTAAAGACTCGGACATAGAATTGTCGGCACGTATAAGTGCGAGGCTACATCGATATTCCATCGATAATGGCCTGTTGTGCTATCGCACGGATATTGAGGATAACCCTCGTATCGCTGTACCTCATGATTAAAGTATCGAATCCTCTATGAGGCACATGATACTGCTTTAAGTGGTCATCTCGGTCGTGAGAAGACTTATAGCTCGGTGAGCCAAAGTTATTGGTGGCCCAAACTTTATAAGTGGGTGAGCACCTATGTGCGTACGTGTAAAACGTGTCGACGGGTTAAACCCTCGGCACATGCGGCGGCGCCGCAGGCTAGTTTGCCTGTACCCACTGGTTGTTGGGAGTCCATGAGCATGGATTTTGTGTTTGGCCTACCGAAAGATTCGGAAGGCAACACTGGTATTGTGGTCTTTGTTGACGGATTGAGCAGGATGGATCACTTAGCGGCTGTGCCGGATAGCATCGATGCTGAAGGTACAGCAAAGCTGTTAAACGACCGTGTGTTTCGCCAACATGGCTTGCCTGTGGCAATTGTCTCTGATAGAGACCCCCGCTTCACCGGAAAGTTTTGGAAGTCTATCTTCAAGGTGCTGGGCACTCGGTTGGACATGTCCACAGCGGATCATCCGCAGACCGACGGTCAAACTGAGCGTGTTAACCGCGTCATCATTGACATTTTGTGCAGTGATTGCGCTGATACGCCTAGGCGTTGGAGCTCAATGCTCCCTGTTGTTGAGTTTGCGTTAAATTACGTTGTTCATGCTTCAACAGGCTTTACTTTGTTCGATATAAACGGTCTCACTCAAGCTCGCGTTCCGTTAACGCTATCACTACGTGATTTAGGGCTTGGTGGGGGAAAGGTTGCCGATAGGCTTGCTGATATCAGCCCTGCTACCGTTAAAAAACAGGCAGGCGAGTTTTCGCAACGCGATTAAATGTCTTAAGACATGTGCGTGACGCAATGGCTGATAGCCAAGATAAACAAAAACAACAAGCTGATGCCAAAGGCAGAAAACGTATTGAAAGCCATGAGGTCGGAGACCAAGTATTACTCAATGCTAAAAATCTACCTACAAATGTAGTGTCTGCTGCCTTTGAGACAAAGTTGCGTTCACGCTTTATTGGACCGTTTACGGTCACTGCCAAGAAGGGACTTGCGTACACGCTAAACCTTCTGCGCAAATTGCGCACACATCCAGTGTTCTACGTAGGCTTACTTAATCCGTACCGGGATCCTTTCCATGTGAACTTGGAGGCGCTTGCGCCGACGACAAGGGCATTGCCCCGGATTGCTGTAGACGAATCAGCAAGTCCAACTGAGCCTCGCTCCGAGTTTGAGCTTGCTCCATCGCCTGGAGGCGGCTTTGCATCGCATCCAGCATGCACTGGGTCTTGCCCAAGGTCTCTTGAAGACCCTTAAATTCAAGAACCAATTTCTCGTGGGCCTCCACCAGTACACCGGCCGCCACCGACTTTGCTCGATGAGCATGGGTGTCGTCAATTTCATGTCGAGAGACTACTGAAACGACGTCGTCGTCAGGGCCAATACCAGTGCTTGGTAAAGTGGCGAGGGTACCCTGAGTCTGAAAACTCATGGGAGTTTGAGATACCTCTTCGGCAGGACTGCCCTTATGCTTTGGATGCTTTTGAGCATCGTGGCCATGGTCATCTCGAGACCGAGGCCGTTCCCCACCACTAGTGGTGCGGGTTGGCGGGTTGTTGGCCACAGACTGACCAGCACTCGCGGCTACCTTAGTAGCCGAAGCATAGAGCGTGCGCTTGCGCAATTGTCCTCTGGCCTTAAGCTTGGGATAAAAATCATACCGAAGCTTGCGTTCGAGACGCAAATCAGCCGCATGGGCACTAGCCCTTATATCAAACATGTTGCTTAGGCGACGCACATAGTGCACCCAGTGAACGAAGGCATCATCCTCTTCGCTCACTGTTTCGCTTGCGAACAAGAGAATGGGTATACCCTTGATCGGCGGAACCGGTGCAACACGTGCTTGCATGTCAAGGCGTGCCTTGTATTGACTTTGAGTCGTTAGGTGCGGCTCCAGTTACCTCTCACGAAGTGCCTGGAAGCTCACCACCTCCTCAGGAGTCTTAAGTCCATGGCCAATGACCCACGTTGCCAATGTTTGGCCGGCCGCTTGACGTAAACGTTCCTCCACACTGGGTGGAGTGAACACATAGTCACACTGGCGTTCAAGGGTTGCAGCCATTTGTACATGACGCTGAGCGTTTTCTTCTTGTTGGACAAGCATTTGTTGTTGCTCATCGAGCGGGTTTGTGATGATATTTTCATCAGAACCAGATGCTGAACGCTGCGCTAGTGGCGCGCTCACATCTCCACGTTCAGAGAACAGATTTGGGGTGTATGAAGGTTGTGCCTCAGGCATCGGTGAGTCGGATATTGTCCCTGCATCGCCGTGGACACTGGTATCGCTTCCATAGTCCACTGCCTCCTCTATTCCAAGGTAGTCAGACAGAGTCTTTGACTCGTTTGGTGATGAGGGCATCGTGCTAGAGTGTACGTTACCGCGAGGTTTACCGTACGCGCACTGTTCTCGCTGAGAAACACAAGCTCGATTGACGATTTGGTAAATGTCAGTCTGGTAAGGGAGGGTGTAACGGGGTTGCACAAATTATGGTACTTTGTACCAGAGGTGTTACACACCTGAGGGTACTCCCTTTGTGAAGGTGGCATAGAGTATCTTATTGGTTCGTAGGGGCTGACGAGTGTCAGCCATTAGGTACGAAAGACCTTTGAGTAGGATTAAGATATTCTATAGGCTTTAACAAAAAAATAAATCAGTTCCCATTTTGATCTAAAGGACACGTGGCTTGCGAGCCGTCTTGAGCGTTGATCACTGATCACTAAGAGTTAGCAACATCTCCTTGAGGTAGCTACTCTTGAGCACTGAGTGCTGTCGATACACTGAATCGTTAGGTCCCCTGGAACAGGGATCTGAAGCTGTAAAGCTTGTTGACTCGTAAAGTCGTTAGTTCTTTGGAACTAAGTTGCTCGTAGAGCGTTAACTTCCTCTGACTTGAGGGGCTGTGTAGCTCCGCTACAGCATGGGAACTCGATAAACCATACCCATGCGTACGCTTATACTCAATATCTGCATGACGTCGGTCGGTAAAAGTCTTGACATGTCACGCCACTGTCGTAAATTTTCGGGCCATCACTATTCTCTTTAAAGGCCTTTAAGACCTTTTTCCGCTGCAATGGGCATCATCGCGTAAACTAATTCAGTCCTATCTTTCCATTAGCCACAATCCGAGCACCAGCTGCAAGGTGTCCGGGTGTTCCACGGCCAATTCTCTTTGTAAGCTTACAGCTTTATCCCTTCTACCATGTCTTTTATAAGAGACGGTGGAAAAGTCCGCCGACATTTCCGACCCAACGTTGTCTACCAGCTGTTTGATATTAGCATCGTTATCGTACACATCACTTTCTTGAAGAAATCATTCACATAGTCAAGCCACCGAGGAGTTCAATTCGAACATCATCACTTCCAATCGATCTTTTCTCGTTTTCTGTAATCTCTGTAATCCACATCATGTTGTAGACTGCACCAGAAATGTAACGGGGTGTGCCTGTTACATGTTATCGACCCTTGATACTTGTTAGTTAAAAATTATCGTAGAGGTTGATAATGTTCGTGACTATTACTATCAGTGGTAATATTCAGAAACGGTCACCGATTGGCTGATACAGGTCATCATATCAGCTGGCTCTAGCGGTTTAACTAATGATGGACGCGCGCATTGAGTGGTAAGCAAGACTTTAACGTACACTTTTGTAGACACACAAAATCAATTAAAACTAAAACATAGGTTAATGAGTGGGACTTAATCATGTTTCATACATTTTTTCTCTTACCAGCAACTAGTCAGTTCTTGGTTGCTTTCCCTTCCTCTGCCGATTCACAAAGGTAGCAAAACACCGCTCATGTAGCGGAGCTACTTGGCGCTCCTTGACAGAGGAAGTTTTTTAATTAAAAGAGTCTCGTTGTTATGACAAACTAACTACGACGTACATTCGTTCAAGCGTACAAGCTTAACAATCTTGGTTTCAAAAGAATTAAGATTCACAGAATTACACACTAACTAGGGAATACTTGATAAACAAGAGCAAGCGCCTTCACAAAGCTAACACTCTTACAACACACTGTGCCTTGACTAAGCACTAGTGTCCAACGATTCAAAAGGAGAACTGAACTTCATTTATTCTTTAACAACGGCAATAAAGCCCTACAACCTTGTTTGACTGACTGTTACATTACGATTTCATGACACTAGTCTGATCCCTTTTCCTTACCCGATATGGTGCGGTAATACCGTAAGTAAGTGGTACCAAGACTATACCACTCAGATCCACCAATCTTTGCTTGGTGTGGACACACAACAACATAACATGTTCAGTAATCGCCGTGTTACCCCGTCACACCCTCCCCACCAAACTGTCGACTTTATAGTGCCGGCAATTTTTAAACAGCTCTTTGAGGTCTATTAAGGCACTGGCCCTTGACCATTGTGTTCAGAACACATCTCAGAATGACTGAGTCAAAGTTTCGTCTAACACCCTGGAAGAATACCTCAAAGTGGGTATGTTAAACTATGAAAGTGACAGCGCCGCGTCGAGTGTTTACGAACATCCTCTGACTACGCCACTGGCGCGTGACATCGCGCGCATCGCGCTTAATTCGTTCGTGGAACGCGAAGAGGTACCTTACCCTTGCACAGCGTGCAGCAGTAGAACCTGTGTTGGGTGAGTTGCACAATACACTTGATGAAGATCAAGCTTAATATCTTCAGTCTGTCGATGACCGCAGGGGATAAGAAGAATGTTTAGCCACAGCACATGCTCATAGTGGTTACCGCTTCACATCACCGAGTGTGGATGAACGCATTCGCCAGACTACCGGGCATTCACTCGCAACATAGATCACGGGACTTGAGGCTATCACAGTCACAGCAATAGCAGAGAGGGGGGCTCTTAGAGCGATATACTTGGGGGTTGAGCGTATGACCGCTCAAGTGTACCTTGATAGGCTAAGTCTGCAATCACAAGGTGCATCAGTGTCCTCCATACGGACAATTCCCGTCATTCTCTTCCTTGATGAGACAGAGGTGAAAAATGATGCCGTCCTCACGTGTTGGGCTCACCAAGTTCGCCGTCTGCTAATCCTGTCGAATCTCCAAAATAGCGCTTCACTTGATGACGTTCGACTCGAACGAAAGATGCGCTTTAATTTCGCAAAAAAAGGCCAAAGTCCAACTGTGATCGTTTGATCGCACCCGCTATGCTAGGGCAGATACAAGCCCGCGCATCAGCGCACCTGCTGCAGCCGCAGCCCTCTCCACTCCCACACCGACTAGTGGGAAGCGGTATAGGTCGACTGACCCTGAAGATGACATTTGAAAACGTCAACGACATACGGACAATCCTGCCGAAGTAAAACTTGGTATCCCCTGAGTTTTCTAACCTTGGGTACCATCGCCAATGTACCAAGTAGTGGTTCTGACCATCGCGATGACTTTGCTGCAGGAGACGTTCAACATGAGACTGTTGATCCCCTTGCTCGTCAATGGGCGGTGGTCGGTGAATCTCGACGCGTCGTTGACGAGCTAGTGCACGATATGCACGGTCTGTGTGACCGTCTTGAGAGACAACTGAATCGTTCTTGAGGGTTCCTTGAATTGTGGCATCGCCGACTCTTTTGGCGCCAGCGTCTCGTGATCCACCATCGAGGATCAAAGTCACTAAAATAGGAACTAATGCAATACTTGCACCACTGGGTCATAAAAATTTAAAATATTTTCTACTTTATGTTGATTTATTACTAAAGATTTATAATTTATTTTTGCTAAGTTTTTATAGGAATCAGTTTGTTTATACTAAATCAGTATACCGAAGAAAAAAAGTTTTTATAAGCTCGTTTAATAGTTTGCAATTGATTCAAATAATAAGATAAAATTATTTTTATAAAAACTCCATATGCGATTAATAATTTAAAAAACAAAAAAATGTTAGATGTTATTAAAAAAGAATTAATGAAATGTAAAAAAAAAGATATGTAACCTTAGTAAGGCTCGAGCAAGCCGACGTAAAGCACTGGGTGTGTTCGCATCTTGCGTGGATGGTTGAGCTTGTACGCTAGTCCCTTCTTGGCCACAACCGTAAACGGCTCAATAAAGCGGTAAAGCAACTTGGTCTCGCAGAACGCTGACACCACCTTGGAAGGAAGATTTTTAGCGTTAAGTAAGACCAGGTCTCCAACCTCATAACTCTCAACACACTTTCTGTCTTTGGCATCAGCGCATTCCTTTTGCTTGTCCTGGCTACCAGCCGTTGCATTACGTACATGGCGTAAGACATCAAATTGCGTAGCGAGAAACTCGCTCACCTGTTTTTATGCAGAATTTGGGCTGACAGCAGCAAGCCGATCTGATATTCCTACCCACCAAGTCCAGACCTTCGTATTGGAAGCGCTAACGGAACACGTAAATGAGTGAGACCATTCACGTAGAATGTAGTAAAGCTAGTAGATGCGTGAACAACGTTGTGTAATGCAAACTTGACCACAGGGAGCGTTCAGCTCCAATACCAAGGCGTATCAGCACAGATACTGCGCAAAATGTCAATAATGACACAATTCACACGCTTAGTTTGACCATAGGTCTACGGATGATCCGCTATGGAAATATCCAACCTGGTGATCAGCACCTTGAAGATGAAAGCACAAAACTGCAAGTGAAAGGTTAATTACGACCAGAGCCAACTGCCACATGCAAACCTTGTTGACGAAACACACGGTCGATAAACAGCATTGCTGTATTTTCGCCATCGATGAAATTAGGCACAGCCGCAAAATAATCCATCTTGCTCAAACGGTCAACAGAGACCACAATACCAGTGCTGCCGTCCGAATCCTTCAGTAGGCCAAACACAAAGTCCATACTGATGTATTTCCAACATCCAGTAAGTACAGGTAAATAGCAAGCGGTGAAACCGCATGTGCTGAGGGTGTGACCCGTTGGCACGTCTCACATGTGCACACATTTTTTGCTCACCCATTTCTACAATTTGGGCCACCAATAAGTCTAACTAACTGAGACATGTGTCTTTTCTCGACCTACATGACCACTCAAAGCTGTTTCATGTGCCTCAAAGAGGATACGATACTTCAGTTCCGCATCATGAGGAACTACATTGCGCGAGATATCCGCCACATCCGTGCTATAGCAAAGTAGGCCATTATAGATAATATCGATGTAGCCCCGCAAGCAATCGTGCCGACAACTTCATGCCGAGTTTTTGAACCCATCACAGCCTAATGCGCAAAATAACGCGGCACACTGCTCATCCTTGGCATAAGCCGCACGGATTAAACCAGGGATAGACGACGACAGAGTCGTGACATGATCAGGCTCATAATCGGTCCTGCGTGAAAACGCATTACCCAAATCACTTTGCTTCCCTAGATTGTAATTCACCTCGACTTTATAT